ACGACCCCACGACCTGGGAGCAGCAGCTGCCGCTGATCGAGTTCGCGTACAACAACGCCACATCAGCCACGACGCAGCAGTCCCCGTTCTACCTGAACTATGGGCAGAACCCCACAGTGCCCATGACGCCGAGTCCGGACAACCCAACGCCACGCGCACAACAATTCGCCGAAATCCTGCAAGCTGCCCGCGCCAGAGCCGCCGAAGCAATAAAAAAGGCCAACGTCATTGCTAAGCGCAACGCTGATCGCCACCGCCGCCCCGTCACGTATCAATCTGGAGATTACGTGCTACTCGACACGCAAAATCTGCGACTGCCCGACGTACCAAAATTACGACCACGCTACTGTGGACCATTCCAAATCAGTCACATGATCACACCCGTCACCGCACACCTACTGTTGCCAACCGACTGGTACATCAGCCCTTCGTTCCACGTCAGCCTACTTCGCCCATACATCCCGATCACAAGTCAACTGCCGCGTCACCGGCCACAATCAATGACTCGCCCTGCATCAGAGCCGATCATCGAGCCCGAAAAAATTCTGAGCCATCGGATCCGCCACCCCACGGGAATCAGGAGGATTGAATTCCTCGTTCGCTGGAAAGACCGCACGCCAACTGAAGATAGCTGGGTGCCCCTGAGCAACATCGAAAATCACCCTGCCCTGCAAGTGTACCTGAGGAGCCGGGGATTCCGCGATATACACGCACTCGCGTAGCGGAGGGGGCTTCTTGAGGGGGGGGGTAGTGTAAGGAATTTTCTCGGCATTCCTTACGGAGCCGACTACATCGCGTACAGCAACAGCCGATTGTTCGCCCGTTACTGCTAACGGAACTTGCCGACTTCGCGCGCACTGTTTTACCAAACCTCGCACTGCTGGCATGGCCGTATCGGCCTACGCTTCGGGACTAGCCCGAGCCTCGCTCCAGCGTAGCACTAGCAAGCTCGCACGCACCGCGTTACCGTTTTGCATGTTTCGCGTATAAATGTTCGCTCATGCCTTTGCTCACATTTTGTACTCGTTTGACACCTTAGTGCAATTCTCGCTACCTAGATTCATTGCACCCGTAACATGTTCACTCTATTGTGGGTGAAGTGAAGGATTTTTATTAAAGTTGCACATCCGCGATTGAAGTTCCGAAGGGACCAATTTGAGCTTTGAAGAGGCAAAAACTCGTCCGACATTCCCTCGGTTCCATAGGTCTTGCACTCGAGACTCCAGCTCTTTAACATAAGCTCGTTGCACGGACATAGTCCAGGTTTCGCTTCCCGTTTGTCGAGAAGTTGGAATCAGTTCTGCTATCCACCATGAAGAAACGCACGGGCTTCCAGGTCGCGACGCTAAAATCGCCTCCTCCGCAGGAGAAGCAAGCTGAGGAAAAGAAGACGCCGACGAAAGCGCCTAGCGGTTCTTCGAGGTCTGGTTTTCTGTGTCAAAATCCCGCATTCTTGAATATCCGTAATAGACAACGTTCCGGCGATGCTGAACGCCCACAACTGTTGTGACTATTGCAGTTCATCCAGCTCAGGCTCCTCAAGCTCAAGCTCCGACACAACAGCAGCTGTGACAAAGGAATGCAAGGGAGACGAAGTTACATCCGTGCCACGACCTCCTTCTGTAGATGGTGCGACGAATCAGGCACCAGAGCCATCAAAATGCTCGACTCCTGGTATGTTCGACGCTCATGATTACACGAATTGGTTTAAACTAAAATCCTAACGGTTAAGTCCATTGCGCTACTCCATTCACCCAGATGCTGCTAAGGGTGGAGTTGAAGACAAGGGAAAAGCGAAGTCTCCTGCTGCGTAAGTATCATTTGCGCGTTGAACGCCTGATTTGTTTTTCAAATTTTCATCACTGTCTCCTTGCTTCAGCTCATCAAGCTCGTCGGGCTCTAGCACGACTGAGAACGGGAAAGAAATCAAGGTAGACACTGACATCGAAGTTCAGTCCGAGAAAAATGTATTGGCGAAGGCCCAACCAGAAGACACTGCACAGGCCACCAACCCAACCAACCCAACCCTTGAGGAGCTGAACGACAAGGTGGATTCAAAGAACAATGACTCAAGGTCCCTGCTGGAGGTTAATGACGCATTGAAGACTGTGGATGCCATGACTTCAAACCTTGATGGTGCGGAAAATGTCATAAGTCCACGTGGCTCACAGAGTCAGTCGAAGAAAGGTATGACTAATATGCGACGTTGGCATCTGAAAGTCTGATTTGATAACGTCGTACTCACAGTCCATGGAATTTGCAGGAGCGACCCCTGTACCGACGGAGAAGGCACACTCTGACGAAGAGCCAAAGTAAGTCTTGTGACAAGAGCACACGTAGTATGCACAGTAAGCCTTTCGTGAGCACTTGACCAGCGCATTAATTGTTTCAGATTTCCTGAAATACCGATGAGTGATGGACCAAAGCAACCCGACCAAAACTCGAAGGTTGAGACAAATTATGCTGTCAAGTCAGCCAGTGATGCTGCTGGACCATCAAAAGAAGGTAAGTATAACCCTGGTCAGAAAATCCCGATCTGAGCGCTAGTGCTCCTGGATAGAGACTCATTAGGATTTGTTATGGCAGAAACAACAGTAGCTGCAGCAGTCGTTAACGGTTCTGACGCTGACGCACAGAAAGATGACAGTTTCGCTGAACCTGTCAAACGTGCGGAGGTTGGAGACAAGGATAAGAATGCACCCGAGGAAGACACTGACCATGTGGAAGAAGCCAAGAGTTCAAGTGCGAAGAAGTTATCCAAGAAGGAGTCATCATCGGGAAAGTCCCACAAACGCCAAGGAGATGGCAAACCACCAAGGGCTCCTACGCCCTATATTATATTCTCGTACGTATTGAGGATTCCCCATGCTTAGTTGATGGTACCTTTCCATAACAGACCGTCTCAACTCAACTCATGTGAGTTTGTGCAGCAATGACATCCGCGAGTCCATCAAACAGAGGAATCCTGACATGAAGCCAACAGACATTATGAAGGTGAGCAGTTGCAGGACCTCTTTGTGGAAAGAATATCGACCATTCAAGGCTGGGAGTGAGAGTTGTGAAACTGCTTCACTTTGCTTCACTTTTTTTTTGCAGGCAATCGGTGAACAATGGCGGAACCTGCCCAAAGAGGAGAAAAAGGTGAGGTGGCTAACTATGAGGGTATGTGAGAAAGTCATGTATCATACGTTCTTATAACTGCCACTTCCAGACCTACGAGGATAAGGCAGAGGTGGAAAAGGCCAAGCTTGGACTAGAACAGGGTAACACGGATGGACCACTCTCCACACACAAAGGTACAAGTTATGTTCCGACAAGGGCTTACTTTGTGTTACTTTTCAACCTGGTTGATTTTTGCTGTATTTTATGCTCAAACACAAAGCATGTGTCTGGGTTTTCGTCGCAGGAAAAAAAACGAATGCTAAAGCTACAACTAAGTCTAAATCCAGAAATGATAATGATAAGCCTCGTTTGGGAAGACATGGTCAACCAAACTCAAAGCCTGCTCAAGGAATCCTTCAAGATGGTATGTGTCACACGCACTGCATGCAAGCACAAATGAAACAATCGTGTTCAGCTACTTTTTGTTTTCAGGATTTATTGTCTTCTGCCTTGAAAATCGGAGCTGGGTTGAGGAGGGACTGGGGGAAGGAGCTACTTTGGCAGATATTCAACAAGAGCTTTCCAAGGAGTGGGAACAGTTGGGCTTTGAAGAGAGGCGGAAGTACATGAGTGCTGCAAATGCAACTGCTGACATCGAAGTCAGTCCATCTAGCATAGCAGCCAATCCTGATCCGGCCTTAGCATCGTCCATATCAGGTGTGACATGGAGTCTTATGTCCATTCCGCCTTGCACTTTGTCAGCTTGTCTAACATGTTTTCTGCAGATGCTATTGTTGCTGGATTCAAGGAAACTGAGGAAGGAGATGTTGAGGTATGGATTGCAACGACCGGCATTTTTGGTGCATGGTATTGTTCTGACTGCTTTTGTTGGATGCAGTTTGTGTTGGCACAAACACTGGAGGGTGACTTTGTCACTAAGAGAAAGAGACTGGATTATACAGATCTTGATTATGAAGAGGCGAAGAAGCACAAATCTGGCACTGATGTTTCAAACGCTATCAGCGCTTTCAAAAGAAGGAAGCGACAGTTTTATGCTGTAAGCTGAACTTGCTAAACAGTGATTCCTGCTGTTATTATATGAAGCGTTGAAGTCCCACTCCATCTTACCTGCAGGAGATAGAGCAGCGAACTGTAAATGGTGTCCTGGACCTTGACGACATCTCTGCAGGAAGCATGCTTGAGGTAGGCTTTGGGTTTATATGGTAGGATCTTGTTTACATTTTTTTGCGTGCGAACTAATACCTTGCAACCTCATTTCTGTTGCAGACCCTTGCCTTTCTCGGAAACATGCGTGAGGTAAGCTCACCTTTCTTATCTCATACAGCTTCACTCTGGTTCCTCAGTTTTGTCTGACCTTATGACATGTACATGGGCCTTACAGGATGTTTTTCCTACCACAAATACGAAGCTCCAGTCTCCTGATGTTTGGTACGGGCAAGAAAGGACAATGCAATGTAGGTAGTCTCTGATATAATGTTTGACCTCTGATGGAGTACATGTGCTGGCAGGATGAAAATTCCAACACTAGGCCTTTGCCTGCTGGTTCAGAATCTTCTGGATGGAGAAAGACAACATAAAGCAGCTCTGGCACAGCAGCTTGACGAAGCTAAGAAAAGAATCAAGGAGTTGGAGAGGGGAACAATGAGGATGGAGGAGTGAAATCAGAGCAAGTTCGCAAGTGGTGTGCCCACTTTGCTTTGCCCAAGTTCTTGTCTTTTTTTTTTTTACTGGAATGTTGCAAGAAAAAAGAATACTATGAAGTTTTGAATATACATATTATGTAGCATGAGAACATGCATAGCCAAGTCATTGACAAACTAGGCTAGAAATATTCTCCTGCCACATCCAGCTGAGAAGGTTTTCGTAAAATTTATAAGTCAGCCTTCCAATCTAAAACTCCCATCCTCATCGCTGCATCCCTCCTTGTCAACATTCTCCTCATCATCCACGGACCAAATACCATCGAACTCTGTTGCTAGAAAGCTCCTAAATAAATAACCCACGTAGAAATAAACTCTTCCGTAGCAGGACGCCCCTGTTTGTAGCGTATCTACTGCCTTCCACGTGATCAGAGGTCTTACACGAATACCCTGCGTTGGGACAGACATACATTCAGTGGCCATACCCTGTCAGTTTCAATTACCAAACCCTGGTAACATGGCATTTCAGCGGGGCGCCTCTTACCTGCAGCTTTCGAATCCAGCCATTCTCAATGGTCCCGCTAATCTCGGCTTCGAAGCGAATGGGATATCCGCAAATCTCCTTCTCAACAATTTGATCCAGGTATATACGGAAGGGGCCAGTCGCATCGCCGTAACAATGTCGTATGTGATGCGCGGGCATCAGGTCCTTCGGGAAGCCGTTCAGCTGCACACAGTTGACGATGATAACTTCGTCACGACCGGAATGGCGCGAGCAAGGCGGAGTTATTTAAGAGCCATGAATGCGACCTTAGTACCTCTAGGGCCTTTGCCACAAGGCCACCCGGCGTCTCTCCTTCTCTGGTACAGCCAGCGCAATCACAAGGAGCGTCGTCCCTCATTAGCGCGCTCTTGTCTGGGACATGGATGGATGAAAGGTCGGAGACCACCATGTCGACGCTAATCACGATCCACACCTGCTGGAGTAGATACGACAGCAACGGGAATAATCACCAATGGTCGCAGGAAAACGGGTGCAAGCATCAGCTGTAAGTAATGAAGATAGCGTTGAGGTGGGGGCGACAATTCTGAATATTCTTTCTAGGGCCCTTTTGTCAACTACATTCCGCCTCACCTCATGGCCTTGAACAAAAGTGGAGCAGACTGAAAAGTTTCGGTTATATTTGCCAGGTGGTTCCGCTTTATGCATGCTGGCAGCCAGGTCGTTGAGATGGTTGTGCGAAGCTCGCTTGCGCGTGTGCGAATCACTTGAAGAGAGGATCTGACACGGGCAGCCGCCGTTCAGCATCGAAGCGCCATCGCCAGCAGCGACCACCTGACTGACGCAGTCGACCGACCATCCCAATTGCCAAGCCAATCGGCATGTGGAATGCATTCCACAGCCTATCGGCGAAGATCAATACCCTTTCGCTGCGTAACGATATTTCAGATTGCCCGCGCGACGTGGCGTGCGAAGCAGGTCTAATCGTCGCCTGCCAACCCGCTCTCGCTAGCGTGGACAATCAGTGGCGTCAGGTTTTGAGATCCTTTCGTGGCAGATTTCGTGGCAGGTTCTGCCACCTGCAGAAGCAAAAGTTCTCCACAATTTAGCTCGATACTTCATACAGCGCGTTCCGAATCATCCAGAAACTGCTTACAAGTGACGATACGTTTGACATTACAATCCCCCAATCCGAGTCCTTGAGATTGCCAAAAATAAATAAAATATATTTTTTCGTTGAATTAAATAATTTATTGCAAAGCTATTCCTGATTTGAAGGTCTCAATTATGTTTAACAAGGTTGGAGGCTGACATCAGAATGACCGTATTTATTATAGACTGTCCCCTCTGGTCGGATGTGTAGCTTTGCCTCACTGAAAGTCAACCACACCATAACGCAAATATTTCGCTAACGACACAAATTCCATGTGGAGCCACAGGCGGCACAGCAGCACTCACCTCACCTGTCAAACACTGTGCCTGCTCATTTCCCGCTGATTTCCTTGATGGGTTTGTGCAAACACAGTTTCCCCCCATTAAAGCCAGGGTCTCATGTAAGCTAAGGAGCCATCGACTGCAAAGCACTTGAAGCTAGGTAACCAAGTTAGTGCTGGCGAAGTTGTCTCTGGTTGGGTTGGAAACTCAGCTTGCGTCACTGCCCCAAAAGCAATTGCACAACACTTTTGGGTACTTGAGACTTTCGATGAATTGGGGGCATTTTAGGTTTGGCTCCGAACCAAGTTTCCAACCCTAGATGGTTCGGTTGCCCCCAGCGATTTAGGGTGCATTCCTGTATCGACACAAATATCTCAATCGCGTCATAAAACCGCTGTACCGATCTGCACCGCATTACACCTAAGTATCAAAAATGTCCACCGCACTGCATCTCTTCGTTTGAGACGCGAAGCCTTTGTGACGCGCTTCAGGAATGCACCCTTACTTTCGCTTCGCACCCCTCGCTTCACCCCACTTCGAACCTAACACCTCGCCAACCAATCAAAGCCACACTTTCACCAACAATTGCAAAGCACTTGTAGTACGTGAGACCCTGGCTTTAACGGCGGCACTCCCTCGTATTTCTCGCTTTTCACTTTGTACGTTACATGTCTGTGATGGAGTAGCTCTTGTGTGTGCTAGGTGGCAGGAACAAATAGCTGGTAAGCTAGTTGCAGAGCTGACGCGTAAGTCGCGAGTCGCGACTCTGTTTCCGGCATGGCATTCTCACCATTGTAGATTCAGCCGCTCGCTCCGCGGCTCGGGATTGAATACACCCACAGACCGACCCCATTAATTCATTTTTCTTCTAAGCCGAATGCTGGTGACCTAGGTGGAAAGCTCGGGCTCAAATTGCTGAATTGACAGGGCTTATTGTTCACATTGGTCAATTAACGACCGGAAAAATCAGAGCTGAAACAGCGAGGCTGGTCTGAGACGTCTATAAACCAGCAATGCCGGCCAGCAGCCCACCGCCAGAGTCCGAGCCGCGTCCCTATCCCGACCCGTACCACATAGTCGACGCGCTTCGAGCGCTCGAATCGCGATGGGTTCCCGAAAACCGCTCGTTAGTGTCCTCTTTCACCAATGCGGGCCGCGCGTTCCTCTCCCTCCTTAACGCGTTCGCGTCTCTCCGTATCTTCGCGTGGCTTCGTCCGGTTCTCCCGGCGCTTTTAGCGGGCGCCTGCGTCATGATTATCTGTCTCGCGTCGCTACTGGCTTTAAGAGGCGGTGATGTTCCTAGTCGCGACTCGGTCGCCGGCGGTGGGATTAGTCGCCGTGGAGGATCGTTGGGGAGTGGCGGCGTGATTGGCGGCGTGGCTCGCGGCGGGAATGGCGGCGTGGGAGGAGGGGAGGAGTTTAAAGTGGACTTATGGGTGGAGCGAGAGATGCTGCTACATGCCGAGACTGTGTACCAGGTACGGGGATTGCCGAAGCTGTGCCCTAGGTTGGGAACATGCCGAGGCTGTTAATCAGGTTATGAAAAAAACCTTCCAAGCCTCAAGTTGGAAATTTATATCCTGGTCACACCCAATGTCCCCCAAAACCCCCCCACTCCCCACCCCCCAACCCCCAGCCCCCCCCTCGCTTCCATTTCGCCCCTCACACACGGAAATCACTTCGCAAAAGTGATTTTCATGCAACCACAGTCCCCCCCCCCCCCCTCTCTCTCCCATTTCGCCTCCTCACACACTAGATTTCAGCCTCCTTCCCCCCTCCTCCCGCCACGTCCCCCGACCCACCCCCCCTTCCTCCCCCCCACCCACCCCCTTCCCGCTTCTCCGTTGCTTCTCAACCTGCAGGACAACATGCGCCGTAGATCGGAGTTCTTTGGTGGGCGATCTCAGCCGTTGGATTTGGAGATGCGGCAGGAGCTGGAGAGTGTGCTGGTGGCGGTCTACCCCTGCCCCATGGAGGAGCGCCTGGGGATATGGGCGGACGGGGGGAAGGTATGTATGGGAAGGTTATGTATGGGGAGTTCGGAAAGGTATGTAAGGGAAGGTATGCATGCATGGAGGGAGGGAGCTGGAGAGTGTGATGGTGGCGGTGGCGGTATACCCCTGCCCTGCCCCATGGAGGAGCGCCTGGGCATCTGGACGGACGGGGGAAGGTGAGGGATATGGGCGGACGCGGGAAAGGTGAGAGGATAAGAGTATCGTATAAGATGGTTGTAAACTGGTAACGGGCATGGGAGAATGCGGCAGGAGCTGGAGAGTGTGATGGTGGCGGCGTCCCCCTGCCTGCCCCATGGAGCAAAGCGCCTGCGCATGCATGTAGGCGGACGGGGGGGAGTGAGCGAGGGATGAAGTTGGTTGGAGGGAGGAAGGGAGGTGGAGAGTGTGATGGAGGCGGCGTTCCCCCTGCCTGCCCCATGGAGGAGCGTTTAGGGATCTGGGCGGATGAGGGGAAGGTGGGTTTGCATACTGGGGGGTTATGAGAATGGGGTGACTTTTGAGTTGACTCAAAAGGTGGGTTTGCATACCGGGGGGTTATGAGAATGGGCCCGTACCTTGCTTGCTGCCCCATGGCATGTGTGCTGCTGGCGACGCTCTCCTGCCTGCTGTTCAGTCATAATTCTCAGAGAGCAGCAGTTGTGTAGCGTAGCTGCGTAGGCTTAAGCAAAAGAACAACAGCGGTAAAACGCTCTGTAAAACTAAGTGCTCAAGTGATTCTCAAAGCCCAAAGGGGTTATGAGAATGGGCCCGTACCTTGCTTGCTGCCCCATGGCATGTGTGCTGCTGGCGACGCTCCCCTGCCTGCCCCATGGAGGAGCGAATCGGGATCTGGGCGGACAGGGGGGAGGTATGGGGATTTCGAGGCGAGGGAAAGGGAAGGTGGGTGAATCTCGGGGTTGCAGTGGCTCAGTTCTTGAGGCGCGTCAAAAGAATGGGGGGAACGTGAGGGTTACTGTGTTGGGAGTGTGCTGGTTTGGGCATACCATATGGGAGCGGTTGGGTCACTAGGAGTTAAAATAAACGGACTGGTTCCCTGCCCGTCCTTTCCATTCTCTCTGTTTTGCGACATGTACGTGCAGCATTCCGTTCACACGTTTCCGTCTGGGGGCTAAAGGATGTCTCAGACGGAAACGTACATCCGTTTAAGGGATGTAAGCATCCCTTCATACGTTTCCGTCCTCTCTGTCTCCACAACTTCCTTCCCTTCCACCATCTTGCTTTCTCTTCCCCCACACTCTTCTACTCCCTTTCTCGTTCTTATCTTCACTTACGTTTTCCCCCTCCGCGGCCCCCGCCCTGCACTCATTTTCGTGTACAGGGGATCTGCAACATGAAGTCTTTCAGTCCAGAAGCGCCTCACCTCAAAGTCCTCTTTTCTTCCTTCCTCCCTCCCTACTTCTCCACTCTCTCTCTCTCTCTGTGCAGTGGATATGCAACATGAAGTCTTTCATTCCAGAAAAAACAGTCATCTACAGGTATGACTGCCTATCATCTACAGGTATGACTGCCTATTAATCATCTACAGGTACGACTGCCTATCATCTACAGCTACGACTGCCTATCGTGTCTTATCAACCCTCCCACACCTCCCCTGCTCTCCGTCTCCTGCCCCTTACCATCCTCTCGCCCTCGTCTCAAATATGGTGAGGGGCTGGAAAGAGACAGGAGACGGAGATGATAGGGTCAAACGGGGTGACTTTTGAGTCGACTCAAAAGTCACATCGAGACAGGAGATGATAGGGTCAAACGGGGAGTACACTTTTGAGAGGGACATTGCCTCTCGCCTGCACACAAGGCCATGTACATTTGATCCGTTCCTCGATCCAGCACGTCGGGAGGGAAGGGCAGGCGCAGCATGATGGGTTCGATCCAGCACTCGAACACACCATGCTGCGCCTGCACACAAGGCCATGTACATTCTATCCGTTTCTCAAAAACCAACTCGATCCAGCACTCGAACACAACACACCATGCTGCGCCTGCACACAAGGCCATCGATCCGTTCCTAGACCCTACGATGGAACACACAATGATGCTCTGCCGCCGCGCCTGCCCTTCCTGTTTCTCCACTCACACGCGAGCTCGAGCTGGAGTCTGCCCTTGGGAGTGACTTTTGAGAATTCTCAAAAGTCATTCCTGTTTCTCCACTCACACGCGAGCTCGAGTCTGCCCTTGCGCTTCCCCCACCCCCCACACACACACTCCAGCATAGGATCCGATCCAATGGGGAGTGAACGTTTGAGAGGGACATTGCCTCTCGCCTGCACACCCGTCCCTTCACCTTCGATCCGTTTCAAGACCCTACGATGGAACACACCATGATGCGCCTGCCCTTTCCCCCCCTCTTCCTGCTCCCCACTCGCACACACCAGCATAGGGTCTAATGGGGAGTACACATTCGAAAGAGATATAGCTTCTCGCCTGCACACAAGACCATTTACATTCGACCCGTTCCTAGACCCTACGATGGAACACACCATGATGCGCCTGCCCTTCCTGTCGTTTGAGGCCGTCGGATTGGCGGCGAAATCTACGGTGGAGCAGTGGAAGGCGGAGACCAAGGGGAAGGCGTTTATGACTCTAGAACAGGTGAGTTAGGTCCGATATTAAAGTGTTTCAAAAGATGACTTTTGAGTCGACTCAAAAGTCACCTCTGAACAGGTGAGTTAGGTCCGATAGTAAGGTGTTTCAAAACAGAGATATGCATTGATGTTTGTAGAGAAGGTGAGGGGTGGATAGGGGGTTGAACGGGAGAAATGGAAGGAGGAGACCACGGGGAGCGCTTTATGAATATAGAGCACGTGAGAGGGGAATGGGGTTTGAAGGGGTGGAGCTCATTATTGAGTCGACTAAAAAATCGAGGAGAATGGGGTTTGAAGGGGTGGAGTTCATTTTTTAGTCGACTAAAAAATCGAGGAGAATGGGGTTTGAAGGGGTGGAGTTCATTTTTGAGTCGACTCAAAAATCGAGGAGAATGGGGTTTGAAGGGGTGGAGTTCATTTTTGAGTCGACTCAAAAATCGAGGAGAATGGGGTTTGAAGGGGTGGAGTTCATTTTTGAGTCGACTCAAAAATCGAGGAGAATGGGGTTTGAAGGGGTGGAGTTTTTACTGAGTGGACTTAAAAATTAGCAGTGAAAGGAGGAGATCAAGAGGAATTCTTTCATGACCGTAGAACAGCAGGTGACTTGGTCTGTTTTTGGGGGCACCTGAAGAAGTTACCCAGCTCTGAATCAGGAGGGAGGTGGAAGGGTGTTTGAGAGAAGAGAAGACGCCCCAAAGACACCTCAAACCCTTCTCTCCTTTGGGCCGCCTTCTCTTCGCCCCACATACATATTGATGGTGGGGGTAGAGCTTCCCTGGGGAAGTGGGTGGAGGAGAGACGGAGGGGGAAGAAGGGGGGAGGAAGGGGAGAGCTGAATGGCACGATACCTGCTGCTGCACATCGTCGTCACTGTTGCCGACGTCGGCCAGGGAAGGGTGTTTGAGAGAAGAGAAGGCGCCTCAAAGACACCTCAAACACCTCTGCTGCCTCACGTCTCTTGTTTGGGGCGCCTTCTTTGGGGAGCAAGGCATAGGTGTTGTACAGCAGAGGGCATGGAGCAAGGCGCACGTCTCTTCTTTGGGCGCCTTCTCCTCGGTGGTGCTGTTTGACATTCTGCGTGCCCCTTCAACTCCACTCTCTTTCATGTTTGTTCAGGTCATGCGGAAGCACAACCACACGCATATTGATGTTTTCAAGATCGAGTGCGAGGGCTGTGAATCGGTGGTGCTTTTTGACATTCTGCCCGCTGCTGCCGTGCCACATGCCTTCTTTGTGCTCTTCCCCCACCCCCCCCCCCCTCCCTCCTCTCCAACCCTCCTCCAGGTGATGCGGAAGCACAACCACACGCATATAGACGTGTTCAAGATCGACTGTGAAGGCTGTGAGGCAGTGGTGCTGTTTGAACATTCCTCCGTGCCCCTTCCCCTCCACTCTTTCATGTTCTCCCCAGGTCATGCGGAAGCACAACCACACGCATATAGACGTGTTCAAGATCGACTGTGAAGGCTGTGAGGCAGTGGTGCTGTTTGAACATTCCTCCGTGCCCCTTCCCCTCCACTCTTTCATGTTCTCCCCAGGTCATGCGGAAGCACAACCACACGCACATAGACGTGTTCAAGATCGACTGTGAGGGGTGCGAAGCAGTGGTGCTGTTTGACATTCTCCCAGCTGTTGGCGTGCCAGAGGGCACTCGCCCCTTGCCCCTCGGGAGTCCCCCCATCGGCCAGCTGATCATTGAGTTCCACGAGTAAGTGCCTCTTGTACTCTCGCCTCCCCCCCACCCCCCCGCTCACAACACAACCACCCCCCTTCCTCTGCTCTGCCTTTCCTTAATTTTGGCAGTGTGGGCAACCTCAGCAAGACGCTGTTCATGGTGTATCTCACTTCCCCTCCCCCACCCCCCCGCTCACAACACAACCCCCTCCCTTCCCGTGCATGGGTGATCTTCTGCCTTATCTCACTCTTGGCAGTGTGGGCAATCCCAGCAAGACACTGTTCATGGTGTACCATTTGGAGAAGATGGGGTATTGCATTTTGTCCCTTCCCCCCCAGCCCCCCACTCACACTATCCTCCCTTCCTGTGCTCTGCCTGTACCACTTCATCTTGGCAGTGTGGGCAACCCTAGCAAGACACTGTTCATGGTGTACCATTTGGAGAAGATGGGGTATCGAATATTCCATGTGGAGCAGAACGCTCAGCACCCAGAGTGCTGTACTGAGATCTCCTTTATTCATGAAAGCCTGGTGTATTGCAAATGATACGGGCAAGAACTAATATTATCAATTAAACCTAGGCAACACAACGTTGTTGTCTTTTTTGCGATGTTCACAAACCGGAGGATGAAGGACATGTACGTTCCCAGGGCCTCAGATTCACTTTTAGGGACGTTGATGCATCAGGGTTCCCTATTTCAAAAATGCTGAAAATCAGTGTTCCTAAAAAAAAAAAAGCCTGAATTCTCAGGGTTTCCCAAGAAAAATGCTTACTACTTGATTTGCTTAGTGTTAATGGAAGTCCTGCGATTAGTAACAGTCGCAAGACTCAAAACTAAGATCTTGCCTTTTGATTGCGACCACTAACAACTGAGACGGGTTAACCTGTCGTCGGGCAAATTCGTTCACAACTTGTACCCTATTGTTAAAGAAATGATCCACGAGTGGTGGGATTCGGAATGTGCATTCAGTGTGCACTTCGATAAAAGGGTGAAGAATCAGTCCCCTTAGAGAAAAAAAGGCTGAAATATCAGTCTCTCTAAAATCTGAACGCTGAGAAATCAGGGTAGGTATAAAAAATTACCCTGAAAATCAGGAATTTCAGGGTTTTTTTCCTGATATCTGAGGGCCGTTACCTAAACCGTGGTCTGTAACAGACCGACCAAGTGGCCGAGCTGACAATGTGGACAAATACCATGTACCCTTTTCCCATAACATTACCCATCTGATATACTCTGCCTGCCATGCCATGACTATGCCAGCAGTGTTAGAATCACTAGCTAGGTGAAGAATGAGTGTCGACTAGGTAAGAGGGAGGGGGTACAAGGATGTCGAGAGAGTTGGGTTGTACCCTCTAAGGTGTGACCCTACACAACCTAGAGTATGTTGGAAACAATCGGTCCTAAGCGCCTCTGTCGTGTCGAAACACCAAGTCAGAAGCAAAGCAAAGTATATCGAAGCACCGGCGAGTCAACCCTCGGAGGTTGAGCGGTTGCTAGAGGTTACGCGAAAGTCAAAGGTCAGCGACCTTTGACCTGACAAGTACAGCACGACAGCAAGGACACACAACTGACTCGCTACAGAGCAGTTGCCCGAGTCGTCACTGTATCGAACCGCAACAGCAACAGTAAAGTAGTTATAACCTTATCTCTTCGTATTCCTTGTACTCTTATATAATCCTGTATCTCTTTGCTTTAATCAACTTACTTTGCCCTCACATACTAGCGCAAGGTGGTTCACAACCCTTTAATTAACGCTTCCGCTACTACACCAACTCTACCCAGAGTTCACCCCTGCAAAGATCCTAAGGGCTTTACAGCCCAACATGGTATGAGAGCAATCAGGGGGAATTCAACTTCTACACCGACAACATCAATCAACATGGCTACACAAAAGGAAAGGAGCAACTCCAACGGCTCCTAGGGAACTACTCCTACTCCACCTCCTAACTCTGGCCTACAGACAGAGGAGGGCACGGCAACAAGACCCAGAGCAACATCTACCGAGACTCCCGCGAATCAACCTGCAGATTTCGACCAGAGCATGATGGAGAAGTTTTTCTCCTTCATGTCCTTCTACGAGCAACACCAGCAATCGGCACCTGCGCAGTCACACAACAGCAACAACAACGGAGCAATACCCATGAGTCTCGACGGCTCATCATATGCACGAGGAAATCAACAACAGCAGCCTACATTTGCCCCGTACGAGCGCGGGTCCATCAGCTTTATGCCACACCCACAGCCCTCACCTGGACAAGAAAAATCATTGGACGCATTACAAGTTCAGTCGCAGTTTGCACACGTTCTGAAGATGCAGACGTCAAGACCCTTCGATGGAAAGGACTTCTTCACCTGGTCGTTCGAGTTCGAGCTGATGATGGAAGGCTCGCTGATACTCGGGTTCTTCGACGGGTCTCTGCCATACCCAACAAACGGCACACAGTACGAGAAGCAGCAGTACACCTATCAGACAATGATGGCGTACACGATCCTACTGAGGAACATCACCCCGACTCAACAGCAGAAGATAAGGACTTATCGAGGTTACGGCAACTCCGCGGAGCTCGCGTACAACCACCTGAAGAGCCTGTATCAAGCAACAGACAGCGTAAGCCAAAGTCGGTTAATGGCGGAACTGACAACGATTGAAATGAAACCAGGGGAGAAAGGAATGGCCTATATCAGTCGATGTCGCGAGTTGCGCGACAAGCTTCTTCGATGCGGAGGGTCGATTTGTGAAGACGCCTTCGTGACAGTCATCATCGGTGGCCTCGATCCTCAATGGCACGCCACAAAGGCCATTCTCCGAGCTCACGGAAGAATCTCCGAAGCAGCGCTCTGCGCCGAAATCCACGCCGAGCAGCAAGACATGGACCTGCAAGAAGAACGACACAAAAAGAAGACATCAGCACCGGAATTCGCGTTCCACACTCAGCGACGCTACAACAACAACAACAACCGGCAGCAACAACCAAAGCCAGTACCTCCGTTCTGCCACATTTGCAAAACTTCAGGACACCTGCGTACACACTGCCCGAATCGTCAACAGTGAACAACTCCACAGAGGCAGCTTCGACCTTCAAGCAGCCAAATCGCCTCAACACAAGCAAATCCCACGACTCAGATTCAAGCCTCAATGACCTCAACATGACAACCTGCACAAGGAGCAAGAAACATCGTCAGCTGCATGGCAAAGCTGAGTGACTCCTGCATCACCGAGTCACCACCACACTACTCACCGGAAGAACAACTCGACGAAACCACACCTCGCCGCGAGTCACTTCAGTCGAACCCGACATACGCCGCTATCGCCCAAAGCGAACCATCCGGAAGGGACACATGGTTCTTGGACAGTTGCTGCGGACAGCACTTGTGCTCCTCGGGACGCTTCGTTCAACGAGAACACCAACTTCAACGCGAAGTTGTCATTACAGTCGCCAACAATCAGAATCTGCGAACACGACGACAAGGTGTAGTTCAATTTTAGTCAAGGGAAACAAACGTTGTACTGCAGATGTCAAAAGTACTAATCGCGGAAGGACTCGGCTACAACTTACTGAGCGTCAGTCAGCTAATGGCGAAAGCGATTCACCTCGAAGCAGACAGCACCACCCAAGAATTCAAGCTGTATCACGGGAGAGGAGGACTCTACATCGGCAAGGCGGTCCTCAAGAACAACGTCTTCGTTCTTGACTTCGTTCCTAATCTTTGCACCGCCGACAGCGACGCCATCGTTAACTTCACCAACTGGACACACCCTTCACACCTTGATCAAGACTTTAGTCCAGAAGGCTTCTGGTATTCACACACCATCCTCGAAGCAGAAAGAATACGGGCGTTAGCAACAATCCAGACAACATCAGAAGCAGCAGAGACAACATCAGCAGCAGCAGAGACAACATCGTCAGCAGCAGAGACAACATCGGCAGCAGCAGAGACAACATCGGCAGCAGCAGAGACAACATCGGCAGTAGCAGAACCATCAACGGCAGCAGCACGAACGTCAACACCAATTGCTGGTCCTTCAACGACACCGCTCCTCATCGACGACACACCACCGACAGCCGCGCAACAAATACACCCAGCACCACGAGAAGTTCATCGTAGCGCCAACTTCACCGCCAACTTCTAATCCAACTCCGATATGTACCGACGATCACCCGGACATCGTGTCAGAGGTCCACTGGTGATCCCCGATTGATCCTAGGGAAGGGTTACAGGCATGTTGGCCTGGGGGGTTATGGGCGCACTGACCCGCTACTTAACAAGCCCTTTTATCCCAATGGTCTTGTGGTTGGGATTCTGACATGGTATCAGAGCGAAGGTCTCGGGTTCGAATCCCAGTGTGTGCACTTCGGGCATCCCAGTGCGGGGGGGTGTCAGAGGTCCACTGGTGATCCCCGATTGATCCTAGGGAAGGGTTACAGGCATGTTGGCCTGGGGGGTTATGGGCGCACTGACCCGCTACTTAACAAGCCCTTTTATCCCAATGGTCTTGTGGTTGGGATTCTGACACATCGCGCCGACGAAAGCACCTGGCACGCAAGGATGGGACACCCAAGCAACACAGTATTAAACAATACGATAAGAGCAGGAGTACTCGACAAGGACTCACTCCTACTGACCAACGGACGAGAACTTCAACGAGTACGCAAAACGTGCCTCACCTGCCCTGAAGGTGACTTACCACATCGACCGTTTGCGTCTCATCACAACCCGAGCGCACCCGCGTAAGCACCACTCGAGAAGGTGTATAGCGACATCCTGTTCAATCGGGAACCATGACAAGTAATATACAACTATACAATCACCTTCATCGACGCCGCCACCCGTTACGTCTGGCACCTAAACCTCTCTAGCCGCGACATGGCATTCGCAGCCTTCGTTGCCTGGCTACCAGTAGCAGAGAGAGAATCGGGCGTGAAACTGAAAAGCTTCCAGTCAGACGGAGGAGGAGAATACACCTCTCAGCGATTCAAGCAGTACCTGGCGGAAAGGGGAATCAAGCGGCTCATCTCCCTTCCCTACGCCCATCAGCAGCAAGGTGTAGCAGAAAGAATGAACAGGACCTTGCAGAACAGCATGCGCAAACTGTTACGTGGCATGCGGCTACCCAACCACCAGTGGCATGCAGCAATGGACCACGCCGTCATGCTGCACAACTTGCTGTCGTCATCATCGCTTCCGAACAACGCATCACCGCATCTGCTATGGACAGGGAAACAGGGCAGCAGAAAAATGCTACGAGTATTCGGATGCATGGTACACTACCGACCCCCAGCAGCACGAGCGGGCCGATTTTCTCAACGAGCACGGTGGGGACTACACATGGGAATCGAAAAGAACTACAACGCATGGAAAATCTTCGACGTCCATTCCAAGGAAACAGTAGCAGCACGTGATGTCATTTTCTACGAACGACTCACGCTCCAGTCATACCTTGCCAACCTGCAAGAAGACCAGGATCCCACAGGTGGTTTTCGCGGTGACCGAGCCTTCGCCTCAGCAGCGGATGAAGCTGACTGGGACAAGCAGAATGTGGACAACGCATCAGAAGAAGCCGGACCTCTTCCGTTCTGCTCCGTCGACGTTCCCATGGACGAAGATAACCCTCGCGAAAGTGTCAACGCCGAAACCTTCTACTATCTCGCCGACAACGGTTACGTAACACCTGCGACAGTCATCACCAACGAAGCAGAACGAGTAGGACCAAACTTCATACCTGATCCAGAAGCAGGAGATGAAGCAGCTTATCCCGAGGACGTAAATCTTCCCCGCTACTCACAGAGTGGACTGCCAATTCTCGGAATCGTCACCGCAGTCCACGGCACCGCCACTCCTAAAGAGCCTGCGACGGTTCAACAGGCTCTGGGGGGGGAACATAAGGAAAAATGGCGCGAAACCATGGACAAGGAGCTGAAGGCACTGGAGGAACGCAACACGTGGAAAGTGGTTCCTATCGGCGTGGCACGGAACAAGACAGTGCTCACCGGGAAGTGGGTCTTCCGTGTGAAGACAAAGGCTGACGACACCATTGACAAATTTAAAGCTCGTTGGGTTGTACGCGGCTTCGACCAAGAACACGGACGAGACTTCACCGAAACTTTCGCTCCGGTTAGCCGCCACACCTCACTACGCATTCTCCTCGCAATCGCCGCCATGAAGAAGAAGAAGCTGCGACAAATTGACGTCGCGAACGCGTTTCTCTACGCACCTGTTGATGCAGAAATTTTCGTCGAGCTACCGCACGGCTCCCACAGAGAACCCAACCAAGTCTGCCAGCTATTCAAGTCACTCTACGGCATTAAGCAGGCTCCGCGACTGTGGCAACAGTACGTGCACGCTCGCCTCATCCGCATCGGCTTCAAGCAACTACCGCACGATCAATGCATGTACCGGCTCACAAAAAACGACAACTACATCCTACTAATCGTCTACGTGGACGATCTCCTCTACATCGGCTCAACAGACGGCATCACTACCTGGTTCGAAGGGGAGCTGCATCGAGATCTCACCCTCACAGTTTCATCTATCGTCACTGAGTACCTCGGCCTCAACATCCGGGAAGAGGAGGACGCGATCTACCTCAGCGGTGAGAAATATGCCGACACTATCGCCAAACGCTTTACGCTCACATCAACAGCCATCTCCACGCCATACCGATACACGGCAGGGAACGACAAAGGAAGCCCCGCTCTACTTAAGCCCGCCGGCATACGAGACCACCAGAAGAAGCTGGGATGTCTTCTCTTCGCAGCCGTCACCTGTCGCCCCGACCTCTCATACTCCGCAAGCCAGCTCGCCACCTACCTCAAGAAGCCCGAAGAAGAACATCTGGCGGAGCTCGACCGCGCTCTTCACTACTTCGTCAGCACCCCAACGATCGGCCTAACTTACTACAAGAACGCAACCACACCGACTAAGTTAATCGGCTACGTCGACGCTGATCACGCTGGCAACTCCGACAATAGGCGCTCCCGCACCGGCTACATCTACTGCCTCGAACCTATCGGACCTATCTCTTGGCAATCGAGCAAGCAGGAATTAATTGCTCTCTCGTCAGCTGAAGCAGAATATATTGCACTCTGCTCAGCCACCAAGGAAGGACTCTATCTTCGCGAGCTGCTGAAAGAAGCGAAGTTAGCCGAGTTACCCAACTTTACCTTGTTCTGCGACAACCAGTCGGCAATTCGCATTGCCAACAAGAACGGCTTCGCGAACAGGACGAAACACATCGCCCTGCGATATTTCTTCGTGAAGGACGAGATCGAGAAGGGAAGGCTTGAGCTGTCATACTGTCCCACGTCCGAGATGGCAGCTGACTACCTGACAAAGAAGCTCGGAAAGCAGAATTTCGAATATTGCATGCTGCTGACTGGACAGAGCCACGTCAGCGACACTCCAGAAGCGAAGGGGAGTGTTGGAAACAATCGGTCCTAAGCGCCTCTGTCGTGTCGAAACACCAAGTCAGAAGTGAAGCGAAGTATATCGAAGCACCAGCGAGTCAACCCTCGGAGGTTGAGCGGTTGCTAGAGGTTACGCGAAAGTCAAAGGTCAGCGACCTTTGACCTGACAAGTACAACACGACAGCAAGGACACACAACTGACTCGCTACAGAGCAGTTGCCCGAGTCGTCACTGTATCGAACCGCAACAGCAACAGTAAAGTAGTTATAACCGTACCGTATCCCCCCGGATATACCCCCATGGGGGGCAATAATAAAACAGGTTTTTTCATGGGGGTGGGCTTATAATCGAGTAAATTTATAAGCGCCGGCGTTTATAAAATGACATACATATTTTTTATATCTTTTAACACCAAACTGTAGGTCTCGTGCTTGCCTTTTCAATCGAGTCGAAGTTACATGGGATCGTCTGTGAAATTCTCGCGCGCGCTGGGAGATACACCCAATCTGACTCACATCCAGCTCCTGATAGGTCCTGCTGACTGGACCCGCATCCAGTGCAGGGTCCGAATGTGAAGGGAACCGAATCTGCAACATATCCGCCTGCTAAAGTAAAAATCGTTACAGCTTTTTGAACACATTTCAAATTTTAAAGTTTACGTGCGCTTATAATAAAACAAGTTTTTTCAAGGGGTGCGCTTATAATCGAGGAGGGGATATAAGCGCCATATGCCAATTAGAAGCGCCAGGCGCTTATCCTAGGGTGGCGCTTATATCCGGGGGGAGACGGTATCTCTTCGTATTCCTTGTACTCTTATATAATCCTGTATCTCTTTGCTTTAATCAACTTACTTTGCCCTCACATACTAGCGCAAGGTGGTTCACAACCCTTTAATTAACGCTTCCGCTACTACACCAACTCTACCCAGAGTTCACCCCTGCAAAGATCCTAAGGGCTTTTCAGCCCAACAGAGTAAGAACATAACAATATGTTTTGACAAGCAGCTGTCTTGGGACCATCTCCTGCCCTCACATTTTGCAAAGCCAAACAGTGTCGCATTATGTTCCGGCCAGTTTCTTGTACCGACTCATGCCTGCGCCAGGATGCAGAGAATGAAGTACCGGCAATCATGGTACTGGTGTTTGGACTGGCGCCTACAGAGTGTGTCAAGTAGGATTGGTGGTTGGTTGCATTAAGCCGATGCTTTTGTGTCCAAAGGTACTGTGGATTGTTTGTGAGTGCTTTCTTTCCAGTTCAATTGTTAGTTGTCAAGCTGCCAGTGCTGTTTATCCAGCCTAATGACGGGATTAAATGAAAGCATACGTATAGCTCAAACAAATCACGCACTAATGGAGGGCAGAAGGGCCATGCTATTGGCCTTCAGTGTAGGGAAGGGTCAATCTGGGCTGCAGGTTTTACAAATTACAAGACACTGTTGAAATTAATCAGCTCTGCATGCAACAGGGTGGCATGAGAATGGAAAGAACACATGAAAGCGGCAAGTAAGAAGAGGTTGGCTTGAGGGATCAAATGAAGTATATGCGGTTATGAGTGGCACTGGCAAGTGATAGGACAGATGAGAAAAGCAAGCAGCAGAAGCAGGGGCGGCGGCAACAGCAGGAGCATAAAATTGGCCTCAGAAGCAGCGGGCGGCAGAAGCAGCAAGGGAGTGGATTCGAAACTCACTCCATGGGTTGGCTTGTTTTGTCTGTATCTGCCGAAGGCACCTTGATGTCCGATGGCAATTGGCCTGATTGCAGCGCCTGATGTGGTGCAGTGGGGTGGGGTGGAGTGGGGTGGTGTGGGGTGGTTTTATGTGGGATGCAATGGGGTGGGGTGGGATGAGTTAAGGTGAATGTGACTGGGCCCTCAAATAGCACCTTCCTGATTGCCGTGACAGGGAGTTTTTGAGAATTCTCAAAAACCTCCCTGCAAAGAGCACCTTCCCTGTTCGATGGTAATTGGCCTCATTGCCGTGATTGGGTGAGGTGTGGAGTGGTGAAGTGACGTGACGAGAAGAAGACTAAGCTTTTTGTTTGGCTGGTATGACCAAAAACACGCAAAAGCGCAACTGGATGCCGTACGGCACTTGATTGCACTGCATGGTGTGGTGTGGCGTGGCGTGGTGTGGTGTGGTTTGGTGTGCTGTGCTGTGCGGTGCTGTGCTGTGCTGTGCAGTGCTGTGTGGTGCTGTGCTGTGCTGTGGTCCCACAATTGTGTGGCGACTGGGCTAGTGGGTCTGATGTGCCTACGGAGACATATAGCGTCCCAATTGTGCGAAATGCTTACCAAGACGTCTCAAAATGGCACCCCACAGGTCGGCTCAGAATAGAAGCATTCTGCTTCCTGCTTGCTTTCATTCTGAGCCGACCTGCCTATTCTGCAGAATGAAAAAGGTACCCCACACAGGTTGGCTCAGAGTGAAAGCAAGAAGGAGGTGCAAGAACCTACCTTTTCCAGCCGTGCAACCTCCTCCAACGTCTGAGCTGTGCTGATTGCAGCCTGCAGGGGCAGCAGGAGGAGCAGGGGGCGGCAGGGGTACGAGAAGCACAGAAAGGACAGCATGACTGGAATGAATATATTTTTGAAAATTCCTAGAAACCAATTGATATTAATAACTCAGCTAAATAAGTAAAGCGACAACTCAGCTAGACGAGTAACGCGACAAGAAGAAAGAAAAGAAAAACGTGTGTGATCTATGCTACTGGTATACAGGAAAAAAAGAAAACAAACAAACAAACAAACAAGCAAACAAGCAAACAAACAAACCAGCAAAAAAAAATCCCAAAAACATCACCCATGAAGACACAATATCTAGTATGCCTTTTTCACCATGAAAACCTTCAGACATGGAAGGGACCTTCACCCTCACACATGGGAGGAACCTTCACCTTGATTGCTGTGATCTGCTCGGGTGTTGGCCCTTTTGCAGCTACTGCTGTTGCAGCAGCCCCCTCCCTTCCCTCCTTCCCACCATCACCACCAGCACCACCAGCTGCTGCTGCTCCCTCCCCTCCAGCTCCTGCCCCCCCTGCTTCTGCCAGGGCCTCCCCGGGAACAAACGTGTTAGCTGATACACGCTTGGCTGCTGCTGCTGCTGCTCGGTCTTTCCCAAATGTTGCCTCCGCCTCTTGCCTCTCCTGGAGGAGGGGAGGGAAGGAAGCGACGGAAGGGAGGGGGAGGGAGGGGAGGGGAAGCGCTTCCTAAGGCACAACAGTATTGGCTGATACAGGCATCACTGCTACTGCTGCTGCTCTGTCCTTTCCGAATGTGACCGAGACTCCTTGCCACTCCTGGAGGAGGGGAGGGAAGGGAGCGAGGGAAGGGAGGGGGAGGGAGGGGAGGGAGGGGCTGGAGGGAGGGGAGGGAGGGAAAATCCTTCAGTGAGACGTTCCCAAGAGGGAGGAGGGGGAGGTGAGGAGGTGAGCTAGGGAGGAGGAGAGATGGAAGGGCAGACCCACTGACATACCTTGAGCTTCACTTCCCGGAAGTCGAGGAGACGCAGCTTGGGCAGCAGGTGGATGGCGTAGAGGCGATACTTGGGCTTCTTGACGACCGTGTTGTCGAGGAGAGAGAGCGAGGTGAGGGAGTGCGCCAGGGATGCCAGCGGGAGGTAGGGAGGTGCAAGGACAGGCACATATCAACATACCTTGAGCTTCACTTTCTGGAAGTCGAGCAGTCGCAGCTTGGGCAGCAGATGAATCTCATAGAGGCGGTACTTGGGCTTCTTAGCAACGGCATTGTCGAGGAGAGAGAGCGAGGTGAGCGAGTGGGGAGGATGGGAGAGGAGAGGGAGGGGGAGAGCGTTGAAAGGAAGGCACACGCTAGACAACGCACCTTCAGCTTGACCTTCGGAAGTCGAGCAGTCGCAGTTTCGGCAGCAGGTGGATGGCGTAGAGGCGGTACTTTGGCTTCTTGACGACGGGTGTTGTCGAGGAGAGAGAGCGACGTGAGGGAGGGAGGAGGGCGAGGGGTGTGTACTGTGGAAAGGAAGGGAAGGCACACCAACGCACCTTGAGCTTGACCTTTCGGAAGTCGAGCAGTCGCAGCTTGGGAAGCAAGTGGATGGCGTAGAGGCGGTATTTGGGTTTCTTGACAACCGTGTTGTCGAGGAGGGAGAGCGAGGTGAGGGAGTGCGCCAGGGATGCCAGCGGGTCGAGATCCGCTAGGTTGGTGAGGCGATTGTTGGCGAGAACGAGTGTCTGCAGCTTGGGGAGTTGGGCTGGCAACAAGGAAGGAGGGGAAAGGGGAGGAAAGGGAAGAGAGCGAGGTGAGGGAGTGGGCGCGGGATGCAAGCGGGTCGAGATCCGCTAGGTTGGTGAGACGGTTGTTGGCCAACACTAGAGTCTGCAGCTTGGGGGGATGAGCTGTTGAGGGTGGGGGAGAGAATTTGAAAGGGAGGAAAGTTAGGGAGGGGAAAAGGGACGAGGAGAAAGGAGAGGGGGGATAGGGGGGAGGAAAGGAAACGGGAAGGAAAGGGGAGGCGAGAGGTGAGGGAGTGCGCCGGGACACGAGTGGGTTGAGATCTGCCAGGTTGGTGAGACGGTTGTTGGCCAACACTAGGGTTTGTAGCTTGGAGAGGTGGGCTGTGGGGGGAAGGGAAAGGGGGAGCGAAGGGGAGAAGGTAGGAGGGGAAGGGGGGGGGAGGAAAGGGTGTGGTTAGGAGAGGAGAGTGGGAAAGGACGGAAAGAGGGGAGGAAGGAAAACGGAAGAAAAAGGAGCAGGGGAGCAAGGGAAGGTGCGATTGTCAGCATATGACTCGTATGTCTAGTCCACTCAATGACAGCAGATGATCTACCTAGGTGGCAGCACATGACACGATACGTACTACCTAGGTGGCAGCACATGACACGATACGTACTACCTAGGTGGCAGCACATGACACGATACATACTACCTAGCTGCGGGCTGATGCGGGTGATGCGGTTGTTGCAGAGCAGCAGAGTGGAGAGCCGCCGCAGAAGAGGGAACCCCTCCAGCTTCACTATCTCGTTGTCCGACAGGTCGATGCTGTCAAATAGGTCCTGTGCGGTGCGGTGAGGTAAAGGAGGGAATTCATGAAAATTGATGGGCCAAAAGGAAGGCGTAGCAGCGAGAACCCCTCCAGCTTCACTATGTCATTGTCTGACAGGTCGATGCTGTCAAACAGGTCCTGTGCGGTGCGGTCCTGTCCTATGCTAAAGGGAGGGAATTCACAAAGGGAGGGAACCCCTCCAGCTTTACTATGTCATTGTCCGACAGGTGAGAGTGTGGGAGGGAACTGGTCAACAATCGTGTGTAGCGGAGAAAAAGGATGCAAGGAGCTGCAATTTATGACAACGGTAGAGGTTGGTTCAAAAGGGAGGTCTAAGACAACGAATGAGAGGGACGGGCGAAGGAGATTGGTTCCAAGGGAAATGGTCCAATGACTTCGTTCTGTTGTAAGAGAAAGGACCTAAAATGTATGGTTTCAAGCGACATCGAGTTAAGCGAATTGAGTCAGGAAGGAAGGGTACATGGAATAGGGTTGAAGGTGAAGGGTCTAGGAAATCTGTTCTACATATGAACTTGAAATTGGAAAAAAGATCACGAGGGCTAGTTTGGAGTGGAATGTTTATGGAGGAAAGATAATTGAGGGCTCACCTCTGTGGCTCCGAGATTCTCAATAACTGCGATCTTATTCCCTGCCAGGCAGGCACGGAGAGACACCGTACAGTCACACATCGTACAATCACATGATAGGGACGCATCGTAAGGTCAGATTGTATGTACAGTCACATTGCACACACGGTGAACGTGGTGTGTTTGAAACGGGATGTTCACTGGACCAAAGAAATTCCTTTTCACGGACGACGGCGTACGATACGGTAATCTATCCGAGCATCGCCTCGAACAATTAACGAACTGCTTCATGGCGTATTATGCTTCCGCGAAATACCGCAAGAGGAAAGTCTGAGGTACATAAAGAACCGTACAATGTTTCTGTGCAGTACCGTAGAAATCCACACGTTTCAAGCGATTATGAGACGCCACGCCACGCACCTCTTAAGTCGATCTCTCGTTCTCGCACCGCGTTGAAATACTGCGGCGATTCGAGGATCAGATCTGCGGTTAAACGGACCATGATGGCGACAGCTGGCCAAGGTTATGAATGCGTACGACTGAACGGCGTAGGTCAGCCAACGCTAACGATGGCCGCGAGTACGTGGACTACTCTAGTGGATCGGGAGATGGTGCAGACCTAAGATCAAGCGGTTCGAACCACAAGCCAGATACCTCCGACTTGTGGTGTTTTGTGCGCTGGTTCTCAGCCCTAGCACATCGGTCTTGTCCGGTGCATTACATTCCAAAATGGCAATTCTCAAATATCGTTTTCAACTCTGTTCAAACCAACTGAACCGTGCACAAACGATCAGCATGGGCTGCCAATTTGTTCCATATAAGTTGAGCTGTGAGAGAGCTTTGAGGTGTTGGCTACTGCAATGCAGTACTCAACCCGCCGAATGTTGCTAGTTCAAACCTAGGACCTAATCCCGAGGTGATGCATGCCACGTCATCAAATGATGCCCATGACGCACTCTCAATGGAAGCTTTTCTCGAGTAGTAGTCACTTAGGGAAGCTTAATCTCTTCATCAGCCGTGAGGCACACACATAGCGAACTATTCTTTCGCCTTTTACTAAAGAATACCGTGTGTGTTTCTCATAAAGCGGCATACATAAATTTTTGGAGTGCCTTTTCGAAGGCACCACAAAGAAATACTGAAATGGGATAGTGGTCTCAGTTTAAGAAATGAGCCTTCATATCAACCGTAATCAATCAGAAATCAATACGTGGAATTCCACCTTGGATCTGTCTGCAAAAATATAGTCTGTCTAAACACAGAAGCAAAGTTCGATCCCAAAACCCTGTGATTCTGGTGACCCTTCCGCCAGAGATTCGCATTCTAACTAATGAGATATGGGAGCAAAATAAATCTTAGCTAGAAGTGGCCAATGACCATCTGCCATAGTCGTCCACATCCAACCGCTCCAGTCACTTTTGAACCAGAATCATTGTGCTAACTCCCGATCCCATCCGCTCCTCCAGCTTCAGTCGGTTCGCATTTAGACCCCAAATCGCATTAATCACAAATCCACCTCCCCACCATGGCGTCAAGGTCGGCTTCTGATTCGCTACCCGTTCCACGCACTTCGCTTCCGCGAATCCACTCGGACTCCGTGCTATGCTGCCAGGTGGACGGATCCGATTGCCTCCTTGCGACTGGTAGCGAGGTGAGGCGCGTCTAGACTCGCACGATACTTGGTTTTCCATAGTAACCGACGCTGCTGGCGAAATCGAGGCGCCTCGTACAGAACGAGGTGATTGCGGATACGATTCGTCTCGTTAAAAAACGCTAGCTGAAACAAGGTGTCTCGTCTTGGACGCACCTGGAAACGAGGCTGCGCTGTTAGGGTTTGCGAAACGCCTCAACGGTGAAACTGGTTGTAGCTCTCTTCGTTAACGGTGAGTCGTTGATCCTCTTCGCGACAGGATTCGAACGCCTGTAGTTTTCAATATGCCTTTCAGGTTCGTTCTGGTAGTCTCTTAGTCCGCTCTCCAGTCTTTCTTGCATGTTCACATTCCTCCACGCGCACATCCCTGCATCCCTGCAAACCCCCATGCATTCACCACTATTCAGGACGGCAGCATGTCGGTGTGTGATCTACGCTCCCCAGCGCAAACCTCTCCCATCCACCTCACCTGCTTCGGCGGAGCCTCGGTGCCGAGCCTGCTCTTTCTCCCAGGCACGTTGCGCCTTGTACACCTATTGTATTGCCTTCCATTTATCAATACAGCACCTGTTTCGTTGCCCCTATCTTCCTCCTCCCCTTCGTCCTTCCCCACGCTCCTTCCCCCCCCCCCCCTTCCTCTTTCCCTCCTCCCCCCGTTTTTGAACCCCACTTCGCTCGTCTGTTTCCCCTATCAGGTCAAGTCAAGAGCGTGTGTTGCAGCTGCTGCAGGGCCCCTCCCTCAGCAGCTGCTGCAGGGACCCTCCCTCAGAAGCTGGTGCTGGACCTTAAACCTTCTCTCACCGCTTCCTCCCCCTCCCTTCCGATCCCTCCTCCTCCTGTCGCCCCATGCCCTTCAGGTCAGGAGCAGGTGTTGGCAGCTGCTGCTGGGAACTCCGTTTTCCTTGTTGACAGGCGAAAGGTGGGTAGAGAGGAGGGGGTAGGGAGTGGGGGCGGGGAGAGGAGAGAGGGGGTTGGTTGTCTAGGGGTCAGAGCTGTAAAAAGATTGGAAGAGAAGCGGGGTGAGGAGGGGCTGGGGAGCAGGGAAGAGGGGAGGACAGGGAGGCTATGCTGTTGCTGCGAACAGCAAGGACAGGGAACAGCAAGATGCAACAGCAACGAGAAGATGCATGCAACGAGAAGCTGCTGCTGTTGTGGAGGCTCTGCTGCTGTTGGTCAATATAGCAGCCGTCCGTCCATCGTAGCATGTGCACAGCACACCGTGTCTGATCGTCGTTTCTGTGGAATTGCTGACATGGCACGGCGTTTTTGAGAATTCTCAAAAACACCCAGCAACGGGATTATAGCGGCCGTTTCTCATATCACTGCACACCGTTTTTTATCGTCGTTTTTGTAGGATTGCTGACATGGCAGGGCTTGCGGTGCGGTTGCCTTGAAATCTTGTGTGATTGCATGGAATGGTATGGCATGGAATGGATGGCATGGAATGGAATGGAATGGAATGGAATGAGGTGGGGTGTGATGGCATGGGATGGGATGGGATGGGATGGGATGGGATGGGATGGGTTGGGATGGGATGGGATGGGATGGGATGGGATGGGATGGGATGGGATGGGATGGGATGGGATGGGATGGGATGGGATGGGATGGGATGGGATGGGATGGGACGGGTTGGGATGGGAGGGGTCGGGATGGGATGGGACGGGATGGCATGGCATGTTGTTTGTCAGGCAGGAGGGTCGTCAGATGGTTCAGAGGCCATAGTGAGACGGCTGTCATTCAATGCTGACGAAATCAACGCTGTGAGTCTTCTCTCTCTTGCACTCACTTGTTCCCCCCCTTCCCTCCCTCCCGCCCCCACTCTTTCTCTCTCCCCTCTCTGTCCTCCGTTCAACCCTCCCTCCCTCCGTCCTTCCTTCTCCATCTCTAATCTACACAGAAGTTTTTTTTCTGTGTGCTCCTCAGTTGGACTTGTCTTTTGAGGAGCACACGGAATGTTGGGACCTCAAAATGTTTTCGTATGCTGCCCAGTTTGACTCCTCAAACCCATACACTCCAGCAAGTCCAACTTACAGGTGGCTTTCTGCACCACTCTCAATCTCTCCCTACCACCCTTCACCAGTTGGCAGTGGACCGTAAGGGCGACTTCCTGGCCGCTGCAGATGATTCAGGGCAGGTCAAGGTGCGTGGGGGGTAGAGCAGAGGGAGGTTGTGTGCTGATCCGAATGCCTCTCCTGGTCAACCCTCTCGCTGCATTTGAACCTATTGGCGCTCCCGTAGAGTCCCCTGACCTGACCGTGTCTGCGAGGTGACTTTTGAGTCGACTCAAAAGTCATCCCTGACCGTATCTGCTTCCCTCCTTGCTCCCAGTGCGCTGCTCCCAGTGCGCTGCTCCCAGTGCGCTGCTCCCAGTGTTTGGTTTGGGTGGAAATGACCACATGCTCCTTTCATGCTTCCACATGCTCCTTTCATGCTTCCACATGCTCCTTTCATGCTTCCACATGCTCCTTTCATGCTTCCACATGCTCCTTTCATGCTTCCACATGCTCCTTTCATGCTTCCACATGCTCCTTTCATGCTTCCACACGCTCCTTTCATGCTTCCACATGCTCCTTTCATGCTTCCACATGCTCCTTTCATGCTTCCACATGCTCCTTTCATGCTTCCACATGCTCCTTTCATGCTTCCACATGCTCCTTTCATGCTTCCACATGCTCCTTTCATGCTTCCACATGCTCCTTTCATGCTGCCACATGCTCCTTTCATGCTGCCACATGCTCCTTTCATGCTTCCACATGCTCCTTTCATGCTTCCACATGCTCCTTTCATGCTTCCACATGCTCCTTTCATGCTTCCACATGCTCCTTTCATGCTTCCACATGCTCCTTTCATGCTTCCACATGCTCCTTTCATGCTTCCACATGCTCCTTTCATGCTTCCACATGCTCCTTTCATGCTTCCACATGCTCCTTTCATGCTGCCACATGCTCCTTTCATGCTTCCACATGCTCCTTTCATGCTTCCACATGCTCCTTTCATGCTTCCACATGCTCCTTTCATGCTTCCACATGCTCCTTTCATGCTTCCACATGCTCCTTTCATGCTTCCACATGCTCCTTTCATGCTTCCACATGCTCCTTTCATGCTTCCACATGCTGCAGGGTGTTTTTTGAGAATTCTCAAAAACACCCTGCAGGAGAGGAATGAGGGATCGAGCCTCTGAGCACAGGATGCTTTTGAGAATTCTCAAAAACACCCTGCCCTGCAGCATCATGGTTTGGGTGAAGATGACCTTCTCCTTTCATGCTTCCACATTCTCTGCCCCACCCGCCCTCCTTGTTACCCTCATCAGCTCATCTCATCATCACCCAAACCAAACACTGCACTGCACCTCACTGTACTGTTCTCCATCCCATGTCGTATAATCTTATTCCCCTAAGCTCCTTCGCTCAGGTCATCAGCCTCATCAACCACTCACTGCACCGCACCGAACCGTTTTCCCTTCCATGACTTACCCCCATGTGCTCCTTTGCTCAGGTCATCAGCCTCATCAACCAGTCACTGCATCGGACCCTTCGGGGCGTGCACAGCTCTGTAAAACACTCTCGAGGGGCCAACCACTCCCGGCACCACACTGAACCGTTCTCTATCCCGTGTCTTGCCCCCCTCTTCTCCCCCCTCATCAGGTCATCAGTCTCATCAACCACTCGCTGCATCGAACCCTTCGAGGCGTGCATAGCTCGGTAATGCAGCTCTAGCTCTCACGAAGGTGAAAGGTTGACTACTCTACGATTATTGAGATGCCTCAACAATCCCTTCGGGACGTGCATAGCTCGAGGTAATACAGCTCTAGCTCACGCAGTTGAAAGGTTGTCTCCCATATGATACACACCATGCATATCCCGTGCACGAATTGCAGCAGCAGCGCTGTTCAGTTTTCCCTGCCTTGTGCGTTTTGATCTCCACCTTCTATGCCTACAACTCCCAGTTTCTTTTCGCTTCACACCTTTCATTCAGTTTCACCCACACTCTGCTCAACTTTTCAGGGCATTCTCAAAAATACCAGAATTCTCAAAAATACCAGAATTCTCCAAAATACCTTGCAGCATCAGTTTCACCCACACTCTGCTCGAAATTTTTTCCTCTCTCCCTTCCCTCATCTTCCTTCCCTTCCTCTCTTTCCCTGCTCTTCGTTCTCTTCCCTCCTCCTCCCGCCCTCAATCTGCTTCCCTCACTTCCACCACTGCGCTCTACACCATATTTGTCCCCACTGCAGATCTGCAGCTCTGTTCTCTTCCACCCCAAGCAGCCGTGGCAGTGTGAGTTCTGAGACGTCTCTGTTTGGGCCTAGACTTTCCATCCAGATTCTCTCCTCTTTTTCTCTCCTCCTCTCCTTCTCTCCTCTCCTCCTCCCCTTCTCTCCGTCTCTGTGCTGACTTAGACTTTCCAGCTTCTCTCCTCTCTTCCTCTCCTTCTCTCCTCCTCTCCTCCTGTCTTCTTCTCGCTCCCTCCCCTCTCACTGATTCTGCATCTCACCGTTGCTCTGCTCCATCTGTCTCCAATCTTTCCTCTCTTCCTCTCCTCTCCTTCTTTCTCCTCCTCTCTCCCCTCCATCGCCCTCCAGTGTTCTCAGCTGCTCTCGAGTGTACCTGGGCTCAATGGGACTTTGCTTCTGTCCGATCCGTCTTTTGAGTCGACTCAAAAGTTCTCTCGAGTGTACCTGGGCTCACTGGGACTTTGCTTCTGGCCGATCCCTCTCTTAATTTATCCTCTTTCTGTGATTCCCAGTCAGAATCTCTCTCCCACTTCCTCCCTCCTCTCCTCCTCTCTCCCCTCCATCGCCCTCCAGTGTTCTCAGCTGCTCTCGACTGTACCTGGGCTCAATGGGACTTCGCCTCTGGTCAACCCCGTTCCACATTTCCCCTCTCTTTCCTTCCTCCCTCTCTTTCTCCTCTTCCCCCTCTATCTCCCTCTATTTCCCTCCAGTGTTCTCAGCTGCTCTCGACTGTACCTGGGCTCAGTGGGACTTCGCCTCTGGCCGACCCCTCCGCTCAGTCAACCTGTCAGCAGATACCACCTCCCCCAGCCCGCCCTCCCCCAACACACCCTCCTCCGCCTTCTCGTCTCGCATGTGCAATCCTCCCTTCATCCACTCTCTATCTGTGCTCCACATTCCTCCTGTAAAGGCTTCTCCTAGTGCTGCCGGCACTGCCACCACCACCGCTGCTGCTGCTGCTGGCACTGCTGCTGCTGCTAGTGCTGACAGTACTGCCGGTGGTGATTCTTGGAGGACACGTGGCCTGACGCTAATGGCCGTGGCTCAGGGCGATGGCACTGTAGCAGTGTGGGATGCTGATGCTGACGTGGATGGTGAAGGGGAGAGGAGGGGGGGAGGAGGAGGAGGAGGAGGAGGAGGAGGAGGAGGAGGAGGAGGAGGAGGAGGAGGAGGAGGAGGAGGAGGAGGAGGAGGAGGAGGAGGAGGAGGAGGTGGTGGTGGGCAGGAAGAGAGAAGGAGGAGGAGTGGGGGCAGAGGCAGAGGCAGAGGCAGAGGTAGAGGAAGTGGAAGTCGTGGAGGAGGAAGACAGGGAAGAGGGGGAAGTGGACGGCCTAGGGATGGCATTGCTGCTGTTCCTGCAACGATTGCAGAGGACTCAGAACTGGATAACGAGGAAGCTTGTAACGGGGACAATCGCGTTGCAGCAAAGGAAGAGGGGAAGGAGAGGCGGGGAAGGGAGGAGGAGGCGGAGGAGGGGAAGAGGAGGGGAGGTCGGCTACTTGTGTTTGGAGGACCAATGGCGGCAGCAGCAGCAGGTGGTGCTGCAGCAGCTGCTACAGCCAGTTGTGGTGGAGAGAGTGGGGAAGGTGGGGAAAGCGGGGGAGGAAGTGGGGGGAGTGCTGAGAGAGGAGGATGGGGAGGAGGAGGGGAAGGAGGGGCAAGAGAAGGAGGGATGCGTGGTCATTGCGCGTCAGTCGCTGCTGTGTGAGTGTGTTTCTTGAGAGGTCCGACTTGCCTTTTGACCCCTCTGTTACAGTTTCTTTTCTTCTTCTTTTGCGATGTTTCATAACAAGCTTTAGTTTCCTTTTGAGAATTCTCAAAATTCATACAAATATGGATGGTGCTGGGTTTAGGGTTATGGATGATACCACAGGGTTATGGTGCTCACTGCCTCAGACTTGCCTTCCATCCCCTCCGAATCCAATTGAGAATACTCCCAACGCTTTCTCTCAGCCCCTTTTATCCTCCCCTCCCCCCCTCTTCCCCACCAGCACCTTCTGTCGCTTTGCTCCCCTCTCCACCTCTGTACTGGCCTCTGGGAGCTTGTGCATGCGCCTCAACCAGCTTGTGCATGCGCCTCAACCAGCTTGTGCATGCGCCTCAACCAGCTTGTGCTGCTTTGGGATGTGGCGCATGCATTCTCTATCCCTCCCCCGTGCTTGCCTGCTAACCCCCTCCTCTTACCCTCACCTTCTCTCCCCCCTCTTTCCCCTCTCCCCCTCCCCTTTTCCTCCCCCTTCTTCCCCACCAGAACATTCTGTCGCTTTGCTCCCCCGTCCGCCCCTCTTCTCGCCTCTGGGGGAAACGACCGACTCGTGCTGCTCTGGGATGTGGCACACGCACTCTCTCCCTCCTCCTCCTCTTCCTCCTATCTCTCCTCCTCGCCCTCTTCTCCTGGTTCCTCCTCCTTTGCCTGTTCGCCCCGAGCTAGAGAGGCCAGTGAAGCGGAGAGTGCTGATAGTGAGTCTGACTCAAACAAGGATGAAGGGCGGAAAGCGGCAGGTGGGAGGGAATCGTTGGCTCCACTCATTCGCATACAGCATGGACGGAAGGTGAGATCGGGGGTGGAGGAGGGGGGGGGGGGGGGGGGGAGAGGGGGGGTGTGTGTTGGAGGGAGGCAGAGCAGAGTGTTTGGGGCAGGGGTGGGGTATTCAGGGAGGATATTATATACACGGATGGGGGGAAGGTGTGTGTTAGGGATCCTGTTAAGTTCTGGAGGGAGTGGGGATATGAGGAAGGTCAGTTGCATAATTTTATAACGTTCTCAAATCGCGGTTCTTTGATTGTGCTGCACATTGCCACACGCATATTTTTGCCTCTTCCTTTGATATCTGATTTAAATGCCTTAGGTTCTGCCTTTTATTGGCGTATGCCTCTGGTTGGCACGTGGCAGGTAAATTTCCTGTCCACTTCTGTCGGAGTACGAGGTCGAAAGATTTTTGTTGCTGACACATCCAAGAAGGTCTCTGTTTATGACATCCCTTCATAATCTGAATCGGCTATGTTGTGTATAGGTGCTGCCCTATTACCATTGTAGATCCTCCCAATCAATGGGTGTGAAAACTTTCTTAGGATTAGTCCATTTAGCTCATATTTGTTGATCGACCATCTTTATAACGTCTTCACGTAGTTCACACTGCACAAGCACTGTACCGTTCTTTGCACCTCAGCATGTCCGTTAAAAGACACGTCTTCCTCCTCCACGTGGAAGGCACAGCCTTCGTCAACTCGCCACAGCCACAGCCTCGTAAGCCGATTAGGACAAAGTTGGCATCTGAACCACACATCTGACAGAATGGATTGCTCCCTTGGGGTAGTCCTGACGAAGAAGGGATCAACGCCAGCACGATGGGAGATTCCAACGAGACAATCAATGGTGAGTCTCGAGCCTCAGTGTGTGCGTCAGAGAGACCATTCCACGTGGCGACAAAGCTGGGATGGCCAGCAGCTCATATACATTCGAATGCCACGTCAGCCTGGATCTTCCCGCTTTTGGTCGAGCTTGTGGTGGTGACCCTGATGATTGGTTCGGCCAGGCTGCGTAACGAAACTTGCTTCAAACGAGTATGGCTGAGAGGGTCTCCCTAGGAGCTTTCTAGGTGAATCCTGGGACCCCCTTTGCAAGAAAGAATATCGTCATTTTCTCATACGTGCCTGCAGGAGTTCCTTATTCTGCTCGTGTTTGACTGTCCGCTGATTCTACAACGAGCAGTGTAACTTAATTCCTGCTTCAGTCACCAGCAACCATGGCTTCCCTCATCGCTAAGACCCCCGTCGCAGCGCAGACGGCGACTCTGAAGTCGTCGTTCCTGGGCTCCAAGCCGCAGGCGAAGGCCGCGAGCGCTGCGCTGCCAGTGAAGAAGTCCGACCCGCGCGTGGTGTGCCAGGCTGATGACCGTTGGGGTGCGCTGGGCCGCGATATGTCCGACGACCAGCAGGACATCACCCGTGGCTATGGCCTGGTCGATGCCGCCTTCCAGGTGAACCGCCGGACCCCAGCTCTTTTCGATGTCAGCTCCTCTCCGTGTTAGTTACTTTGGAAAACTGCTCCTGGATGTGAATGCAAGTTGGAGTTGCACTGGGGGAGGAGTTGAACGGAAGCTGGCATGAAATACAGAATCAGGCTTCGTTATTCGTGTTGTTGTTGTTGTTGTTGTTGTTGTTTTTTTTTTTTTTTTTTTTTTTTTTTTTTTTTTTTTTTTTTTTTTTTTTTTTTTTTTTTTTTTTTTTTTTTTTTTTTTTTTTTTTTTTCTCCCTCCTGTTTGTGTATTCATATTCGTTACCTGACCTGGTGTTGTGGTTCTGCGTGCAGGGTGCTCAAGGCATTGGCACGCACAAGGCTGTTCTGTCGTCGTACGACTACGTCAGCCAAGGCCAAAGGAGGTAATTTACTTCAGCCAACCGTGATTTTTTCGTTCAAACTGTTCAATCCTTAACATCCTACTGTTATTTGTGATACGAGCACCCACGTCTCACGACGTGAAGTTTTTACATGTTGTTCATGATGTGCAATGCTTATTCCGAAATGTCGCTGCATGAAGTGTTGCGTGGTGCAATGCTTATTCGTACACGTCATGGCTTGTTATTTCGCGTCCTGGCGTGTGCATTTCTTATTACCTATCCGTCATGGCATGGTGGTGCGTGCAGCCTGCAGTGGGACAACACCAAGGACGGCTACTACATCGCTCCCGCGTTCATGGACAAGGTCGTCGTGCATCTTGCCAAGAACTTCATGAAGCTACCCAACATCAAGGTAAATATGTTGTTCCGTGCCTCCCTAATCGTCCATTGCATGGCTTCTTGAATACTTTTGTTTTCCTTCCTCTTTGGACTTCGTGCGTAGCACAATCGGCATTGATTTGATGTCATGAATAGCTTTCGAAACAACGAAAAGTGCGAACCATCCGTCACGGTGCTTTCATCCATGTCCCACTCGCTCTCTCCTTGCAGGTGCCGCTCATCCTGGGAGTGTGGGGAGGCAAGGGTCAGGGCAAGACATTCCAGATGGAGCTCATCTTCGCCAAGCTCGGCATCAAGTGCGTCGCCCGCCTTCCCTCTCTTTGTCGCTCTCCACTTCCTCGTTGTCGTTCGCCCTCCCTCCCTTTTCGTCGCTCGCCCTCCCTCCCTTTTCGTCGCTCCCCCTTTTCGTCGCTCGCCCTCCCTCCCTTTTCGTCGCTCGCCCTCCCTCCCTTTTCGTCGCTCGCCCTCCCTCCCTTTTCGTCGCTCGCCCTCCCTCCCTTTTCGTCGCTCGCCCTCCCTCCCTTTTCGTCGCTCGCCCTCCCTCCCTTTTCGTCGCTCGCCCTCCCTCCCTTTTCGTCGCTCGCCCTCCCTCCCTTTTCGTCGCTCGCCCTCCCTCCCTTTTCGTCGCTCGCCCTCCCTCCCTTTCGTCGCTCGCCCTCCCTCCCTTTCGTCGCTCGCCCTCCCTCCCTTTCGTCGCTCGCCCTCCCTCCCTTTCGTCGCTCGCCCTCCCTCTCTTTTCGTCGCTCGCCCTCCCTCTCTTTTCGTCGCTCGCCCTCCCTCCCTCACCGTCTCTCGCCTTCCCTTCCTTTTCTGGTTTCATCGGTTTCCCTGCTCCTTGTCTTCTGGTATTAATCACTTACTAGAGATTAGTGGCTAAAACGTCTCAACAAATACCACCTCATCACCAGTCACGGAACAAATTCCTGGGAGCAATTCGTTCTCGCCGTCGTCAATCTTCCTTTCCTCCTTCCCGCGTCTCTCCAACCCCTTTCCTCCCCTCCACCTCCCCCCTTCCCTCCCCCTTCCCCGCAGCCCCATCATGATGAGCGCGGGAGAGCTGGAGTCCGGGAATGCCGGCGAGCCCGCGGCGCTGATTCGGCAGCGGTACCGCGAGGCGTCGGACGTGATCAAGAAGGGCAAGATGTGCTGCCTCTTCATCAACGACCTCGACGCGGGCGCGGGCCGCATGGGCGGTACGACGCAGTACACGGTGAACAACCAGATGGTCAACGCCACGCTCATGAACATCGCCGATAACCCCACCAACGTGCAGCTGCCCGGCATGTGAGTGACGGGGGATCGCGGGATCGTGGAAGCGGTTGAATTGCATGAGGATGTGATGACGTAAGGAATGCTGTGGGGGGCCGGGATGGGGTGGTGGAGAGGGGAGGTGGGCGTGAACGAGCCTGACTGATCCTCAGATGCCTCCCGGACATAATCACGATAATATGCGTTGACTCGTTGGTTTCTTCCCTTGGGCTGGTTTCTTCCCTGTGTGCTGACTTATATGCTCAACTCGCCCCTCCCCTTGCCCTCGCCCCTCCCCTCGCACCACGCCTGCTATGGTGGTTCTCCTCTTTAACCGTGCAGGTACAACAAGGACGAGATCCCCCGCGTGCCCATCATCGTGACGGGCAACGACTTCTCAACGCTGTACGCGCCGCTGATCCGCGACGGGCGCATGGAGAAGTTCTACTGGGCGCCCACGCGCGACGACCGCATTGGCGTGGCGCAGGGCATCTTCCGCCTCGACGGTGTCCCTGAGCAGGACGTTGTGACCCTTGTCGACACCTTCCCCGGCCAGTCCATCGGTACGTGCGTGCTTGCGTTGTGAGTACGTGAGTTGCTGTATACGTGCTGGAGAGTCCACCGCATTGGCGACGCGCAGGGCATCTTCTGCCTTGACGGTGTGCCCGAGCAGGACGTGGTGACCCTTGTTGACACCTTCCCCGGCCAGTCCATTGGTACGCTTATGGCATGGGGTGTGTCCACTGGCCTATCTCAACGCGCTAACCTGCATTGTCTGTCGTTGGCATGGGGTGTCCATTGGTGGTGCGCCCAGCTCAGCAAGTCCAAGTTCTCAGCACTCTTTCCACGACACATCTTACCTCCTGCATCCCTTTCCACCACTTCCCGCCCCTCTCCACCATTTCCCGCTCCTCTCCACCACTTTGCACCCCTCTCCACCACCACTTGTCACTTGCAGATCTCTTCGGCTCCCTGCGCGCGTGTGTGTACGATGACAAGGTGCGCAAGTGGGTGGGCAAGATCGGTGTGGACCAAGTCTCAAAGCACCTTTAACTCACCTCCCACACCTTTCCACCTCTTTCCACCACCCATCAGATTTCTTTGGTGCCCTGCGCGCGCGTGTGTATGATGACGAGGTGCGCAAGTGGGTGGGCAAGATTGGTGTGGACCAGGTCTCAAAGCACCTCGTCAACTCGCGGACGGGCCCGCCGAAATTCGACCAGCCGAACATGAACCTGGAGACGCTGCTGGCGTACGGCAACATGCTGGTGAAGGAGCAGGAGAACGTCAAGCGTGTGCAGCTCGCCGACACCTACCTTGCATCGGCCGCTCTGGGTGATGCCAACCGCGACCAGATGGAGCAGGGAACCTTCTTTGAAGGTGCGTTCGCTTGTTCCAATCTACCCTGGAGGTTGTCGTGTCGCAGCTGGGTTTGACACATCTGGGCTTGTACCAGCTAGGCTTGTTGAGATGGCGTCCACGGGATATCACCAGGGCTGCTCTGATTGCTTTGTTTCGATACTAGAGGACCAACCTGTCTGATTGCTATTTTCATTTCCCTACCTCTCTTCCTACAGGTGGCTATGCCCAACAAGTCGAAGCGCCGGTTCCAACAGGCTGCTCTGATCCCTAGATGCTCCTGTTCCAGTGTGGACTGCAACCTTATTTCCCTTATTCCTTCTTATCCCTCTTCCCGCAGGTGGCTATGCCCAACAAGTGGGAGTGCCGGTGCCATCAGGCTGCTCTGATCCCAACGCTGTTAACTACGACCCCACCGTCCGCAGCGACGACGGCAGCTGCGTCTATGACTTCGCCCAATAAGCTGTCTGCGTTCCTGACGTGAAACAATGGGAATGAATTGGGAACTGTGAATCATTGTTTGTCACTGTGTTTTTATTCCTCTTTAATATATTACGGTAGTTTGATTGTTGTGGTTCATCAGGGTTTAGGAGTGTCATTTCTAAGCAACAGCAATTTATGGTTGGCCTATGACAATACAATGCTTGAGATTTCATTCACAGACTTGTGTGCGGGATTTACTCTCAAGATGGAGTATACCGCTACTGATACAGGATTGCTCCCTAGCGAAGTGTTCTCGCTTCCTCTAGTTGGGTTTAAGCACAACACCTATGCAACTAATGAATCAACTTATATACGGTATGAGGCACCTACAACATTGGGACCTGGTGGAGGCGGTACTCGTAATTCCACTTCCTTGAGCTTGGGCACAGACTTGTACTCGTAGTTGTTGATATCAATCTTTTGCTGCATACGCTGCAGAAGGGATTCAAGACAGTGTAAAGGTAATGATACAAACATGACCAACCGGAGTGCACTTCACTCCTCTTCCTTGGGCTTGGGCACAGGCTTGTACTCATAGTTGTTGATATCGAGCTTCTGCTGCATGCGCTGCAAGGGGAGACAGAGGGTAGAAGAAACCATTGGAAGCAGAAGATGGCGGGGAAGAGACGGCAGAAACCATGACTGGTGGTGTTGGCTTGCAGTGCTTGATCTAATTGTTGGAAGTCAATCTTTTGCTGCATGCACTGGAAAAGGGAGATGGAGGGAAGGCAGAATGACAGCAAGCACTGGCCAGGATTTAGTAAGAAGGCATGAGCAGTGGCATGGGTTTGCAGTGCTTGTACTCATAGTTTTTTATGCAAATCTTTTGCTCTCAAAACTTTCAAAACTCACCTTGAGCTCTTCCTCTAAGTCCATTGCTTTCCGCCTGACAGGTGTCTTCAACTCCCCAATGTCACTCTCTCTGGTCAGCGACCGAGTTGCCTCTAGCGCTGCCCACTCGCCATCGTCCTTGGCTCGCTCTAGGTCTCGCCTGCGTGGAATGGAGTTTGGAAGGGGGACAAACAGAGCAGATAAGGGGTTCCTTGACGTGCAATAGACAAATGGTGTTGCTCGCTACCCACTCCCAGTATCCTTGGCTCGCTCCAAGTATCCTCTCACTCCCGTTGCAAGAAAAACACAGGAGAAAACAAAATGTGACTTGAAAAAAAAAACAGACAAAAAGCAGGTTTCAGGAGATTTGTTCCCATTCCGCACCTCTCTTGCGCCATCCACTAGAGTTACTTCCACTAATCACAAATCCGAACCGCACCTGCCTTCAACCGTGCACTAGAGTACTCTCATAACTTACACAACTCCGTAGCGCACCTGCCTTGCACCATGTAGCCCAGCCCCACGGATCCGACGACCATCATCGACAGCATCGGTAGCCCATAACGAAGGAACGGCGCAGATTTCCGCGAGTTGGCCAGAACGCCACGTGTCGGCATATCAGAGACTCAAAGCATACTCTGGCTGCTTCAAAGAAGCTTGTATCAGTCCTACACGGATTTAGAAGCTGAAATAGCTCACTCAATCCCAAGCTCTTCACACGTTCGATTTAAATCTCAAAGGACGACCGCGCTAGAGCCTAGAGAAGCATAGTGAAGACATGGCATACTCTTCATACCAATAATTTGGAAGCTTAGGAGCTTCTGTGTTGCGCATGCTCCCGATTATAAGGGGTCTAATCATGGTGTGGTATCACGACGGAGGGATAGGTTGTGGCCTTCTAGATTGGAGTTGCGGTCGCGACTCAAATCCGAAGGAACTCGGGGAGGATCAGGATGGATCGCCCTTGGGATCGTTTTTAAAGGGTCTCGAGTCAGCTTTGTAGGTTTCAGAGACGATAAGCGTGGTTTCAGTACGGTTAATGAACCTTGTATTTCCTCAATCTTGCCAGCTTGTGATTCTTCCCCGACAGCCGAACGGGTTTCCTCGCCAGATAGGGTCAGAGACAGATTCCTGCGAATTTCCGCGTCTGACAGGCTCAGTTACAGACTGTGCGAATAATTATGTAACTGATCTGCAGTCGATAATCGGTACACTGTGAAACACCCTCTTTCGTATTTCCCTAAATAACACGGCTCTCCGAACCTTGGGAATTTCACAGTTTCGGGATTTCCAACAGAAGGCAGCAACTCGTAGTTTCCAAGGCCGTCCCGTCCTTTTCCCAGCCACTCCTAACGTTTCGGACCCATGCCATCCTGACGTGCTTGCGGGTGGTAGGGCACGCTCTAGGCTCCCGCTTAGCGCATTATTGAGTTTCCTGACTAGCTGCGTCTGGTCTAGCACGCTTTCGGCTCGCGCGGAGTGCATTATAATCTGTCAGAGGTGTAGCCTTTTCGCTGGTTTGCGCTTGAGGAAATGGACCAATCAGAGGCGAAGGATGCCTCAGCCGCGATCGCGGCACCAGGAGCCGGGGACGGCGCATCGACGGAGGCGAGGGTCGCTGCAGACGCGAGTAGCTTCGGATTGCCTTTTATCTTGAATTACTGGAAAGGTATTGAGGTTCAGAGGTTGTTGGGTTGAAGAAAACGACGCCAGTAGCTACTGTATTGCTCTTGAAATGACTCTAATGGTTAAGTTCCGACACTGATGGAAGCTGCGACATCCCCGAGACCTTTTCTTGTGTTCGAAACGCGTGCCTACTCTTCTCGATCGAGCCAGCTTAAGTTTCGCTGGAAATGCCAGCATCTTCTCACTGCCGTCCATGCTGGGATTTTCAAAGTCAATGCAAGTACTAGTTAACTTTCTGTTCATGCAGCCTTCCGTTCCGTGTCTGCTCATGTCCCAGAGTTCGACTTGGAGATTGAGAATGACAAATCGTGAGATAACTGTGAAACGCAAATCTCCCTCTTGGAGAACGCACGGACAGGACATCTCTGGACGAACAAGGCCTGAAGATTGAACTTAGAGATTTTCTGACAAAGCAACCCCCCCTCTGTGTGTGTCTTTTCCTTTCCCAGAGTTTGACTTGGAGAATGCACGGACGTCACTGGACGAGCAAGGGTTGAAGATTGCGGAGAATCAGGAGGCGAGCTCCAAGAATCGGAGGAAACTCGCAGAGTCCACACGAGGTAGGTTGAAACGGAATCTTTCTGAAGTTCTCCCATGAGAGTATGAGTTGATGTTTGCAGCAAAGAATCAGGAGGCGAGCTCCAAGAATCGGAGGAAACTCGCAGAGTCCACACGAGGTAGGTTGAAATGGAATCTTTCTGAAGTTCTCCCATGAGAGTATGAGTTGATGTTTGCAGCAAAGAATCAGGAGGCGAGCTCCAAGAATCGGAGGAAACTCGCAAAGTCCACACGAGGTAGGTTGAAACGGAATCTTTCTGAAGTTCTCCCATGAGAGTATGAGTTGATGTTTGCAGCAAAGAATCAGGAGGCGAGCTCCAAGAATCGGAGGAAACTCGCAGAGTCCACACGAGGTGGGACCTGAAGCACAGCAAGAATTGGATGAATCTAGCTGGCATTGCAGCAACCATCAGAGGTGGTGGTGTGATGATTAATTGATTCGAACTGCGGTGAGCCAAAGAAAACGAGGACGGGCTACAAATGTTCTTGACGTGTGGATGTTTGTAACTTAGCTGCTGCAGATATCTGTCATTCTGTTGTCAGCTCTCACGTTTTTCACCAAAAATCACGACGTGAGTCTCCGAATGATGCATTCTCCAACCACCCCCCGTCTCTGCACTCCGGCAAACTTCAAGGAAGCAGCCAGAGACGAGCAGAGCAAGCTGTTTGGCGCGCTTCTGAACGTGTAACTCACAAAGAACATCAGTCTAGAGCCACCCGTCAAAGCACCACCGCACCATCCAACCATCCTGTTCTCCCTCTCTATCCGCCCTGCAGACTTCAAGAAGGCAGGTAAAGAGGAGCAGAGCAAGTTGTTCGGCGCCCTTCTCAAGGCGTATCAGGAGGAGGTGGACAACCTCACAAAGCGCGCCAAGTTTGCAGAAGCATCTTTCCTGGGCGTCTACCAGAAGCTCTATGAGGCCCCGGATCCTGTGCCGTCCCTGGCGTCTGCTGCTGTGAGTTTCCATTCCAGGTGCTGTAACCTGTGGCAGCATGAGCGTCATTTGTAGAAGCTGGGGTGTGTGCATATTGAGCAGCCTTCCTGAGTGTCTACCAGAAGCTCTATGAGGCCCAGGATCCTGTGCCGTCACTGGCGTCTGCTGCTGTAACGTTTTAACATGTTCGAGCTGTCTGTAGTTGTGGGATACTAGCTGCCTTCCTGGGCGTCGACCAGAAGCTTTACAAAGGCCCCGGATCCTGTGCCGTCCCTGGCGTCTGCTGCTGTGAGTGCCTGGTCTAGGGGAACGAATCAATGCCTGCTTTACTGCTACCGTGAAACTCAAGAGAGTTTCTGGTGCTGTTGCGTGTGCATAGCATACTGAGCTACCTTTCTGGGCGTCCATCTGATCTGATCAGAAGTGAGAGCTTTAACTCTGTGCATTCTCTTTCAATATCAGTCTTCAAGTCAAGGGCCTTAGAGAATGGCACTCTTTATCTCCTCTTCCCACCTTCATCCCACTCCCAACCCCTTGTTTGAGTCGTCTCAAGGATCCGCTCTGTTTCCTTTCCGTTCTCATCCCAACTTGTTCCATTGGCCTCTCTCCAGGAGGTGGCAGCGAATGCTGCTGAGCTGGCGGCGGAGAATCGGCGCATGCATGCTGAGCTGGAGGAGTTCCGATCTGAGTCAGCACACCTCAAGAACCAGCAGGCGACGGTTCGACGGCTGGAGGAGAGAAACCGACAGCTGGAGCAGCAGGTGGGTGGTGGGAAGGGAAACTGAAGGGAGAGACAGATGGAGCAGCAGGTGGGTGAGATTTGGAAAAGGTGCTCGTTTTAGACGACTAAACAACCACCTCTGAGTCATCAGTGCACCTGAAGAACCAGCAGGCGACCGTGTGACGACTGGAAGAGAGAAACCGACAGCTGGAGCAACAGGTGGGTGGGGAAGACAGGAGGTGGGTGGGGTGGTTTGGGAAGACAGGTGGTTGGGGAAGGATTAGGTAGAGTGACAGGGGAAGCAGCAGCGGGGTGGGAAGGGGATTGACAGCTGGAGTAACAGGTGGGAAGGGACAGGAGGGTGGGAAAAACAGGCGGGTGGGTAAGGCAGGTGGGTGAGAAATGCAGGTGGGCGAGGAAGACAGGTGGAACAGCAGGTGGTTTGGAAATGAACAAGTGGAGGGACAGGTGACAGAGCAGGTCGGGGGGAAAGGCAGGTGGGTGGGGAAGACAGATCCGTCTGATTCGAATCAAATCTGATGCCCCTCTCCCTGCCTGTTCTCGTATGTTGTGCACACTCCCATGTTCGTCAGATGGAGGAGAAGGTGAAGGAGATTGTGGCAATGAAGCAGCATGTTCCTTTCAGTCATCTCAAGCTGTGTGACGTGTTCTGTTCCCTGTGTGCCCATCCCTCTGTGTGTATGTGCATGAGCACGTCAGATGGAGGAGAAGGTGAAGGAGATGGTGGCGATGAAGCAGCATGTGCTTCTGACTCATCCCGAGCTGTGCCTCTCCGTGCTTGTGTATGCCCTATTGTCTGTCTGTCTGTGTGTGTGCATGAGCACGTCAGATGGAGGAGAAGGTGAAGGAGATGGTGGCGATGAAGCAGCATGTGCTTCTGACTCATCCCGAGCTGTGCCTCTCCGTGCTTGTGTATGCCCTATTGTCTGTCTGTCTGTGTGTGTGCATGAGCACGTCAGATGGAGGAGAAGGTGAAGGAGATGGTGGCGATGAAGCAGCATGTGCTTCTGACTCATCCCGAGCTGTGCCTCTCCGTGCTTGTGTATGCCCTATTGTCTGTCTGTCTGTGTGTGTGCATGAGCACATCAGATGGAGGAGAAGGTGAAGGAGATGGTGGCGATGAAGCAGCATGTGCTGGCGGAGGAGAGCCAACGGAGCATGGAAACACTCAAGTCAAGGCAAGTCAACGCTGGTCAATGCAGATCAAGGCAGGGTCAGGGCAAGTCAAGGCATGGTCAGGTCAAGTTAAAGTTTATGCAGGGTTTGAAGGCAGGAAGGTCAAATCAGGGTCAATGCAGGGTCAACGCAGGTCAAATAAGGTTCAATGCGGGATCAAAGCAGGTCAAATTAAGCTCAAAGACTGAGGATTTGTGGGGCGTCTTGAAACCCCTCCCTCCCTCGTTTCTTCTCCTCTCCTCGTCTCTCCCCCTTGGCAGGGAGGACGCAACGCACTGCTGGAGCAGCTGCGGGCGGCGAGGGAGACAGTGAACACTCATGATGATGTGCGACTCCTCAATCAAAGATACACTCTCCCTCTCTCCCTCTCTCCCTCCCTCCCTCCCTCCCTCCCTCCCTCCCTCCCTCCCTCCCTCCCTCCCTCCCTCCCTCCCTCCCTCCCTCCCTCCCTCCCTCCCTCCCTGCCTCCCTCCCTCCCCTCTGTCCTCCCTCCGTCAACAGGGAGGATGCACTGCAGGAGCAGCTGAGGGCGGCGAGGGAGACAGTGAGCAACATGCAGCGGCTGCACGAGATGAGCCAGTCGCAGCTGTTCGAGCTCAAGGCGCAGTCAGGTAGGTTTAAATGGCTTACTCAGTCAGTGGTAGTTTCACAGCACAATGTACCAGCAGCTGAGGGCAGCGAGGGAGACAGTGAGCAACATGCAGCGGCTGCACGAGATGAGCCAGTCGCAGCTGTTCGAGCTCAAGGCTCAGTCTGGTGGGCGTGAACTACGAATGGGACATTTTAGTTTCACATCCCAGCACATTATAGCAGCATCACGGCCAGGTGGTCGAGACAGTGAGCAACATGCAGCGACTGCACGAGATGAGCCAGTTGCAGCTGTTCCAGCTCAAGGCTCAGTCAGGTGGCCGTGCAGTGTAAACTCCCAATAGGGCATCCTAATTTCACAACACAGCACAACATAGCAGCAGCAGCAATTGTGAGTGAGCAACATGCAGCGCCTGCACGAGATGAGCCAGTCACAGCTGTTTGATAGAACTCAAGTTGGATATCATGTTTTGATTCGACCCAAAACACGACTCATTACACGCGCACGGGATGAGCCAATTACAGCTGTTTGATTGAACTCGAGTCGGATATCATATCACGTCAAGGCTTTCAGAAAACCACATGGGAACCTTGAAATGATGGGCTTGCATAGCTTTTCCTCCCTCTCCCCTCCCTGCTGCTATATCCCCTCTTGCCTTTCCATCAGAGGAGGAGCGCGCATCAAAGAAGGGAGAAGTGAAATGAACCGCCTGACAGACGAGGAGAAGCAGTCAGACGTCTCAAAAGCCCCTCTTCCCTTCCCTCTTCCCCGTTGCTCCCCGTTCCATTCTCCCTCACCCCCATCAGAGCAGGAGTGGGCATCAAAGCAGGGCGAGGTGAACCGCCTGACAGACGAGGTGGATCAGTGAGACGTCTCAAAAGCCCCTCTTCCCTTCCCTCACCCCCATCGCTCTCCCCTGTCCTTTTCCCCCACCCTCACTCCCTTGTGCTATCGTCCATCAGAGGAGGATCGCGCGTCGAAGCAGGGCGAGGTGAATTTGCTGACCGACGAGGTGGAGCGAGCTCAGGCGCGGCTTCTGGCTCTGGAGAGAGAGAAGGTGAGCGGGATGGGAGGTAGGAATGCACTGGGTGAGCGGGGTAGGAGGTGAGAGAGAGCAAGGCGGATCAGACGAGGTGGAGCGAACCCAGGCACGGCTGCTGGCGCTGGAGAGAGAGAGAAGGTGAGCGGGGTGGGAGCTTGAGGTGCACTGGGTGAGGAGAGGGAAAGCAAAGCGTATTGGAATGTGGACAGGAGGAGCAAGCATAGTCGCGATGTTAGTGTTAGCCCTCAATCTCACACTTTGTACTTTATATTTCCTATATCCTAGAGTAGTGTAGTTTGCACTTTGTGTTTGGTTGGGTGTACACCTACATCCCAACCAAACCCAAATGTAATCTCCAAGCAATCTCCAACTCACCAATTGGAGATTGCCTTGGGATTACCCCCAATCCCTAGGGATTGCCCCGAATTCCCTTCCCCATCCATTCCTTGCCCTTCTTGGATGTACTTAAAGAGCTTCAAGCTCATTACTAATGCATCAATTCTAAGCCTAACTTCTGACACGCGACTGCTGCCTTCTGAGAGAGAGAAGGTGAGCGGGGGGAAGAGATCGAGAGGTGTGGTACAGAGGGATACAGTGGGATACAGTGGCCTGTTGCGTCTTCCCTAACCTGTCCGCCCCCCTCTCTCCCCCTGCACGCACTGCTCTCTCCCCCCTCCAGGAAGCTCTAAAGGCGCAGCTGCAGACTGCACAACCTAGTGAAGCAGCAGATGGCGAGAGGTGAGCTGCTATTACCAATTCCTGCTGTTTCTGCTGCCACCTCATGTGCACTCATGCGCACTTGCTTTCACCTCTCTAAAGCTCTAAAGGCGCAGCTGCAGACTGCACAACCTAGTGAAGTGGCAGATGGCGAGAGGTGAACTGCTGCCGCCCAACCTCATGTGCACTCATACAGCGCACTTCGTTTCACCTGTATAGATAGAGTCGGCACATGGGCAGACTGCACAGCCCAGTGAAGCAGCAGATGGTGTGAGGTGAGCTGCTGCTGCCGCCACCTCATGTGCACTCATGCAGCGCACTTCGTTTCACCTGTATAGATAGAGTCGGCACATGGGCAGACTGCACAGCCCAGTGAAGCAGCAGATGGTGTGAGGTGAGCTGCTGCTGCTCTACCTCATGTGCACTCATACAGCGCGCTTCGTTTCACCTGTATAGATAGAGTTGGCACATGGGCAGACTGCACAGCCCAGTGAAGCAGCAGATGGTGTGAGGTGAGCTGCTGCTGCCGCCACCTCATGTGCACTCATACAGCGCGCTTCGTTTCACCTGTATAGATAGAGTCGGCACATGGGCAGACTGCACAGCCCAGTGAAGCAGCAGATGGTGTGAGGTGAGCTGCTACTGCTCTACCTTATGTGCACTCATACAGCGCGCTTCGTTTCACCTGTATAGATAGAGTCGGCACATGGGCAGACTGCACAGCCCACAGCACGGACAGCAGCAGGGCCATTGGGTGGGAGGCGGCAGTGAGGGCAAAAGAGGTTGTGATAGCATCTCTGCATCAGGAGCTGCACGCCCTGGAAGCAGCAGGGGCGGCGGAGAGGGGTGGATAGGATAGTCCCATACCCTTACCCCTTGTTTTTCCTGTCACTCTTCCGCACATCGTCCCCCACCCGCACTCCCCTGCTTTCCTATACAGCACGGACAGCAGTGGAGCGGTGGGGTGGGAGGCGGCAGTGAGGGCAAAGGAGGCGGTGATAGCATCGCTGCATCAGGAGCTGCACGCCCTGGAGGCAGCAGGGGCGGCTGAGAGGGAGGAGCAGCGGGCGGAGGTGAAACGACTCAAGGCGCTGCTGCAGGACCAGGTGGGCGTTTGGGCTGATAGTGTGGGGTGGGTGGGATGGGGCAAGACAATTTGCTGTGTCAACTGTTGCCGATCAAGGCAGGTTGATGGGAGAGAGGGAGGAGCAGAGGGCGGAGGTGAAGCGACTCAAGGCGCTGCTGCAGGACCAGGTGGGTGTGTGTGGGTATTATGAAGATGGTGGTCATTCGGCTTGTATGTCCTCCTGGTGGCTTCTTCCATCTCACATCTCACCACCCACCTCCCACATCCAGGACAGGTCGCACGATTCGCAGTGCATTGCTCTCACACAACCCACCCCACCCCGCCCATCACCAGGAGTCGTTGTCTGTAGCTGTGCTCAGAGCGGAACTGGCAACAAGGCCCACACACTCTCTCCGCATACACATCAACTCAACCATTGGTGCAATGCGCCTCTCTCACACAACACAACACAACACCGCCCACCCAACCATCACCAGGACGACGCGTCTGTAGCCGCACTGAGAGCAGAACTGGCAACCAGGCCCGCACAGAGTTTCCAGACGTCTCAACTATTGCTGCTGTCTCTCACACCTCCCACCCCCCCCCCCCCCCCCCCCCCCCCCCCCCCACCCACGCATCACCAGGAGTCGTCCATTGGAGCGCTGAGAGCGGAGCTGGCAACGAGGCCCACACAGAGGCAGTGGGAGGACCTGCGCAAGCAAGTGAAGATCCTGCAGGTGAGACCTTTCCACAGGCTGTGGTGCTCTGGGTTTTGGTGGTAATGCAAGGTCGGTCACTCGAGTATGCTCTATCCTTGTGTGAGTGTGAGCTCCTCTTTCAACTATAACTACAGAGATGTCGACTTTTGAGGCCCCTCAAAAGTCCTCTTTCAACTATGACCACAGAGATGTCGGAAAGATCATGGCTTCAACAATTCTCCCCCTCCGCTCCCCACCCCACCCCACCCTACATCCACTGTTGCCCCCTAGGCTGTGGGGTACAATGCAGTGGAAGTGGACGACTGGGATGAACCAGGCATGGCATCCAACGGTCCAGGATCGTCCTCCGATCTCTCTGCTGCTGCAGATGGGGACAGTGGGAAAAGGGGAGGGGAAGGGGGAGTGATGCGCAGCAGCAGTGGGGCTGACATTGGGAAACTGGAGGCGTTGCTTCTGGAGAAGAACAAACGGATGGAGCACGAGTTGACTCAAGTCAAGGTGAGTCAACGCTGGTCAATGGGAGGCCCCAAGGTCCATAAGCACCAAATGGGGAAAGGGAAGGAGGGGAAGGGGGAGTGATGCGCAGCAGCAGTGGGGCTGACGTTGAGAAGCTTGAGGCGTTGCTTTTGGAGAAGAACAAGCGGATGGAGCACGAGTTGACCCAAGTCAAGGTGCGCAGCAGGAGTGGGGCTCACATCCCCTCGCCTTCCCTGCTCATACCATACCACAGTCAGAAACACATGAGAGTGAGTGTTGTGTTGGCCAACAGAAGCCTCTCATTGGCTGGCTGAAGGATGATATTTTCATCTCAAGGGAAGGGCCCTATTGACATGACGTGCCTCCCCTCTTCCCTGTCTCTGCCGTCCCCTGTGCCGCCCCTTCCCCGCTTTCCTTCCTTCCTTCCGTCCGCCCTCTTACACACCACACCTGATGCGTTTGAGTGAGAGGTAGGAGGAGTGTGATCGGGAGGAGTGTGATCGGGAGTGGGGTGATCAGGAGGAGTGTGATCGTGAGAGAGGAGTGAGAAGGAGGAGGATTGTGATCAAGCCAAGGCTAAGTTGGTAGCACTGGAAGGGGCAGTGGCAGAGCAGAGGGCGCTCATAGGCAAATTGGAGGACGACATTCTCAAGGGCCCCTTCGCATCCACCCCCCTCCCTTATTCCCCTGCTCCCGTATTCCTTCAAACACCCTCTCCAGATGCGTCTAAGTGAGAGGGAGGAGGAGTGCGATGAAACGAAAGCTAAGCTGGTAGCACTGGAAGGGACAGTGGCGGAGCAGAGGGCGCTCATAGGCAAACTGGAGGACGACATTCTCAAGGGCTATGGCGCACGGGACAAGCACCGGGCGGCGTCCGTTGGCAGCATTGTCTCGATGCCCGGAGCAGCGGGCGGCAGCGGTGGTGGTGGTGTGGATGGTGGTGTTACAGGTGGCAGCAGCAGATTGGTGGATGATGATTCGGTGCTGATGGTGGTATGCGGGCAGCGGGACAGGTTCCGACAGCGAATGGGAGAGCTGGAAGAGGTGAGGGAGGGCAGAGCAAGGGAAGCGAATGGAAGGGGGGTGTTTAGCGTACAACACATTAGCTCGTGGTGGTGTGTGTATGGCAGTGGGACAGGTTCAGGCAGCGAATGGGAGAGCTGGACAGCAAGGCAGAGGAGGAGAGGGAAGGTGAGGGTAGGGGAATGGGAGAAGGAGTGTTTCCAGCATTATCGCACCAGGAGAGATTCTGACAGCAAAATGGCGAGTGATGTGTGGATGATGGTGATGATGATGGCGATAGTGATGGTGGTGATTCGGTGCTCATTGTGGTGTTGTAGCCCTTGAGAACTCTCAAAAAGTATATTTGAGGGGGGTTGTGGCGTGGCACACCCCTGCTACTGCGTTTTTCTTCCTCTTCTTCTTGTAAGCATTCTCAATCCCTTGCCCTGCAACGCACTTTTTCTTCTTCTTCATTTAAACACAAGCTAGGCTCTATATCTCCCTTGGTTTCTCATTTTCAGGAACTGCGGGCAGAAAGGGAGAGGAGCAGCAAGTTAGCGACAGAGGTGGAGCGGTTGAAAGCAGACAACGTGAAGCTGTATGAGCGCATGCGCTACGTGCAGGACTACACGAGCGCTGGTGGGGGAGGGGACAGACCCAACTCCAGCCGGTCGAGAAAGGTGTGTCTACCTATCTTCCCATGTGAATATAGCCGCACCAGAGGGCTGTGGCTGGGTTTGAGAGACGACAACGTGAAGCTGTATGAGCACATGCGCTACGTACAGGACTACACGAGCGCTGGTGGGGGAGGGGACAGACCCAACACTAGTCGATCCAGAAAGGTATGTGTACTGCCCATCTCACCATCTGGAGCAGAGGTGGAGCGGTTGAAAAAGGACATCAGGAAGCTGTACGAGCGCATGTGCTACGTGCAGGGACTACACGAGCGCTGGAGGAGGGGGGGGTGACAGACCCAACAGTAGTCGATCCAGGAAGGTAAGTGTGTACCCATGAACCATGTGGCTATTCTGGCCCCTGGTACGGTGACAGTGGGCAACAGGAAGCTGTATGAGCGCATGCGCTACGTGCACGACTACACGAGTGCAGGGGGACGGGACAGAGCCAACAGTAGTCGATCCAGGAAGGTATGTGTGAGCAGCGGTGCTACAGTGGACCTGTATCTGTATGGGGATAACGCTGGTTGTTGAATGCCGGTAACGTGAAGCTGTGTGAGCGACGTGTATGAAGAGTGGTTTTGAGATGTCTCAAAACCTATCTTCATACGCGCGGTGCTACAGTGGGCCTGTATCTGTATGGGGGTAACGCTGGTTGAATGCCGGCAACGTGAAGCTGTGTGAGCGCATGAGCTACGTGCGAAAAGTCATAAACCCCTCCCCTTTCTGACGATTCGCATCCTTCACGCACCTGCCCATCTGCACTGCACCCTCTCTCCCCTCTCCCCTCCATCCACCGTCAGAGTGACATAGAGGCGGGTTCAGCAGCGGACGTGGAGAGCAAGAACAAGAAGATCTACGAGGAGACAATCAACCCTCTCTCTTTGTCCCTTGCACTCTCCATCCTCTACCCCACGCCCCGCCTCCATCACACCGCACCAGAGTGACCTCGAGGCGGGTCCAGCAGCGGACGTGGAGAGCAAGTACAAGAAGATCTACGAGGAGACAATCAACCCCCTCTTTTTTTTCCCTTGCGCTCTCCATCCTCTACCCCACGCCCCGCCTCCATCACACCACACCAGAGTGACCTCGAGGCGGGTCCAGCAGCAGACGTGGAGGGCAAGTACAAGAAGATCTACGAGGAGACAATCAACCCGTTCGCTGCTTTCTCCACCAAGGTACTGCTCAAGTACTGCAGAAATGTTGTGCTGCTGTTGCTGCGGCTGCGACTGCGGCGGCCGCCGGTGTTCCTATGCAAATCGATTATGCGCCACAGTAATGGGCCTATGTTGCTACTTGGCGTTATGCTGTTCCTTAGTTTCTGTCACACTGTGTGCACATGCCTCAGAATATGATTTTCTCAGGCTGTGAGCGTGGGAGTGGGAGTATCATGGGTTCCTTTGCAGTGCTCCACAGTTTCTCTCATCATCTCGTGACTTGTCATGTGTACGTTTATGCATGTCACCCCAATTGCTGCTTCGCTATGGATGCAATGTGAACAGGAGAGGGAGCAGCGGGTAAGGGACCTGGGTCTGCGAGACAGAATCACCCTCACCAGCGGCAAATTCCTCCTCTCCAACAAGTCAGTCCCTCATCTCATCTAGTTTCACTCCTCCACTCATTTCATCTCCTCCTTCCTTTTTCCTCCCGCCCTGTCTCCATCCACACCACCCTTTGCCAGCCTCACCTTTCAAACTGTGTATCACACAGTTTTTGAGTCGACTCAAAAGTTGTATCACACAGCTTCTGTCCGCGTGCATATTGGCAGATCTTGTAACATCCATGTGTCCATGCCCATGTGTCCACGTCCTTGTGTCCACTCCCATGTGTCTACTCCTCTCTCCTCTTACCCTCTTCGCACTTTCCCAAGAAATCATATTCTGTTCCCTCCCTTGCGCTCTCCCACGTATGCACTCATTTCTGACGTCCTCTGTGGCGCCTGATGGTTTTTTTTTTGGGGGGGGTGGGGGGGGGGATACAAATTTGAAGAAAAGCTTCCTCTCTTCCCTCCCTTCTCCCAGGTATGCGCGCACGTTTGTCTTCTTCTACTCCATCGGCCTGCATATCCTCGTGGCTCTCAGCATGTACCGCCTCTCCAGCCTCAGCCATGCCAGGTCAGCATGCATGCATGAGTGCATGATGATTCGTGTATCCATGCCACATGCATATCCATGTGTCTCTCAGCATGTACCGCCTCACCAGCCTCAGCCATGGGAGGTCAGCATTCGGGCATTTATGTCTGATTCAAGAGATGGCCCATGTGCATGCTTGGACATGATTTCTTTCTTTCCTTCCTGGCCTTGGAGCATGGCTCACAACTGCAACTTGCAACCCTCTCCTTGTCCCCTCCGCTTTGGGTTTCAGGATAAAGTTTGACGAGGATGAGCTTCCATCGAAACACACTCTATTGACCGCAGCTCTGAGGTCACGCAATGCCACATTTGGTGGTGGCCAATCGTCTGGTTGAGAGAAGTAATGAAAGCACGTGATTATGATTTTGTATGGATGCACTATGTATGTACATTATGCTGTGCTACTCACCAAGTCCGTTTATCATCTTATATGTTATCCTTTCTTCAAATTATACTTTGTACACAGCTCAACTCAATTGAGTACAAGCTTATCAGGCTTCAGACAACTGTAATGGCATGTCAGAGTAGCCACTGAATTCTTATAGCGGAGCACCGTCAAACGGGTCATTGTTATGCGAAACTGAACAACTAAAGAAATCGTAGTTTTGTGGGAGTCGAATCAGATCAGGACGGATGAGATGAGGTTGGGTCAGGTCGAATGGGATTCGGGTGCATCCGTCCAACGTAAATGTGCTGATCACACCGCCATTGAATTCAACAGTTCTTTTCCTTGCTTGATCGACCGATACGACCAGAAAGCCATCAATTAGCATAATAACTGATATTAGAGCATTCAGCGAACTAGGTACTGGAAACTATTTTTTTGAGTATTATTAAGCAGTACGCTCCCTCGGGAAAGAGCAGGAAATAGTGCGTTCAGTACGTTCTCTGGGTCCGAAGCGGGGAGATTCTGATGGATAGCAGCGATAATGCGCTTGTATCGAAGGAGAGCGAGCGCAACGACCATGTGCTTGTATCGAGGCAGAGCGAGGGCCGCGACCATGTGCTTGTATTGAAGCACGTGCCGGCGACGGCGAGTCAGGAAGTGCTGGATCGGCTGCTGCAGCGGTTTGGAGCGGTGGAAGTGGTTAGCAGGTGGGAGAGTAGCATGTGGTGGACGCGTGGATGGTGAATGCGTTGCTGCGTGATAACTACTATGTTGTCCGACGTCTCAAGTCGATTTTATCATATCGTTTATGGTGCCTGCGTTGTTGCTGCTGATTGACCCATATCAGTGTCAGCTCATCAGCAGCAGCACGGAGAACTGAATGTGCAGGAGCAAAGTGACTGTTGATTGGCCGTTGATGGACAGTCGATCGACCATTGACGGACTGTTAACTGACCGTTGACTGACCGTTGACTGGCCGTTGACTGGCCGTTGACTGGCCGTTGAGTGGCCGTTAAGTGACCGTTTGGTCAAATTAAATGTCAGCTCTTCTCCAGCTCTTCAGTTCCAAAAGCTGGCCTTCGTTTCTCCACCCAACACCAAGAGCAAGAGAGTGGTGTAACGGATTGGCACAACAGCTACATATCAGCAGGGAGAATTGCGGAGCAAGAGAGTGGTGCATATGTGTGCTATGAAGCAATTCAGTAGCCTCACCCCCACACCTTCGATCCCCCTCCCGTGAAATCTCGTGGTTCCTTCCCACCAGGAGCAAGGGGGTGGTGTATGTGCGTTTCAAGGCACAGAGTGAGGCAGTCTCGGCTAAGAAACAACTCCATGGGTAAGCTTTTTGCTCTCCACTCTGCACACTCCACGGGTAAGTTTTTTAATTTTCTGCACACTCTACTCACTTGTTAGCAGGGGTAGCATAAGGGGTATGAGAAGTTGTTGGTAGCAAGCTGTGCCTTCTCATACCCCTTATGCTGCTTCTTTTTCCTATCTACAGCTAGAAGGAACAATCACCGAACTTTTATTTTTCTACTCCCCACTCCTCTTCCCTCTTCCCTCGCTCCCTCCCCGACCAACAGCATCCGCATGGGAAGAAACAACATATCAGCTCACTACTTCCCCCCTCATTCAGCTGACTGCACTGAACCGCACTCCACACCTGTCATTCCTTCTTCTGCTGCTGCTCCTTCTACTGCTCACAAGCATGGAGCACACAGGGAGGCATCACCACCACCACCGCCGCCGTTACAGCAAAGGCCTTTCACTGACCCCTCTCTCCGCCGCCTGCTGCATGCCCTCATGGCTTTCAGCGAGCAAGAACAGCTGGTTTCACAAAGGCGTGAAGGAGAGGGAGCAACAGCAGCAGCAGCAGCAGCAGCAGGGCAGGAACAACTTATTGTGAGAGAAAATACTATTGACCGAGAGAAGGGGATGACAGGTGCAGAGGAAGCAGTGGGCCAACAGCAGGGATTGGGAAGCAGAGGGAAGGAGAGGGTTGAAGAGAGAAGGGACGAAGCAGCATTGCCTATAGGGGAGGTGCACGCAGAAAGGGGAAGCCATTTAGCAGCAGGAGGGGGGGAGGGAGAAAGCTGTGTGGAGGAAGGGAGCTATTATCCCTTTCCTCCCCCACACTTTAGGTCTGTGGTCCTGTTCCCACACCCCCTTTTTTCCACACTCTCTCCTCTTCACGCAACCCTTGCACATGCTGCAGCCTTTCCGCGAGCTGCAGCTTTTGCTTCACGAGGCCTGCCTGCCTGCCTGCCTGCCTGCCGTTCACCATGTGCACTAGGTGACTTCTGAGTCGTCTCAGAGGCCACCTTTGCACGAGCTGCAGCTTTTGCTTCACGAGGCCTGCCTGCCTGCCTGCCTGCCGTTCATCATGTGCACTAGTAAGAACTCTTAGAAACAACCCCTTGTCCCTCTCCATTCCCCACCATTTCCCCCCCTTCTCTCGTAACCCCCCGTTTCCCCTTGTACCAGGTACGCGTACCCTCCTCCGTCTGCTCCCACCATCATCAACATTGCTCTTGCACTCATCGCCACACCCCGCCTATACACGCAGGTAGGCTGGGCTGGCCCGACCGTCATGACTCGCAGGTGTGGTGCGATGTGGTGCGGTGTGGTGCGGTGTGGTGTGGTGTGGTGCGGTGTGGTGTGGTGTGGTGTGGTGTGGTGTGGTGCGGTGTGGTGTGTTGGGGTTGACAAAAAATGATATAGCTCTCGCTCGCTCGCGATCATCGCCACTCCTTGCCTCTACAAACAGGTATGCTGGACCGACCCTGCTGACACGCAGGTGTGGTGTGGTGTGGTGTGGTGTGGTGTGGTGTGGTGTGGTGTGCTGGCCCGATCGTCATGACTCGCAGGTGTGGTGTGGCGTGGTGGGATGGGGTGAAAGAATACTCAAATACCTCTGGCTTGCGCTCGTCGTAGCTTAACATGCTCATTAAGAGACATTCCAGGGATACATCTCTTTGTGTAGCGAGGTTGTTTTTGAGACGTCTCAAAAATTAACATGCTCATTAAGAGACATTCCAGCGATACTTTTTTTTGCCCCAATCTTCAATTGCTTCCTACCTCCCTTTCTCTCCCTGTCTGACCCCCTCTTTCCATCCCCAGGTGCTCCATCTGATAAACAAGATGAGTCTGCCGCCTTTTTCTCCTTCGTACTTCGCCACACTTTGACCAACTCCTTAGCTCCCTTCCTCTTACCATTCCTCCCCACTTCCCTGCTCCCTCCCGTGCATGCATCCCCCCAGTTGCTGCATTTGATGAACCTGCCTCCTCCGCTCCTCACCTTTTCTGCTCCGATATTTGATCCCTCCCTCCCCCCTCTCTTCCCACCCTCCAGGTTCTGCACTGCACTTGATGAACAAGATGAGCCTGCCGCCTCCCTTCCTGGCCTGCCACACTCCAACTGATTTCTTGCCTCCCTTCCTCTCTCTAACCCTCCCTACTTTCCCGCTCCCTCCCGTGTATCCCCCCAGGTGCTGCACTTGATGAACAAGATGAGCCTGCCTCCAACCCCTGTCCCTGCTTTTTAATATCACTCCCTACCTCCCGTCATCTCCCTGTCCCTTCTACTCCCTCCTATTCATCCCTCCCAGGTGCTGCACTTGATGAACAAGATGAGCCTGCCGCCTCCCTTCGGCCCAGTCGTCCTTCCTATGTCCCTGCAGTCCATGACACCGCACCCCACCGCACAGCATCATACCGCACTGCAGCCGTCACCACGACCACCATGCGCACCACATAAACTCAGCCCTTCCAACCCACCACCTCCTGACTCCCATCCAACCTCCTGCCAAGGCCCAACAACCGTCTCACCCCAACCACCTTACCCCCAACCGCTACCACCCCAGCCACGACAACCCTACCCGCAACCCCAACCACCCCAACCATCTTATCCCCAACCCCAACCACCCCAACAACCCCAGCCACCTCAATCATCCCACTCATTGCAATGGCAGCCCCCCCACCCACCGTCCAGCCACCCTGCCCTCGCTCCCTTACCCTCCCATCCTCCCTTTACTCAGAGACCCCCCTCCCTGGCACCTCTTCCTTTTCATCCTTCATATTTCCGCCACTCTACCCCGTTCCCTTCTACGCCCTTCCCTCCCTCACCCTTCGTTCCCGCACTCTCTCCCTTCCCTCCACCACCCACGCACCGTCCACTCCCCTCTCCCTCTCCTGCCCCATCTCCCTCTCATGCTCCCCTGCCACACACCGTCTCACCCGCTGCTGCTTTCGCTGCATCGCCCGCCTCCTCCTCTCAACCCACCACGAGCTCTTTTGATTCGCCCTCACAGCCCCTCAGAGCACAGTCGCCCTTGCCAACAGCAGCAGCGCCACCACCACGTTCCATCCCATCAAATCCTAGTCCTGGGACGTTTCTAAGCACCGTCAGTGCCGCCGCGTCCTCCTCCCAACCCTCCACGAGCCCCTTCGAGGCGCCCTCACAGCCCCTCAGAGCACAGTCACCCTTGCCACCAGCACATTCCGTCACCACCCCGTCCGATGCAAGCCTTCTGACGCCGAAAAGCACCGCACGAATTGCCGCTGCTGATGTCAATGCCTCCCGCCTCCCACCCTCCGCGTCCCGCCCTGTCACAAGCCTCCTTGAAACGCCGTCACAGCCCCTCAGCAGCGCACAATCATCCATACCAGCAGCAGCTGCCACCCGATTGAAGAAGGGTTTTGAGACGTCTCAAAACCCTTCTTCAGTCAATGACTCCCGCCTCCCGCTTTCCACGTCCCGCCCTGTCACAAGCCTTCTCGAAACGCCGTCACAGCCCCTTGGCGCACAATCATCCATACCAGCAGCAGCTGCCACCCCATCCAATGCGACTCTTGAAATTCCTCGAAGCACAGCTTCCCGCCCCAAACCTCCTGGGCTTTTCCCCGCACAGACAGATTCCAGTGTTGGTGGTGGTAGAGATGGCGGAAGGGGTGCCGTGCTTCCCATAGCAGAAAGAAGGGAGGGAGGCGGAGTTATCAGAACAAGGAAGAGAGGAGAGGTGGAGGAGGAGGAAGAAGAGGAGGAGGAGGGAGGGGATGAGGGTGTGTGGGAGGAAGGCGAGGAGAAGCGGCTGGAGAGAGCTGGAGTGAGAAAGGTGGTTGCAGGAAATGGAGGAAGGGTTGCGGGACGGGCAGGGCTGGTGGTCAAGAAAAGGACGCCTGTTTTGCAGGTAAATTCCGGCTACTGCAGCATTTTAAGGTACATTACTTAATGCAGTCGGTTGGATGTTCTTTTTGTGTATGCCCCCTCTCTCCCTGCTGCTGCACTGTCCTTTTTCAGCATTGTCAGATTCAGTTTGCGTCAACAGAAGAAAGAATCCGAGAGCAAGGCTGGAAAGGAAAGGTTGGGCCAAGGCGGGCGATAAAATGCACTCTCCATGTCGATATGGTGTCTTTTGAGACGCTCAAAGGCCATATGAATAAAGTGTTAGTCTCTGCCTCCCTGCCCTGCTGACCGTCGTGTTCCCCGCCGATTCTCAGATCCAGTTGCGGCCAGAGAAAAAGAAACCAAGAACTCACGAGGGCAGGGCAGCTGAAAGCAATGCTGCAGTGACAGACCAAGATTTTGGGGTGTCATTAACAGACCAGGAGGTTATGGTGACACTGACGGGACGAGGTGCGATGACAACGGGCGGACAGAAGGAGAGCGGTGCAGTGGCAGAGGCAATTTTGGAGTCGGATGGGGTGGAGGAGGGACAGCGGCAGGATGGAGCTGGTTTCGAGGAGGGAAGGGGAAAATACACGGACGGGCACAAGGAAATCCGGATATATGACGAGGGGGGAACCAAGGCGAAGGCAGAGGAAGGGGATGTGGGGAAAAGGGAGAGGACAAATGTGGGGGAGAAGGGGGGTGATAGAGAGACGTGCAGTTTGGCAGATGGTGTGGATAAGGAGAGAGAGGTGAGGCGTGAGGAGGATCTGAGAGAGGAGGGGAGTGAGGAGGATTGGAGAGGGGAGGGGGATGAGAAGAAGGCCACTTTGGAGGAGTTGAGGAGTCAGCAGCTGACAGGGGAGCAGTTGCTGGAGTGTGCAGCGTATAAGGTGGGAAACTGTTATGCAATTGGTGCACTTACTGTAAATATGGACACACAATGTGGGCTGAGGAGGCAGCAGCTGAGAGGAGAGCAGTTGCTGGAGTGTGCAGCGTATAAGGTGAGAAACTGATGTGTGCACGCACATAAGTGTTTATTGGTGCACACACAATGTGTGCGCTTGCATTGCACTAGATGGGTTGAGGAGGCAGCAGCTGAGAGGGGAGCAGTTGCTGGAGTGTGCAGCGTATAAGGTGGGAAACGAATGGCACCGTTTTGTTTAAGTCAGTTGGTTTTCCGTTCCAGATTTCATGTGTGCGCCCTGCATATGAGTGGTCAGTTTCTCATGTATGAATGCATGTGTTTGTGTGTGTGTGTGTGTGTGTGTGTGTGTGTGTGTGTGTGTGTGTGTGGGTGTGTGGGTGTGTGTGTGGGTGTGTGTGTGGTGTATATGTGTGTATGTAGGGGTGTGTGTGGGTGTGTGTGGGTGTGTGTGTGTGTGGTGTATGTATGTGTGTATGTGTGCGTGTGCATGTGTGTGCATGTGTGTGCATGTGTGTTCATGTGTGTGAGTGCAGAACTACAAGAGGGGCGAGCCATGCGCAACACTGTACATAAAGAACATCGCCAAGCCCACCACTACCGCCGACTTGTTCCGTATATTCGGTCAGTTAGTCTCTCTCACTTCCATTCATACTCTCAGACTTTCACTCAGGCACCTTCGAAGCAAGAGTATTTTTGAGACGTCTCAAAAACGTTAGTCTCGCTCACTTCCATTCGGGCTCTCAGACTTTCAGTCAGGCACCTTGTTGAGGCGCCTCAAAGAGTGGGTTGAGCCATGTGTCACGATGCACATAAAGAGCATTGCCAAGGCTGCCACCACCACCGACCTCGTTCGTATTTTTGGTCAGTCAGTCACTGGGTTCTCTCAGTCAATCAGTCAGTCAATCACCTTCATTAGGCGCTTCAAGAGAGGGGCGAGTCATCTCCCATGCTGTATATAAAGAACATCGCCAAGCTCACCACCACCAACGATTTGTTCCGTATCTTCGGTCAGTCGAGTTTGAGACGTCTCAAAGCTCAGAGTGGTCTGACCGGCTGTATATAAAGAACATCGCCAAGCCCGCCACCACAAACAATTTGTTCCGTATCTTCAATCAGTCACCTTCATTCGCACTCAGTCTGTCACGCTTCTCTTGTACTGTCAGTGAGTGAGTGAGTGAGCGAGTCAGTCAATCAGTGAGTGGGAGAGTCAGTGAGTGAGTGAGTCAGTGAATCAGTGAGTGGGAGAGTCAGTGAGTGAGTGAGTCAGTGAATCAGTGAGTGGGAGAGTCAGTGATTGAGTGAGTCAGTGAATCAGTGAGTGGGAGAGTCAGTGAGTGAGTGAGTGAGTCTAAATCAGTGAGGGCGTATTCCTGGCTTCGTGTCATCCCGGCTTTGTGTCATCCGAAATTGTGGGATCCAATCGGAAAATTCAAAGCTCGAAACACGGGTTTTCTGGATTGGCTCCCACAATTTCGGATGACACAAATATGGGATGACACGAAGCTAGGAATACGCCCTGAGTGGGAGAATCAGTGAGTTTGTCAGTCAGTCATTCAGTCAGTCATTCAGTCAGCAAGGCTTCATTTACTCCTTTTCACCCGTGTGATAGCGCTCTTTTTGTACATACCTTATAGGAATGCACGTACCTCTCTGTTTCACTACTTCATGGTCCGTGTCTACCAGTGAACACCTCTTTTCTTACATGTATACAATATTCCGCAACCGCTTATCACCTTCTTTTGGCCCATGCCATCAAACTTATCTGTTTTCACCTGCTGTGTCTTGAGGCGCCCAAAGAATCGTCTCCTGCTAATGGCCATACCATAAAACTCAAGTACACTCACGTGATTTAAGATTGGTTTTGAGACGTGTCTAAACCAATCTTATCTCACCTGCTGTGCATGCAATGTAACGGCCTTTTAGTCGGCTCGAAAATCTTATGATGTATATGTATACACATCTATATGTGTATACATATAATATATAGATATATATATGTATATACATTCGCTTGCTGTTCATGTATGCTTCCCCCCTGTTCTTCCCATGCCATGGTTCCTCACCCGTCCATATCTCCCTGGGCTGCCAGGAGCATTCCTCCCCGGCGACCTTGACTGGAAGTCAAAGATTGGAGTTCGACTCATGCAGGTATGCTGGTCTGGTGGCTTATGTTGCCATTTGGATATTTCATGACCCTCTGTGAACCCTGAACCTCGGTGTGTAGTTTTGATCGAGAGAGTTAGAATGGTTCTCTTTTCCAAGCCCCGCACCCCCGCCCCTTTCCTAATGCTCATGCCTATCCATGAACCTATTTTTAGCCCAAGTAACTTGTGATGTATTTTTCTTACCACCCCTTGAGAGCATTGCATGTGTTTCCCCACCCCATCAACTCCCCTTGCCCATCTTCCCTTTACATGCCTCCATCCTGCCACCTGCACGTGAGTTGATGTCTGCATTCTGATTTCTACGTGTGATGTGCGTAAATGGACGGACCTTTCAATAGGAAGGTCGGATGAAGGGCCAAGCATTTGTCACACTTCCAACTCCAGAGCTTGCTACAGAAGCTTTGGTAAGTCACACTGCAGTACATTATTGATCAATTCCTCAAGTGTGGACCGTCATGGGCTGGAGTGGATGCTTAACCATCTTTCAAATGCTATACAATGATGTTTGAAACATACTTTCTGCAGGATACGACACTTGGACTTGTGTTGCATGGTAAACCAATTATTGTGCAGTTTGGCCGAAAATAAGTTGGCTATCGATGTATCTCGACTAATGATTTATGAGATACTACTTTGTTATGTTAGGCCGTATTGCTTTCAAGACTTTCATATCATTACACACTTAATACATTGCAGAGAGGAAGGAGAAGAGGAGTGAGAAGGAATCGACAACAGGCCACATACTGCCTATAACAAAGGTCCTGCTTTGAGGCTAATGCCCAAATGCTTGGTATCAATTCATCAACATTAGTAATTAGCTTCACAAAAATGTTTAGTGTTTTGAATGTAATATGTAATTTGATCCATGGTAGAATTGCGGTGTCTTATTCCACCTAGGAGTAGGTGACCAGCCATTGGGTAGCGACAAGGGCTAGGCATAGGTTCCTACCAGATTTGGAACGCGTAGTATATTGTAGGGCAAGGAGGTCGATATTGTCACATATCCAGCCTCAAGTTTTTCACCGGCCTAAGGAATTACTCTCACGATGTGGCATTTCACTTCCCTTGTTCGGCGGCGTGCTCGTGCTCCACGCAAAACGACGCGACTCGAAATGCGGCGCGCCGAAGTGTGAGATTGAATCTCAAATTCACTAGGAAGTATAAATTCGAGCAAGCTTGATTCATTCCGCACAGCATTCGTTCAGCCTCTCGACAACACAAGCTGCTACTACACCTTTTACTACTGGCTGCTTCTTTAATCGTCAGAAAACGGCAACCATGGCTCAGAAGGTCGCGGTTTTCGTCGTCACTTTAGCATGCCTCGCCGCAGTAGGTAAGCTAACAAGCAATCCTTCTCCGTATCTTAGCCAAGTCACACCGTCCAATGACGTCATTAGCAGTACTATTCACTGAACCACGGATGCAAACGCTGCGAACTCTCTCATAGCACACAATCTGACGGATTTCGTGCGTTTTATCGCAGGTTTTGCGCGCCCTCCGGCGAGCTTTCGCACTCAGCTGGCGAAGATTGAGAAGAATGACGTGTTCCTGGGAACGTACCAGGGGTCGCTCTATGCTGAGCTGGACCACGTGGACGGCGCCGATAAGATGTCAGACGGCTATGCCTACCTGGCAATCTACAAGTAAGCTCATGGATGGTGATCTGACAGGGAGTGAATGCTGAGTGAAAATGTCAAAAATCAAGTATTTTTATGCATGGCGAACCAGCAAAAAGTGTAGCAGAACATAATTCCCTTCAAACGAACTCGATTAAGCAATGTAGTCACATTTTTTACGAATCTTCCGATGCTAATCCGCATATTCTCGCGTTTTATGGTTTCACAGGAAGGACGACGATTACAACATTCGCTTCGGCGGAGAGGCTGAATCCAAGGAGCCTGGGGAACCCACCGCGTTCACAATCAACAGCGTCGCCGACAACAGCCTCGTAATCGACATAGGCGCGGGTCAGACATACAAGAACGCCACGTACGAGCTCCGCGTGTTCAAGTTCCTTCAGAAGTTCATTCCGTACTCGTACAAGTTCAAGGGTAAGTGGACCCAGGCGAGCACCGTTACTGTCGCCGCGGGCACGCTGAAGGACACCGTTGACGCGATGAAGCAGAACCCTAAGAACTACTACGCGATTTTCAACACGGCGACTAGCCCTGCTGGTTGCGCCAAGGGCGAGTTTGACTTCATCCAGCCGTGGTGGAAGCGCCTGTAGGCACGGGACGGGACGGGAAATTCTAGCAGTAACAAGGAGCTCAGTTCAGTATGTGCTGAAGAATACCTAGCTTTGGATCTTGTTTTGAGGGGAAATGTGGTAGTTGATCCTGATGTGTAGGGGCTTGGTGTGCCAGTGCAGGGTGTAGGTTCACTCTCTTGGTGAACATTTCCCTCCAATTGTAGGGACTTTTTTCTTTTGTCGTGGGCTGCTGTTTGACTGGATGTAATACATATATTGATCAACTTTCTTTATAGCGCTGAAATACACAAAAGGTTTGAGGTCGTCTCTCCAGCAAGTGTCAAGAAAGGCTTGGTGTCAAGCGTTGTTTACGGTTGACACCAAGTGGAGCCGCGTGTGAGCGCGGCTCCAGCCTGGTGTCAATGTTGGGCACATTGGACGATTTCCCGCGATCTCATTGGTTGGTTTAGCTGACACCAGGAGGGATAGTCCTCCATGTGTTTTCGAGTTGGTGTCATGACACTAGCCCCTCTTGACACTTGCTGGAGAGACGACCTGAGACACTTGGAAATACAGGGTTCGGAACAGGGGTTTTTAATCAGAGTAAATTACTCTGTTTCTCTGAAAATCAGAGTGGTTTTTAGGGGGTCACTCTGACGTGTCTGGGTAATTTTTTTGGAGGGTAAGTTTTCTCTGATTTGTCAGGGTTCTGAATTTAGCTTCTCTGAGAGACCAGTGTATATTTGTGGCGGATGTACTTTTCTCTGTACAGGGTATAGGCATTTCGACCGACCCGCCTCACCCTGATTGTTTGAAGATGGGTTAGATTGATTAGTCGAATATAAGTCGGTAATCCATAAGAATGGTGAGCGCGTAGCACAACGCTCAGCCGTTTTGGTAGCAGTGCAGAAGGCCTGGGTTCAATACTTGAGAGAACACTCAGAGTTGGAAAAATAGATACACTGGGTGCCCAGAGTATATTTTTCAGAAGTTAAGTTTTCTCTGACAAATCAGAGTAACGCTCATAATGAACCCTGAATTTCAGAGTTCTCTAGAAAACAGCTCTGGAAATCCGAGTAGTGAAAATCCAAAAAAAAGCCCTGGTTCGGAAGCTGAGCTAGTAGCTTTGGGTTGGGAGTAGCTTTATTTCCCTGCTGGTGGTTCTTTATTTGCAATCTGAAATGGAATACTCATAATAATCGATTTAAGTGTACATTTGTGCTGAAGGGGGGAAAGGCATAAAGTGCAGATTCATGCTGTGGGAAATGGTTGACGCAGCTACCAGGAAAGCGTGCACACTTAGGAAAATTATTGTCAGACACCAACATTCTTTTATCAGCTTCATTTATATATATTAACGAATCAATGGGAAAAAAAGCATTAAGATCAGACTGAATAACTGCGTACACGTTTCATAAAAAAAAGGTGTTTGGCACAAACAGTGTAGAGAAGCTGGTTCTGTAGTGGAGTGTAATCGGAGTTATTCAAATGGTTATTTGTGGACTTATCAGGTCGAGAAGGGAGATAGGATTGTAACATTTTCGCCATCCCCGTTCAGTCGCAAAGCAGCAGCGGCGGGCACAACTCGATACTAACTCCATTGTCACGGAAATTAGCATATGCCCACTTTCCCCCGTAACGAGCGGAAAATAGCGAGTCGCAGCGTTATACACTTCGCTACCACCGCCCCCTTCCCCATTTCCCCCCTCGAATGGCGGCCGTAGCCGCCGCAAACCCATCCGCTGCGGCAATCGCGCCGCCGTCAGCGTCGGCGCCGCCGGCGGCGGCGGAAGCGGGGGAGAGTGTGCGGCAGTTTCGGCTGGAGCGCGAGACGGAGCTGCGCGTCGAGGTGGAGTGGGACGCGAAGCTAACGGTGAAGCTTGTATCGGGTACGGCGGAGATCTTCGGGTCCGAGATCGCGGTCGGGCAAAACGTCACCTTCGACGGCGGCGAGAAGTTCGCGGTGCGTGGGAGGCGGGCAGGGGAAGAGCGGGCGGGCGGGGGGGTGTGTTTGGAGTCGACTCAAAACGCACCGAGATCGCGGTCAGGCAAAACGTCACCTTCGACGGCGCGGAGAAATTCGCGGTGCGTGGGTGCGCAGGGGAAGAGCAGGCGGGGACCCGTGGGCAGAGGGCGGAGGTGAGGCGGAAGGCAGAGGGCGGAGGGAGGGAGGGGAGCGGAGAGTCGGGGAAGAGGAGTGGGGAAGAGGAGTGGAGAAGACGGGGAGAATGGAACGAGGAAGGAACTGTGGAACTGGGGAAATGGGGGAACGGGGGGAACAGGGGGAATGGGGGAACCAGTGAAATGGGGGAATGGGGGAACCAGTGAAATGGGGGAATGGGGGAACCAGTGAAATGGGGGAATGGGGGAACCAGTGAAATGGGGGAACCAGTGAAATGGGGGAATGGGGGAACCAGTGAAATGGGGGAATGGGGGAACGGAAACGGGGGTGATTATGACCTAACCCTTTCCTCCTCGCCCGCCGCTCTCCCTTTTGAGACGTCTCAAAAGAAACGGGGGTGATTATGACCTAACCCTTTCCTCCTCGCCCGCCGCTCTCCCTTTTGAGACGTCTCAAAAGAAACGGGGGTGATTATGACCTAACCCTTTCCTCCTCGCCCGAATGGTACGTGAAAGAAGGAGTGTTTTGAGACGTCTCAAAACACTCCTTCTTTCACGTGATTATGTCCTAACCCTTTCCTCCTCGCCCGAATGGTACGGGAACGGAAACGCTCTCCCTTTTTGGTACACCCCCCCTCACCCGAATGCCTCCTCGACCCCTCTCCCCCTCTCTCTCCCCGCCAGGTGTTCACCTGGCACTGGTGCAATCTGGAGGTGCGCGGGTGTATTGGCATATCTCCCCTTCCCCTGCTTATTCTAACCCTTCTCCCCGCTTCCACTCGCCTCCCCCCAACCCCCCCTTCTCCCCCTCAGGCGTTCACCTGGCACGGGTGCAGTCTGGAGGTGCGCGGGTGTAGTGACATATCCCCGTTCGCCCCTTATTCTACCCCTCCTCTCCTCGCCTCCCGCTCACAACTACTTCCCTTCTCCAGGTGTTCACCTGGCATGGGTGCAGACTGGAGGTGCGCGGGTCGCCAACATTGCCCGATGCCCTGTATGCTCGCACTCAGCAGGCATCACACACACTGACTCACTCACACTCAGCAGGCATCACACACACTGACTCACTCACACTCAGCAGGCATCACACACACTGACTCACTCACACTCAGCAGGCAGGCATCACACACACTGACTCACTCACACTCAGCAGGCAGGCATCACACACACTGACTCACTCACACTCATAGTCCCCTCCTCTCCACTCACCTTCCCCCCCCTTTTCCCCCCCCAGGTGTTCACCTGGCATGGGTGCAGTCTAGAGGTGCGCGGGTCACCAACATTGCCCGATGCCATGTATGCAGCAGACGAGGTATGGGGGAGGAGGGGGGAGGGGGACTGTGAGTGCGAGTGAGCGACTGTCAGTGTGTGAGTGTTCTGTGTGCGTAGTGTCTTTAGGACGCCAACACTGCCGGATGCCATGTATGCAGCTGACGAGGTATGGCGGAGGAGGGGGAGACGGGGGGGAATTGGGAATGGGAGGAGGGATTGGGAAAGGGAGGGGGCCGGGTGCGGTGTTTGGTGTGGCTTTGGTTTGCCAAAACTGCTGGATGCTATGTATGCAGGTGATGAGGTGGGGAATAGGAAGGGGGGTGTGAGTGTGATTGTGAGTATGAGTGCGGCTATCAGTTTTTGTGAGTCCGAGTGTGTCTCTTTGGGTCGCCAACATTGCCGGATGCCATGTATGCAGCAGACGAGGTGGGAAGAGGGGGGGCGGAGTAGGGGCAGATGTATGGGTGCGTGTGGGGTGTGTGTGTGTGTGTGTCTCTTTGGGTCGCCAACATTGCCGGATGCCATGTATGCAGCAGACGAGGTGGGAAGAGGGCAGGGGAAGCGGGGAAGCGGAACATGTAGGGGGCTGCGTGAGGTGTGCACGTGCATGTGTTGTCTTTGGTTTCGCAAGCACTGTCAGGTGCCATGTATGCTATGTTGAGCATGCGGCAAGTGGAGTGGAGTGGAGTGGAGTGGAGTGGAGTGGAGTGGAGTGGAGTCAGCTAGGAGCCTCGTACCTCCCCACCCACCTTGCTGTTTCCCCACCTTACCCCTCGCCATCCCCTAAACCCATGGTGAGCTACCTGAATCTCCACGCGGTGCTGAATGTGCGGCGAGTGGAGTCAGCTAGGAGCCTCATGCGCGCCCAACCCGCCTGCTGTTTCCCCCCCTTACCTCACTCCCCCTTCCTCCCCCCCAGACCCCCATGGTGAGCTATCTGAATCTTCACGCGGTGCTGAACGTGCGGCGAGTGGAAGCAGCAAGAAGCCTCATGCGTGCAAAGCAGCAGTTGGCACAGCTGCAGCAGCAGCAACAGCAGCTGCAGTATCAACATCAGCAACGGCAGCAGCAGCAGCAGCAGCAGCATCCCCATCAGCAGCAGCAGTATCAGCACCAGCTGCAGCGCTTGCAGCGTCACAAGCAGCAGCTGGAGAACAAGATCAACTCCCTCGTTCTCACCAAGGTGATTCTTCCTTTGAGGCTCCTCAAAGTCTGTCTCTCTCGCGTTTTGCAGCGTCTATAAGCATGCCTCGTTTTTCAGAAGCGCCTCATAAACTTTCTCAGTTTCTTAGGTGGCTCAAAAAGCAGAAGCTGGCTGGAGCACAAGATGAACTCTCCTGGCCTCACCAAGGTAGTTCTTTCTTTCACCAAGTGTGTCTTAGGTGGAGTGGATGTTCTCCATCCACCTCTCGCAACCTCTCACGCAGGTTGGGGAGAGCAGGAGTGTCTTTTTCAGGAATTCCAGGCAGCATTGGCATCCCACCTACGTGGATCTAGACGTGGCTCACAGCAGTGTCACTGTCACTGTGCCTTCCCGCTCTTTCAGGTGCCAAGGGTGCTGCTAGTGGGTCCCACAGACTCAGGCAAATCCACTCTAGCACGTATTCTGCTGTGCTGGGCGGCCAGGCAGGCAGCAGTGGCATCCCACCTTCGTGGATCTAGACGTGGCCCACAGCACTCTCACTGTGCCTCCTGTGCTCCCTCTCTCTCGCCCTCACCCTGTCTCTCCTCTTCCCTCCTCCCTGTTTCAGGTGCCCAGGGTCCTTCTAGTCGGCCCAACCGATAGTGGCAAGTCCACACTAGCACGCATGCTGCTGTGTTGGGCGGCCAGACAGCAATGGCATCCCACCTACGTGGATCCAGACGTGGCTCACAGCAGTGTCACTGTCACTGTGCCTCCCGTGCGTGCTCCCTCTTCTCCCTTGTTCAGGTGCCCAGGGTACTGCTAGTTGGCCCCACTGACAGCGGCAAGTCAACCCTGGCCAGAATGCTGCTGTGTTGGGCGGCCAGACAGCAATGGCATCCCACCTACGTGGATCCAGACGTGGCTCACAGCAGTGTCACTGTCACTGTGCCTCCCGTGCGTGCTCCCTCTTCTCCCTTGTTCAGGTGCCCAGGGTACTGCTAGTTGGCCCCACTGACAGCGGCAAGTCAACCCTGGCCAGAATGCTGCTGTGTTGGGCGGCCAGACAGCAATGGCATCCCACCTACGTGGATCCAGACGTGGCTCACAGCAGTGTCACTGTCACTGTGCCTCCCGTGCGTGCTCCCTCTTCTCCCTTGTTCAGGTGCCCAGGGTACTGCTTTTGAGTCGACCAATAGATCCCCACGTAGGAGGCATGGCTTAGCGTGGCAGCAGCTTGCTTAGCAGCTTGTTCAGGTGCCCAGGGTCTGCTTTTGAGTCGACTCAAAAGCCTCCCGTGCGTTCTCCCTCTTCTCCCTTGTTCAGGTGCCCAGGGTACTGCTAGTTGGCCCCACTGACAGCGGCAAGTCAACCCTGGCCAGAATGCTGCTGTGTTGGGCGGCCAGACAGCAATGGCATCCCACCTACGTGGATCTAGACGTGGCTCACAGCAGTGTGACCGTGCCGGGGGCTGTAGCGGCCACGCCAGTGGAAGCACCCCTAGAAGCCAGTGCCAGGACGGTGGAGGAGGCACCCCTGGTGCTGTTCTACGGACACACCAACCCCAGGTGTGTAGTGTGGGTGGGGGAGGTGAGGTGTCGAGAAACGACATGCTAGCATCACATACTGTTGTGAGCCTGGTAGTAGCATAGCATACTGTGCTGGGGGCTGTAGCGGTAGCGGCCACTCCAGTGGAAGCACCGCTGGAAGCGAATGCGAGGACGGTGGAGGAGGCGCCCCTGGTGCTGTTTTACGGACATACCAACCCCAGGTGCATACTGTGGGCGGGGAGATGAGGCATTTGTGTAAGGGCATGGTAGCACCAATTTTGAGGCGCCTTTTTTTTTTTTTTTTTTAGGCGCCTTAAAAATTGGGCCTAGGCGATGAGGTATTTGTGTAAGGGCATGGTAGCACCAATTTTGAGGCGCCTTTTTTTTTTTTTTTTTTAGGCGCCTTAAAAATCGGGCCTAGGCGATGAGGTATTTGTGTAAGGGCATGGTAGCACCAACGTTCCCCCCTGTCTCCCACTCATACTGCCAACCTTGACCTTTACCTTTACCGTGACCACCACTGGTGATGGCACTGTCTGAGGGTGTTTTTGAAAATACTCAGGTGATGTAGGGTGTTTTTGAAAATTCTCAGGTGATGTAGGGTGTTTTTGAGAATTCTCAAAAGCACCTTTACCTTCACCGTGACTGCCACTGGTGATGGCACCGGCAGAGGCGACGACAGACGGGCGACTGGCCATGCAGGCAAGGCAACCCTTAGATTCACTACGTCCCCAACCCTCCCACCTGCTCCCTCCTTTCCCCCTTGCAGTGTGAACCTTGACCTATACCGAGCATAGTGACGGCACTGGCAGAGGCGACAGACGGGCGACTGGCCATGCAGGCAACCCTTAGATTCACTACGTCCCCAACACCCTATTGACAGCCCCCTACCTTCCCCTCCCCTCCCCCCACTGTCTCCCCTTCATACTGCCAACCTTGACCTATACCTTGACCGATCTACCCCTCCCACCCCGATCCCCCACCTGCTCCCTCCTTTCCCCCTTCCAGTGCGAACCTTGACCTATACCGTGCTCTAGTGACGGCTCTGGCAGACGCGGCAGACAGGCGACTGGGCATCACTCCCTTGGGAGAGGGAGGAGGGGGAGAGGGAGGATTGGAGGAGGGAGGAGGAGCAGCAGGAGCAGGGAGGGAGGCAGGAGGAGGGGCAGCAGCAATAGGAGCGGCAGCAATAGGGGCGGTTCCAGTGGAGGCAGCAGCAGCAGGGATCATAGCGAACAGCATGGGATGGGTGGATGGGGCTGGTTACCAGGTGTGTGTTGAGTGGATGATGCTGTGTTAATGGGGCAGGTTACTGGGTGTGTTGGCCCAAGGGCCACTGTTTCATGCAGTAGGATGGGCAGCAGCAGGGATCATAGCAAACAGCATGGGATGGGTGGATGGGGCTGGTTACCAGGTGTGTGTTGATGGGGCTGGTTACCAGGTATGTGCTGATGGGGCTGGTTACCAGGTATGTGCTGATGGGGCTGGTTACCAGGTATGTGCTGATGGGGCTGGTTACCAGGTATGTGCTGATGGGACTGGGCTGGTTACCAGGTAGTGGTTTACGGGCTTTACCAATCCCACCGTTTTTCTTCCCTCGCCATTTGCCGTCCTCTTTAGAGAATATCGAGGTTCCTATTGTTGTTATCTGCTCGCTCACCTCCCTCTCTCTGTGCGCTCTCTCTCCTCGTTTCCTCTGCAGCTGCTGCAGCACTCTATTGATGCCTTATGTTCCAACATTCCGATCCTCGTTATCCTGTTCCTCACATTTCTTCCCGTCTCTCCTTGCACCTCCCTGGGCTTGTGTGATCTCTACAGCTGCTGCTGCACTCCATTGATGCCTTACGGGCCAACGTGGTGCTTGTGTTGGGGCAGGTGCGTCTATGCGAGCTAGCTGGGTGCACCACCTCTGTATGGTTTTGAGTCGACTCAAAAAGCAGACTCATTACATGCGGTTTCTACATTGAAAAGTTATTCGTGGTGCTTGTGTTGGGGCAGGTGCGTCTATGTGAGCTAGCTGGGTGCACCACCTCTGTATGGTGCGTGTGCTAGGCCAACACTGTGGGCGAGTGTAAGCTCAATGCTGTGAGAGCCAACATGGTGCTTGTGCTGGGCCAAGAACATTCATTCTGCGCTTGCTCCGAGATGAATGTCCCTGTCACAGGCCGGTCCTGGGCTTGTGTGCCTCATGCCACGCTTATTTTCAGCTGCCAGTGTTGACACACATCCTCCTCAGCCCCCAGGATCCTTCTCTGAGCGCTGCATTTTCCACCATGCAGTCGACGATGCAAAAGAAGGTACCGTCAGAGAAGTGATACGTGCAGAGCTTTGAGGCGCCTCAAAAGACGATACAAAAGAAGATACCGTCAGAGAAGTGATACGTGCAGAGGAGCTGTTTCTCCTCGCCTCCCTTTCCCATCATCACACGAGCGGCTCTACAGCATGCCCTCGGAGCAATACCGAAGCAAAGCAGCGGCAGCAGCTGCTGCTGCTGATGGTGCTGATGGTGGTGCTGCCATGCATCAGCCATGCAGCAGCAGTGGAGGTGGTGAAGCTCCTAGCTCTTCACCTCAGCATCCGATTCTCCTGCCCCTGCTTCCTCCCCCAACACCCCCCCCCCCCCCCCCCATTCCCGTTTCCCCCTTCTCTTCATCACAGGAGCGGCTCTACAGCATGTTGTCGGAGCACTATCGAAGCAAAGCAGCAGCTGCTACTGCGGATGGTACCCCTGTCAGCCATGCAGCAGCAGTGGAGGTGGTGAAGCTTGTGCGATCTGGAGGTGCCGTGTCCCGCACTTCTAAGTTCAGGCAGCGGCTGAGGCAAGCAGTCATCAAGGTACCAAGTAAAAAAAAAAAAACTAAAACACAGTTTTTCTTGTTTATCTGGTAACGAGCCGGATGCCATCCCTGATCTGTAGCTTCTTCTCCTTTTATTTTTATATACATGTATATATACTTATATACATTTTTTCTCTCGTGCGTCATGTGCTGGCCTTTTTCCCCTTGTTTTTTCAATCTCCCGTTTCTGTTTCACCAGGCGTACTTCTACGGGCCAGAGCGGCAGTTTTCACCTCATTCGAGCACGGCCAGTTGGTCAGAGTACACGGTGCTGAGAGTAGGGGGAGGGCCGCAGGCACCACAGTCAGCGCTGCCCATCGGAGCAGCCAGGGTTTCAGACCCGCTTCGCACTGCACCGGTGGTTCTTTCACGGGAGCTGGAGCATCACGTGCTGGCAGTTTCGCATGCTAAAGAGGAGAAGGACGCCGTTACTGGGTGAGATTGTTGTGGGCGTGTGGAAACCGTACTGTCCATTTTAACTGGTGTGCTCGTGTACGTCAGTGGTCGGCTGTGCTTTCCTGTGGCTATTGCTTTCCTGATTGCTCCTCTTTTGTGTTGGTTGTACCCTTTTTCGATGGCAGGAGCATCGCTGGATTCATCTGCGTAACACAAGTGGATATTGCGAAGGGCAAGTTTATGTTCATAGCACCTAGTCCAGGGCCACTACCAGGGAAGATTCTCCTCTTTGGCTCCTTGACCTGGGTGGAGTAAGATGCGCAGTTTGGTGAGGGTTTATGCAGAGAAAAGACTAGAAGGTGTTAGGTCACGTAACCACATGCTTTACGAATTCGTGGATTGATCACCATCGACATGTCTGGCCCCAATACAGCTAATGTAAAAAATGACGAAGTAAAGAAAGTGTTCACGACACATCTCTGTAACCAAGAAGTTGATGGGGAACTGTCATTGGAGCAGAGACAAGCCAGCCAGCTAGTCTGAGCTTGTTCTTGGCTTCTTCCACACCAATTTGCACTGTTTCCCATCACCTTCAGCTCGCTCGTATGCCAGAACCTGCCATAGGAAACGAACTGTCAACATCTATCTACAGCACCAGTCGAAACTTCAACACAAGGACATACTAGTGCACAGATTGAGGCTGGATTCAGTCAGGTAGGGCTCACCTCTCTTGCTCTCTTGTCACTCGGTGTCCAAGACAGCCGTGACTCCTCAGCTCTGCTAGTAGAGCTCCCTCTTTGATCAGACGCCTGCACACCCTGTAGCTTCCGCTTCACCAGCACATGCTTGGGGATCTTGCTCCCTGTATGCCGGAACTTCTGCAGAGACGCATCAGCCTCCTCTCGCCTCCTTGCAGAGTCATCTTGAAAGAGGCTCGTGCAAACCCGTTTGTTAGGATTTGTTTGTGGCTCTCTTCCACGAAACTGCCTGTTGGTTTGGGGTGGGGCTGGAGGGGAAGCCCATCTATCCTGACTTGGGGGGCTCTGCATCGGCTGATGCTGCGACCGATAATGCTGGGGGTTAGAGGGTCGCTGCTGCTGCTGCTGCTGCTGCTGATAATAGTCAGGCCGGCTGGGCTGTGCCTGATGAGGACTGTGTCTTGATGGATAATAGTGGTCATCCGACCCAGTTCTTGGGGCAGAATAACGCGAGAGCTGAGGGGAGGAGGACATTACACCATATGGGTTTCCTCGTGTACCAGCTGAGGGGACTTTTGAATGGAAAGATGAGCTGCCTGTAGGGTTATTCTGGTGACCTTCTGATTGCCTTCTTGACATCCAGCCTTGCAAGGCAGATCTGACCCCACTGGAAGCGGAAGGAGCCTGAGAGGGCTCTGAGTCGCTTGCTCCTGCATTAAAGAATTGGAAGGTTGTGTGCATCAATGTCAAGCATACTATAGCTGAATTGGAATAGACCGCAAGAAAACATCCTCCAAACAAAATGCCAGAGCAAGCCCACCTTGAAAGTATGTGCTACTGGCAGGTGATGCAGAATAGTGGCTGCTTGGAGAACTGACTGTACGAGCTTGAGCCATATGGTTATGGTAGTATTCTTCATCCCCAAGCAGCGGTGCGGCATCAGCTTGCTCAATCTCAAATGCAGATGGGAAGCTCCGAGCACCACTGGTTTTATCACCGAATGAATACGCATCCACATCCGCAGCTGGCATATTCAAACGCTCTGATGATCCTGGTCTGTTGTACAACTCGTGTGTCTGTGGCTGCTGGTGGAACCTGCTCTGCTGTTGGTGAAGCTGTTGCTGGCGATGCTGCTGCTCAGATCCTCTCCATCCACACTGCCCAGGATCACCATCGTCATCATCGCTCAATACCAAAGTTTCAGCTTTTGGAGGTGACCTCGATCTCCTTCCAGATGGAAAACTAGAGCCCAAGTACGCAGACGAAGCAGCAGCAGCAGCAGAAGCAGCAGGAGGAGGAGGAGGAGGATAAACTGGGTGCTCGTGACGTGAAGTATACCGAGGGTCTGAGTTGAAAGGCACGTCTTGATGAGGCGGTGAAATGCCAGCATATGCGCTTTCAGGATGATAACTGGTTTGCCTCATGTCACTCGGGTACATTGGCTGGTTGCCTTCTGATGGAGGTGAATTCCTTGAGCCCTGAACAGGCATGTGGATGTGGGCTGGGCCTTGATGTGGAGTAGTCTTGTGCTCACACTGTGCCTGAAACAGGCTGAGGGAGCGGGATGGAAGCCCACGAGGTACTGTCGCTGATGCTTGCTGCTCATGGTGCAGACACATGAACACAGGCAGAGGAAAGCCTGAGGTCATGATGATGTGTGCAGAAAGTGGGTTGAGGGATGGGAATCGGCACAGGAAGGCCTCTTGGGAAGATTCGGATTCAGGCAGGGGGGTGCAGAAGGGCTGGGAGACTGATGGTTCAGAGCCTCGTTCAGCAGAGGGGGGAGAAGCTGAAAACAGCAGACTGAAGATTAATCTCTCAGTGGAGGCTTCAGATGATGAGAAAAAACATTGCACGTCCAGATCCAGTGCTGCTCCTCCAGCATAAAGGTCGTCCACATTGCGCTTGATTTCAGCCAGATATGCATCAGTTCCCTCAAACACCTGCCAGATGATAAGCACGCGTTAGTGAAGCTTGGCTTTCAATCAATTATGGGATATTCGTCTCAACAAATATTATTCTCAAATAGTTCCAAAGGAAGAGGTGTGAGACTTACCAAGAAGCAAGTCTGATACGCGAAACTGAGAGCTTTCAGGTGGGTTTCCACAACAGCTTCCAAGCAAACGGTCATAAGAGAACTTGATGGGAGCCCATCCATTGCTGCCAGTTTCTGAACTTCTTTCAGGCGCTGGGGATTATAGATGATTAATGAAGTCGATGCATTCAGCACAATCTCTGCCGGTGCTACCAGATCCCGTTCAATGATCTGCAAAGGGGAATACAAACAGTCCATATTCATTCATACTGGAGAAGAGGAATGCACAAGAATAATCGCATTACCTGAATGCCGCTTTCCTCTAGCTGGAGGATCTTATCGTAGAGTTGTCTTCTTCTGAGGACAAGGGGGTCAAACTGGTCCCTGGTGTTGACAATAACAGTTCTCCTGTATTCCACAGGAGCCTTCTTCTGTTCTGGCACATCCACTGGATAATGATGTGACAGATGCCCCTCCTGCCTCCATTTGTTTGGCTCTGTAACCAGCTCAGGTGCTTTAATAGTCGTGTATGGAGCAGCATCCATAGATATTGAGGCATCATGCCTTTTAGATTCTGGTGCTATGGCAATCTCATCATAACGGTCTTCTGCTTCTTCTGGTTCGCTATCAAGAAGAATGACTGCGGGAGCCTCTGGTTTACTTTGCTCTAAGTGTTGAACCTTCTCAGCCATAATCGGAATCATCTCCTTTGCAGCTTGTGTAGGCATGGTCTGCACGTTAAGAAAAAAGGTATGAGCATGTTTATTCACAAGCGAAGGACAGACAAGGGTTATGGTAACAATTTTTTACCTTTGGTAGCAATGCCTCTTCAGGGTCCTCCACAGCAAGAATGTGAATCTTTCCACTGATGGGATTGAAGACATGCAGATCTTGTTCTTCCACAAGGTCACTGTAAACAATCACCATACCGAACTTGTTCACCAAAAACGAAGGCACCAAATATCTGCAGGAAAAGATTCAGATTAGCTTATATTAGGCATTGAACAAACAGGCCATGGATCAGTACAGTGACAAAACACACAGCATCCACTTACTTGGGTGAAACCAGGAGGCAGTCTGAAACCTCAAGTGCTTCGTTCACCTCCTGTTGTACCATCTCCCACTTCCCTTCTGTTATCCCCCTCCCACCCATCCCACTGAGCGCTCCAGAACGTCCAAGCTGGAAGGGCTGAAAATGGCACGTGCCCAGCAGCTTGTACATGGTGAAGAACGCCATGTTCTCAGCAACAATCAGCACATTTGCAGAACCTGCAGAATCCTTGGAGTCTGGTAACTGGAAGGACTTCTTATGGGCTCGAAGGATAGAGGTCAGCATGGAGAGCTTCGGGTGATCCACCGTTGCACCACCCTCCACCAGCTCAAATGCTGACGCCAGTGCCTCTCTGGTCCTCTTGAATAATGGTGCAAGGTGCGCAATCGATGCGGCTTCCAACCCCTGTTCCAGAAACAGATGAGCAACGCGGATACCGTACTGCCAGCAGAGCATTGCAGACTGGTGAAGCAGGTACAGGCATTTCAACTGTTGCAGCACACGGTCCTGTGATATCTCGCCAGAAGTTCGCAGAGAAATTTCCTCCTTAATAGATCGGCTGACCTCCTGCTTCAGGCGAAAGGGTTTCACAGACGTCTTAGCTTCCTTGTTCAGCGACCACAGCAGATTCTGATAATCTCCCTTGGCCAAATCCAGGATATCTGCAAGGTCTTGTGACATCTGCACTCTGTGGACCTGTGATTCCAATTCTTTCAAGGATTGCCGTGCAGCTGGAGGGGACTTAACGCCAATGGGTTGCACAGCAGTCACATCCTCGACCTCCTTTTCCAAAGCTCTAGCTGCATCACGTGCTCTGAAGCTGGCTTCTTCCGCAAGTCTGGTTGGATCAACTGCAACTGCCACCTCCTGAGGCGGTTGAAGACTTTGTGCTTTGCCCTGCCTTGCATTCATGAAGAAATTGAGTTCGCTTGACATTTTCTGAACTTGGTGCTGGAACCCGATCTGCTTGCCCTCCTCTCTAGCAGCTGAACCTGGTCGGTTATCCTCGTTATTCTTCAGTACAAAACCAGCCGGAGAGGCAGTGCCGGTTGTGGCACAGGCAGCAGTGGCGGTGGCAACTGCAGTGACAGAAGCACACACAGTGGTAGCAGCAGCAGCAGCAGCAGCGACAGAAGCAGATGCAGGTGCAGCAGCAGTATCAGCAGGTGATGGCACAGCCACAAATCGACTGCGAGGCAGATTCATTGGAGAAGCAGGGGGTGGTGTCATGATCAATGGCCGAGGCTGAGGCTGAGGCTGGGGTGAAGGTGTGAATCTTGCATGTGAAATCGGTGCGTGAGGCTTTGGTGCTGTCCGAGGTTCAGCATATCGAACCTGAGGCAGACATGGCGGCTGTGGTGCAGTAGCAACATGAGAGGCATTTGGTGATGGCGAGGTCGAAGCTGCATTCACCATCCGAACCAATGCTGACGGCAGCACCATTCTTTGCTCAATCCCTGAGGTCGTTTGTGCAGGTATGCTCTGCATCCTGTCATCAATAAGAGAAAACAGCGAGCCGGATTGAGGTGGTTCTGATCGGATCAGCTGAACTCTTTGAAATGAGAGCTTGCAGCCAGCATTGGAACAAGAAGATGAAGTGCAAGACTTGAAATCCTGCGACAGATGCCAGTCCAGGTACAGGAAATCTCTTGCACGAGAAGCCATTGTCAGATTCCCCTTCAGTGACTCGCTTAGAGATAAGAACGCTGTGACAGGTAGGAGATTTTCATCTCCTTGCAATTCGTCTTGTTGCAGAAGTGGAACTGGAAGAGATCGAATCCCACCACAGTTGAAAGTGAGCTGAGGAGCCACAACCAGCTCGTTGAAGTCTTTCATTGACACGCTCATGGAGGGAAGTGCTTCAAGCCGAAGGCTTTTCTCTTTGCGAATCAGCTCCACGGCCAGCTTCTCAACCATTGGTGACTGGCTGAGTGATGGGAATGGCACATCAAGCAGCGGAATGCCTTCACTCTTGGCTGCATCACCAGCAGAGGTACTTGGTTCCTCCAGAACCTTGCAAAGTGTCTCAGTGTATGTCGGCTTCACTTCATCAATTTTCATCCGACCTGGACCCAGAAGCGACATCATGTTTGTACGGCTGTTCAAAAGTCCACTCAAAGCGTCTTCAGGTGGCTTCATCAGATCCATCTTCTTCATAAGCGTCGACGGATCCGTCATGGAATGACCGGGATTAATGGGATCGTCCAGGATGCACGGAGGGTCCATGGGACAGAAAGTGTCTATCGTGTGTGGCTTGCCGCGCTTTGAAGATTTTGATGAATTGCACGCTGTTTCGATGTCCAATAAAGAAACGAGATGTTCCTTGAATGGTGCAGATTCCATCGCGATGGGTTCTGCATCCTCCTCCGCACGTCTGACGTTCTGCCAGTAGAAGAATTAGCATAGAAAGCGAGTAGCCATAGCGACTCTATTCAGTGCGTGAAAGGCTTACCATCTCTGGTGGAGGATCGACGTTTTCCAGTGGCAAGGCATCACAGTCAATCTGGTCAAATACTTCCTCTCCAATTCTCTGCATGATTACGAGCTATAAGGTGGGTGCTATCAACTTGAATAAAACAGAGAGAGAAAAAAAACTGTGAGACACGGCGCAAAAGGGACACCGAGAGGAACCTGGAAATCCGTATCCTGCTGCAGCGGATCCTCGAAATTGGCCATGAATGGAGTAATGGGTTCAGCATCGCTAAATAAGTTGCTGTCCAGCATCCACTCGAGGGTGCTCAGGCTTGACGTTTTCGACACCACTTGCTTTTGAGGAAGAAACTGCGTGAGAATGGAAGCGGTTGCTGCTTTCGGAAGGATGGTCGCGGAGAGCTCGGAGAAATCGACGCCATGACTGCGATTTTTGTTGTCATTAGCTAGAAGCTGAAACAATGCGACAGGTATGTCGTCCGGTAAAGCAATGTCTTCACCATCTACAATATTCGGACACGGCAAAGTTCGCCGATCTTGTTTTCGTTGCTGCTTCATAGACGCTAATGCGTAATAGTCCACGTGATGCCAACGTAACCGCATGATCCCCGAAAACGAAAAAGAAACGCTCAAGCTCCTGACGCCGGCACACGGAAGAGCACTTCCGTCGCACCGTCTAGTGATGCTTCAGGCAAATGGGGATCAACGGGAACTTTGTTTGGGCTCCCAGTGCTACCAATTCATGGCTGAATTTCTGCTGGTGGTCGCGTGGGCGTTGTTGCCTGCGCTGTGAATCTCGAGCTTCAGAACTTGTCCTGAAATACGCGCTATACGCGTCATCGGTAATCCCCAATGTCCCCTTACTTGGATCCACATATTTGATGCTTCGCAGGTAGAAAATATACCATGATAGGGGAGGAGGATCAATCAAGCTATATCCACCACCACAAAAATACAAGATGTCTATCGAATAATAATCAGTCAGAAAGACTTCAATGGTCCACTTGTGTCACTGGGGACAAGATAAATTAAGAGGTGTCAGGTGCAGCATCCACCCCACAAGACACAGGTGACCCCTTCATCCACACATCACCCTGTCTTGGTGCAGGTGCACTGGCAGCTCATGGGATTGCTGGCACTAGCACAGTTGCAATCACATTGCATCTTCTCACTGCCTCCACTCGAAGGAGGTGGTGGAGGTGGAGAAGGAGGAGGAGAAGGAGAGGGAAGGGCGTTTTGCAGCACACACTTGTTCAGCACGCGGTCCCAGTTCTGCTGCAACAGGAACTTCCTCCCATCCAGCCCCACCAGATTATACTCGTACTTCTGTCCGTTCTGCAGGGATCCGGTTTTGGTGCTGCCGAAATTCCACGCGCACTCGTCACCGTTCTCCCCGCCCCCGTCAACGAACCACCCCGAACCGGCAGGGTTTGTGGCAGTTTCGGTGATCTCATGCGCGAGTGAGGTGATCATACCATCAATGCCAGGGTTGCCGTTGGGTGACGGGCTCCTAACCCCACACGCGCCAGGGCACTGCCCGTGATGCCCCACAAAGGCGAAGCGCAGAGGGGTGGAGTTGAGGGAATCCTGGGTGTGCCAGCCACAGTACTTCTTACAAAAGTCTCCAAATATGACGTCTACGCTGGTAAACAGTACGTAGATGCCGTGAGGGTCCAGCGGCAAGGGCTTGCCCGGCCCCACCTGGCTCTTCAATACTGCACGGGGGACGAAGAGGCAGGTGGAGGTTCGGGAAAGGAGTGAGGTGATATCAAGCAGGAGAGAAGGTGAGTGAACGCATGGAAGGTGCACTTGGAACAAGCAGACAACAGACTTAGGTGTGTTGGGTAGAGAGTGGTGGGGAGCGGTACATACTGGCGCGCAAGTCGCTGTCTGACGGGTTCTTGCCGTGTGAATAGTTGTCGATCACGGTCCCAGCGAGACGAACCTGCGCCAGGAGCATAGCAGACAGCAAGATGGAGTGAATGAATGAAGGGATGAAGGCATGCAAGAGGGAAAGAATGAAGACGGATCGCAGATGAGATGACGACACGATGGATCGCAGATGAGAGGAGAAGAAAAAGCCACGTCATGCACAGTGGCTAGCTCCGTTTTGAATCCTTAGCTCACGTTATTCTCACCTTGGAACTGACATTCCTCTTCCCGTCGGGGCCAGACTGGTAGTACGCGGCCGTGATGGCCCACCACCCCTTCACACTCGCGTCCCCCGCGCCGCCCTGGCTTCCCGAGTCACTACTCAACGACTGCACGAACGCCTCTAATATCTCCTTGCCCAACCCCGCCCCCCAGCTGCCGTAGTAGATGTGGTAAATGTTGACCGTTGGATTGCCCACCACCACCGGTCCGCCGTGGTACTTTATCGTCACGTTGTCGGCCGCGGTGCTGGCGGTTGTGGTAGCGACAGGGGAGGCGCCGTCAGACGCGGAGAAGTCGTCAGGGGCGGCGGAGCGGACGAGCGGAAAGCCGACGGCTGAAACGATCGCGTCGCCGCCCGGGCCGCCGCGGACGACGGTCGTGGCGGGCCGCTGCTGCTGCTGCTACTGCCTGCGTAGCAACTGCTGCGCGTGTGCGGGGCGCGTGAGGGCCACGTTCTTTCTCGAACCGCCGGATTCCTCGATCCACTCCGATTCGGCCGGTCGAAGCGCGCCGGAGACGAGGAGCAGGACAAACGCGAAGCGAAGAGCCGGTGAGAAAGCGGCGAATGACCCCGCCGCCGCCGCCATGGTGATGGCGAGTGCCGTCGAGAGGCGCGAGTTCGAGTCGAGATTCGTTCAGCGCGGCGAAAGCTACTGCTAGTAGTAAAGAATGTGGGTGCTTCGAAGTTCGAGGTGCTGCGCTGATAGAGGATCCAGCGGCGAGGCATGCTAAAATACCCAACGCCGCTCTCACGAGGTCGCCTACACTCGCGGTGCGGCATTTTCGGACCGCTAGTAACGGGCAGACGTGTTTCAGACGCTCCAGGGGGAGTGCTCGGTTCGCCTTGTTTCCGTTGGCCGTTACTATTAGTCGCCACTTGCCGCCGCGCGAGTCAAGTCGTGCTCGACATTGGCCTCGCGCGATTCCGGGTCGCCAGTCCGAGTCCGACATGATGAGCAGAAAATAAGGGACTGGAGGGAGCGTTTATGTCGCAGCTTTGGCTGGTGGAGAAATCGTGAGGAAGACGAGCAGATAGGGGAGGATGGTTTTAAGGTTTTTAAGGTTTTTTTTAAAGGTCGTAACCTAAACATTACATTGCAAGGAGCAGGAATGGCAAAAAAAAAAGCCAACACTAACAAAGTTTGCGCTGAATGAGCGCTACCAGTCCAGCCGCGGCCAGTAGGAAGAGAACCGTTCCCTCCCACCTTGCAATGAGATGCTTAGGGATCATGGGGGGCGAAAGCAGTCGTTCAGCAGCCAAGTCTTCCAAAGTGACTCATGGATGCGTGGTATACCAGAGTCATTGAACGAAAGGAGTCGTTTTGATAAGGCCAACTTGGTTCTGGAGCGGATAAGGCGTTGGCGTTTGGCGGAGCGGGGGAGTTGGCGGAGAAAGAAGGTCTTGCACGCCAAGAGGAAGAGTGCAAGCACGTTGTGCAAGGCGTCGATGATAGAGGAAGACTCCTGGTCGTATAGATAGGCACAGCGCTCGTTCCATATGACCTTGGCGGCGGCGCCGACAAGTAGGCTCCAAGGGGCGACTTGCCCTGCTCGGGAAGCGAGGGGGAAAAGGGCTTGTTCTATATCAATCCGTTGCCCAAGATGCTGCACTGCGACGCGTTGGACGGCTGTGAGGATGGCGACGGCGTTTCCACACTCGAAAAAGATATGTGGAAGTGACTCTGTGGGGGCTGTTGGGCAACGGGGGCACGCGCCACCCGTTGATGCGAACCTAAAGCGGGATCCAGACGGGAGCGATCGAGTGTAGAGCCGGAAGAGAAGATCTCGTTGGCGACTCGGCTGCTCTTTGAGAAAGGGATGTAGGAGGCCTGGGAGAGACGGAAGGGGATGGCGAAGACAGTCGTTCCAGCGTTGAAGATGCGTAGTGGGTCGGGTGGTGTAGAGCAGGTTGCGGATCGCAGCAAGAGACGGAGGGCCGTGTTGGGTGATGGAGAAACGTGCGCTGAGACCACCTCCAGAGCAGAAAGTACCAGCTACCCAGCGATCTTGAACGAGGACCGGTATGACGGCAGAGATCGGCAGCTCGACTCGGGCCTTGGGAAGTACAGCTACGCGGCGACCGTCGGGGACGTCAAACGAGTGGAAGCACGCCAAGCTAGGGGAGGGGCGAGAGAGAACCTGAAGAACCTGAGGAACTGCGCCAGAGGGAGGAGAGGCCAGGACGGCCCAATCCCCACACTGTAAGAGGTCAGAGTTGGGGCGAAAGGATTGGATAACGTCCCACCAATCTTGAGGAATGGCTGAGCAAAGAGCCGCAAAAATTCGGCGTCCACTGGGGAAACTTTTAGGAGGAAATTTAGTTTTGAACTCGTTAGGAGTAAGTCGGCGAGTGCCGTTGGGGATAGGTACTAATAAATGGCCAATGCGAAGCTCTTTGGTGAGCAAAAACTTTTCATTGCCCTTACGACCGAAATAGGAGCCGTCGGGTCTGCATATGAATCTATTAAAGGCGAGAGGTTCAGCCAGGAGGACCCAAGGTTCCAATCGAGGAGGAAGGATCTCGATCGGGGAGGAAAGAAGACTAGAGACCTCGGCAAGTGCTCTAAGGGGGGTAAACGGTTTGAGCGTGTTAACAACATCGGGGTGAAGAAGGTAGCAGTGGAGGCCGTATGGGAGGGGGGTGCAGGTGCGAGCGACGTCTTGAGAAGAAGACGGAGAGAAGCGTCGAAGGGCACGTTGGATGTTGAGCGCCTGGATTTGGACTGTAGGTTCAATAGCACCGAGACCACCATCCTTTTTTTTGTTATAAATGAGCCGTTTAGGAATGAGGCGGGAGACCAGCCCGACCTCCTTAAATTGTGACGACGAGAGGAAGTTTCCTATAACATTCTCCAACTGTTGGAGAGCCCCCAGCGATGGGGGTTGAAATCGAGCGCTGAAGGAGAATAACGAATTAAGTCTTTCAGTGGCGAGTAATTTCCTGCAGGTGGCAGTTGCTTTGAGTTTGGAGAGGAAGGTGGCGGTCGAACGGATACGAGAGAGGACGTGGTCCCACGTAGTGGTGCCTGGCGAGGACTGCTGTATATAAACGCCTAAGATACGTTCGGAGTCGTCTAGATGGCGGATGGGGATAATGCCAGCATCATTGATGAGGTCAGGAGAGTAGGCGATAGGGAGAATGGAGCATTTATCCCAATTGGGGTGTTCGCCAGAGACAGCCGCGAAAGTTTGGAGCAGCTCTTTAGCCGTACGTAGTTCAGCATTGGAGTTAAGGAAGATTGAGATATCATCCGCATAGCATGCAGCTAATTTGCGTTGAAGTTTGGACAGAGCAAAACCGGGTAGGCTGGTCATGAGGTGACGGTGGAGGACTTCGATGACACAGATAAATAGTAGTGGAGCCAAAGGACACCCTTGGCGGACTCCAGAAACAACCGGGAATAGAGGTCCAGTGAAGTTGTTGACGGCAACCTGTGTTTGCGTGTGGGGAGGATGGGTTGACGGTCTGGGAGAGACGAGGGGAGGGGAGCTGTTGAGGGGGCGAGTCAGCCACCCGTGTATGATACCGGTATCCCGTCGCGAGGTGGGTGTCGCGGATGTTAGCTAAGGGCTTGGATTGGTCAGTCTAACAAGCGAAGGACGGTTCAAAAATTCGCCATGAGAGCTACTCGTCTCGTTTAATTCCGAGTTACATGGCTTCGGTGGTGATATGAACTTGAGCAAGCAAGTTCTTATATTATTTATGGGGACTTCAACCCACAATATAGAACATAGGACACTGTACAGAGCAGAGGCGTTTTTTGGGTTGCTTAGCTAAAAAAAAATCCCGCTTGCTATCATGCAAATCCAAAGCTATGAACAATATATGACGAGCTCACAAGAGTGACCAAACGCGTGCGCATTGTCTCAATGGTCTCATATGGCGGGAGCAGAAACTGGTGAAAGCACGTGTGAGCTGTGGGCAGGCGCGAAAGATCCACATCTGCCCGGTGCAGGTGAAACCCCATCGCAAGCCCCTTAAATCCGTTTACGGGCAGATTAGAAACAGCCATCGCGAAAAACAGCAGCGACTTCCGCTGCTCACCCGAAAGCGATTCCACAACTTCCCAAAACCACAAAACCTGGGGATCTTCCGGACAATACCCGTGGTACACCGTGTGTGCCTGCCAATCAGAGACCGCCACGTGGCGATCCTCCCCGTGGAGAAGCAAATTGAGATCGTCACATGAAAGGGGAGCAAGCATGGCAGCGAGACTCATGCCTTCAACCGAATCAATGCAGCAATCATCATCATTTTTCTGGATTGGCGTCTGCTGCCCGTCCCCTCCTTCCATGTTACCTCCTCCATAACCACCTTCCCGCCCTCCCCGACCCCTTACATTTCCGTCCATCCCTCCTTTCCCATCCATCCCTTCCCTTCCTTCGGCCACATCCCCCTTCCCTGGAACCACATCCCGCCCTCCTCCGCTCCCCAGTATATCCTCCATGCCTCGCCGCAACGCCTCCCCCTCCTCCTCCACCACCCCGCACACTCTAAACTGCACCATCCGCTGCACAAACTCCGCCACGTCATCCGCACGAACCACTCGCTCGCTGCCACCTGGAACAAGCTCTGCTTCGATTGGTGCCCCCCCCATCGGATCCTCTACCGAAGCCACAAAGGTGAAACATAATGACTCCACTCCTCCTTCTCTTCCTCCTCCTCCCTCTGCTGCTTCTTCCCTCTCCCTTTCAGCCATAGCCAGCAAAGACCGACAGCTAGCAACAAGCTGGGGGTCATCATCAGCAGCATCAGCCAGCGAGGGTGGGCGAGCCGCAAGCACCACAAACAGGGACCGTGACAGCTTCACTCCTAACGGCACTTGATGCGCCAAAGCAAGGGCCAGGATACGTCCGGCAAACCGAAGGTACTCCTTAGCTTCGGCAGGGTTGGCTCGGGACGCCAGGGAGAGGGAGAACCGGCTCGGGTCGTGAGGTACGTGAGAGAAGAGGCCCAGGTTCGGGTCGAAGAGGTGTGCCCGAACGAAGGCGAAGAACTCCCGAAGCACTCCCGGACCTGCGGCCCCACCCTCGCCTGTGAACCGAACGTCCAAGCCTCCGGTTCGGAGGGCTGTTGGGTCCGCAGAAAGGATTTGAATGAAGGCCTGGTGAAGGGCTAGCGGGCCTCGTTCAATCTGAGAATAGGGATAGAAAGGGTTGGGAAAATGGGAAAATGAGGAGGAGGACGGAGGGATGAGACAGGGAGTTCATTGAGCTTATGCGCACAGATTGAGTTTCAAATCCTTCATTACTAAACAAAGAGTGCATGCGCATACAAGCACATGCGCACACGCGCGCCCGCCCGCCTGCAGGCATGCACACACACACACCCGCACAACACCCACCTGAATGAACTCTTTGTCCCGGTAGTCGTCTCGGGGGGGTGGCAGGCACCACTGCACCCAGCTCCTCTTGCCCTCCTGACTTAGCAGCTCACTCCCACTACTTTCACTGCTCTTACTGCCCCCACTACTTTCGTCGCCACCACTTCTCTCACTGCTCCCACTGCTTTCCCCGCCCCTCCTCCTGCCAATTCCTGCCCTGCCTATTCCATCCGCCCTGCAACTCATCCTACTGCAGCAGGAGAAGGGAGACGGAAACATGCGTTCTAAAGGCTGCAGCATCCATGCAAGAGGCATGCCTCGGTTCCCATACATCAGCAGTTCCTCCCATGCCGGAAACGGTATAGCTCTTTTCTTCCCATCCTCTCCATCCTTCCCATCCTCACCATCCCTCCCATTTTCCCCACCATTCCAACCATCCACATGCAGTCCTCCTCCTCCCCTTGTCCACACTGACTTCTCCTCGTAAGCACGCTCCTGGGCGGGGATTTTTGGCTGGGACTGAGAAGGAATGTGTGTGGAGGCGGACAGGGTAGCGGGTGGTGTAGTGAGGTTGAGGAGGAGCAAGGGGTGGAGCGAAGAGGAGGAGGAGCAGCGGGCAGAAAATGAGCTTGGAGGGGCCATAAAATTCGTCTCTGATGCAGTGAAGTTGTGAAGGAGTGAGGGGTGGAGCAAGGAGGAGGAGCAGCGGGCGAGAGAGGCTGAGAAGAGAAGGCTGAGGATGTGGCTATGGCGACGGGCGAAGGAGAGGAACTGATGGGGGAAGGACCATTTGAAGGAGGAGAGAGAGGTGTTGATTGCTGCTGATAGACATGCATCCGCAGCAAAATCAGCAGCAGCATCAGCAGCAGCATCGACGGTGGCAACAGCAGAAGCAGCAGCAGCAGCAGCACCATCACTACCAGCAGTTAAGGCAGCGACAACAGCAGTAGTAGCAGGAGAACTATCAACAGCTGCAGAATCAGCAGCACCACCACCATCACTATCACCACCAGCAGCAGACACCGCAGCAGCAGCATCACCACCACCACCATTATCACAAGCAGCGGCAGCACAAGAAGCCAAATACAATGCTCCAAGCAGCATCACCAGCTGGTCAAATTGCGACTTATCCCGAAGAAGCTTCCCAGAAGATTCCGGAGAGAGGGGGGGCTCGAAGGGCCAGGGCAGGGGGAACCCGTGGGGTGGTATGCGGCGGAGTGAGATTAAGGAGAGGAGGCAAGTGTGGAGAGAGGAGAGGAGGGCGGAACAGGAGGAAATCAGAGGGAAGAAGTGAATCAAGGAGGGAGAGTGAAAGCTTTGTGATGGAAAGTGGGTTGAGATGGATTGTGAGGGTGAGTGTGAGTGTGAGTGTGAGTGTGAGTTGAAGGAGGAAGGTTCCCAAACTGCTTGTGGTGTTGCTAAGGGCGGAGAAGCAACAGTATTCCTACTCCGTGCTTCCCTCTTAGATGCCATTTCCACAGCTGCTGTTGGTGCTGTTACTGCTGCAATCTCTACTGCTGCTACTTCTCTTGCTGATAGTGCTGCTGCTACTGTCATATCTCCTACCTCTTCATCTGCTGCTGCTGCTGCTGCTTCCATGCTCCGCATTGGCAGTCTTCGTGCCCTAACGTTTTCACGCTTTGATAAATGCCAATCAGGAACTGCCACATCAGCGTCCACCGAAAGCACCTGGCTTTGCTTCAACACTGGTTTCACCCGCCTTCCGCCTCCACCTGACGGCACCTGAAAAGCACCTGAAGTATCCAAAGGCACTTGGGAAACAGCGGAGCGCGCCCCAAAAGAACCTGAAGGCACCTGAAAACCACCTGAAGGCACTGCACAAGCATCGCAAGCCACCTGAACAGCATCTGCTGCTAATTTCCGTCTCTTCCTGGCTCCACAGGCACTGAAAAAAGGAGATACTCCCTCAGGAATTCTATCGTTTCTATCGTTTACATCGGCTACTCCAGGAGGCACTGCAAACGAATCTTGACGCGCCGCCTCAAGTGTCTTCCTGGCTCCACGGGTGCTGGAAAAAGGAGGTCCTCCCTCGAGTGCTGCAAACGCATGGGGTATTCTATCGGCTACTCCAGGAGGCGCTGTGCACGCATCTTGAGGCGCCGCCTCAAGTGTCTTCCTAGCTCCACGGGTAGCGGAGAAAGGACCTGCTCCCTCTAATATTCTTCTTGGAAATCCATCCGGCACTGCAAACGCATCCCAGTCTGCCGCTCTGCCCATTTGCACTTTCCCTTGGCCACGCGAAACAGGAAACGACTTTTGAGGCGCCTTGAAAGGCACTGCTAACGCATCCCAGTCTGCTGATCTGCCCGTTTGCACTTTCCCTTGGCCACGCGGCCTGCTGGCCCTCTCTGCCTGCCGTGCGGATGACTGTGTAGCGGTGGTCAATGACTGTGTAGCGATGGTCAACGACTGTGTAGCGGTGGTCAATGACTGTGTAGCGGTGGTCAATGAAGGCACTGCAAGCGGCGATGATTGCACTTGCACTCTTGGCAGCAATGATTGCTGTGCAGGCGGCAATGATTGCTGTGCAGGCGGCAATGATTGCTGTGCAAGCGGCAACAGAGGCTGAGAAGGGAGAGGCTGATAGGGCAGTGGCGCTGCCATTGTTGATGGCGCTGCTTTCATTGACGTAAGCTGATCTCTGGGCAGTGAGGGTACTCTGTGCTGCTGCTGCTGCAACAATAAAGGAGCTGCTTCTCCTCCGCCTCCACCCACTGCTGCTGCTCTTTGTGCTGCTGCTTCTATTGCCTTTGCTGCTTCTCCACTCGCTGCTGGGGGGCCAAAGCGGTTGCGTTTTGAGGCTCATTCTGAGACACATTCGAAGGCTCATTGGAGGTCAAGAGCAGAAGGAGGAGGACAGGCAAGCAGGCAGAGAGCAGAGCAATGTCTGTCTCAGGGAGTGAAGAGGAGAGGGAGGAAAGAAGGGCACATGCCTCCCTTGTGGACATGTAACAAGGGGCACCGGCTTTGCTGCCCTTGCTGTTCTCACTTTCTCCTGCTACCTTATCTTCCGAGGTTGCTGTCCTTGCTTTCTCTTCTTCTGCTGCCATTCCTTCCCCTGCTACTGCTGACTTGCCTGCCCCTGACGCTGCTGCTGCTGAGGTTTCTTCAGACTGGAGGAGAGGAGAGGCTTGGATGGCAGCTGCTGTGCGCTGTAAGCACTGGAGCAGCAGCAGGGAGAGTGATGTGACTGCACTGCTGCTGCTGCTGCTGCTGCTGCTGCTGCTGCTGGTGACAGCAGGAGCTGCAACTGCAGCAAATTGAGCACCAGAAGGGCCGATATCCCTGGTGCCAAGAGCAGCAGCAGCACAAAAGACACGAGCAGGAGTGCAAACAGCGGGAAAGCAAGAAGCAGCAGGAGGAGCAGCAACAGCAGCTGCTGCTGCACCAACATCAGTAGCATCAACAATATCAGCGTGAAGTAGCAGCTGCTGGGAGCACCGCAGTGGGCCAAGCTCAGAAGATAGGCGGGCAAGGGCGTGGCGGCACGTGTCAAACGCACAGCCCAGATGAGTCTGAGTGGCGGATAGCGGATGTGCATGACTGGTCGATAGAGATTGCATTTGAAGGTGATAGGAGTGCGGATGTGCATTATAGGGGTGGGGATGGGGATGGGCTCTGGTGTTGGGTGGAATTGGAGAGTGAGCGTGGGGCGAATTTGCTGTGGCAGTGACAAGGCGGGATGCGATGTGAAGGAGGAGTGGGACGAGACAATGCTGTAGCTGCAGCGGGGAAAGGGGAAGCAAGGAAAGGAAGGAGGAAGGGTTGAAGACGAGTGAGGGACGGGCATATGGCAGATGTATGGAAAAAAACATCATCTGAGCCAAACTGGAACACAAAAAGAAATCATTGATCGTTTGCAGGAAATAGGTGGAGAACTGAAGGCTATAGAGGAAGAGTACTGGATATACACAGGCAGGAGACAAGCAAAGCACAGCATAAGCACAAAGTAAACAGAAGATAAAGCGAAGTACCTTAGCTTCTTTGGTGGAGGCAGGAGGCCTCGTGAGCACTCAAATGCATTCAGCCCCGCACTCAGCATCTGCTGCACACCCTGCAGCACCGCACTCCACCTCCGTGCACCCTCCACCGCTCCTGCAACATGCAGGCTGCTCTGCTAAGAGCAGCGCTAGAAGAGCATCGGCAGGAGTTGGACACGACACAGAAGCAGCAGTGGCAGGAGCAGCAGCAGCAGTACGGGGGGCAGCAGCAGGGACAGGCGAAGCAACAGTGGCGGAAGCAACAGCAGCAGTAGCAGCAGGAGAAGCAGAATCAGACGCAGCGGCGGGAGCAGCAGTTGCTAGGGCAGAAGGTTTAGAACGGTTTGGTCTGGTATGACATGGGTTTGAAACGGCTGGAATGGGTGAGATGAAGAAAGCAGAGACGAGCAAAGGCAGCTGGGAGGGCTTGATGCGCGAGGAGGAGGGGACGAAGCGAGAGACGGCCTCAATGATTGTTGAGCGGAGATTGTCAAACATTATATATGTTATGCTTGTGTAGGCTACAGTGGGTTAGCCTATAGGGGGTACACAATTCTAGGGTTTCCTACTTGTACTCATTTTCACTGCTAGTTCATCCATTTTCCTGTTCGCTTATTCTCACATGGTATAGAGCGGGTCCTTCTACGGACCGTTTTTTTTTTTGGGCCCACCGAAGCGCCCCCCGAGGCGCGATCTTTTTTTTTAGCGACCCCTCGGGTCGCCATTTCCCCTGCGGCCCCGCCACCTTCACTGACGCGGCCCCGCCGCCCTCTCTGTCGCGGCCCCGCCGCCTGCTCTCACGCGGCCCCGCCCCGGCTCCTTCGCGGCCCCGCTGCCTGCTCTCGCGCGGCCCCGCCCCGGCTTCTACGCGGCCCCGCCCCGGCTTTCACGCGGCCCCGCCGACGGCTTTGTCGCGGCCCCGCCCAGGCCCTTACGCGGCTCCGCCGCCTGCTCTCACGCGGCCCCGCCCCAGCTCCTTCGCGGCCCCGCCGCCTGCTCTCGCGCGGCCCCGCCCCGGCTTCTACGCGGCCCCGCCCCGGCTTTCACGCGGCCCCGCCCAGGCCCTTACGCGGCTCCGCCGCCTGCTCTCACGCGGCCCCGCCCCGGCTCCTTCGCGGCCCCGCCGCCTGCTCTCGCGCGGCCCCGCCCCGGCTTCTACGCGGCCCCGCCCCGGCTTTCACGCGGCCCCGCCGACGACTCTGTCGCGGCCCCGCCCAGGCCCTTACGCGGCCCCGCCGCCTGCCCCCGTCGCGGCCCGGTCACCTCCTGACACGGTCGAGCCAGACGAGGTTGCTGCTGAGTCTGGTGCTGCTGCTGGGGGTGCTGAGCCTGGGGGTGCTGAGCCTGGGGGTGCGAGGCCGGGGGGTGCTGAGTCTGGGGGTGCTGAGCCGGGGGGTGCTGAGCCGGAGGGTGCTACGTCAGGAGCTGCTGAGCCTGGGGGTGCTGGGCCTGGAGGTGCGGAGCCTGCGCCTGCTGGACCTGGGGGCTCTCCGGTTCTTCCGTCTCGGCGGGAGCCGCTCTCTCCACAGGAGCTACGCGAGTGGTTTGCTCGCCGCTGGAGGCGTGCTGCTTGAGCTGGAGCTTCTTCGCCTGCTGCGGGTGCTGCCGGTCCCGGAGCTGCTGGGCCTGCGGGTCCTACTGGAGCTAGAGCTACTGAGCCTTGGGGTGCTGAGTCTGGAGCTGCTGAGCCTGGAGGTGCTGAGTCTGGAGCTGCTGAGCCTGGGGGTGCTACGTCTGGAGCTGCTGTGCCTGGGGGTGCTGAGTTTGGAGCTGCTGAGCCTGGGGTTTCTCCTGCTGCTGCGTCTCGCCGGGAGCCCCTCTCTCCACAGGAGCTGCGCGAGTGGTTTGCTCGCCGCTGGAGGAGTGCTGCTCGAGCTAAAGCTTCGTCGACCGTCGAGGGTGCTAGTGTTGCCGGTCCCGGAGCTGCTGGGCCTGCGGGTCCTACTGGAGCTGGAGCTGCTGAGGGTGTTGGTGCTGAGACTACTGCTGTCTGTCCTGGCGGTGGTTCTGCTGCTCGTGCTGCTGGAGGTCCTGCCGCTGGAGGTGTTGGTGGCGCTGGTGCTGTCGCTGAGGGTGCTGGTGCTGTCCCTGCTGAGTCTGGAGCTGCCGCGCGGCCTCGGCCGTACTTCGTTCCGCTCCTACAGCAGGTTCTTGGTCTTTCTCCTTCAGTAGAGTGTCCACAGCCTGTCCAGTCGCAGTCACTGTTGGAGCCTTCCTCTCCTCTGCCTGCTCCCTCTCCTTACACTGGTCCTACTGGAGGTCTTGCTGAGCGTCGTGAGCCTGCGTCTCGTCCCGCATCGCCTGTTCGTGCTGCTCGCACTAGTGGTCGCGGTTCGCGTCAGCGTCCTCCTCCTGTCCCTGGCACGCACCGGATGTCTCTGCGTCCGTCCACTGCTCCTCTGCGTGCCCCTTTGCCTTCTCCTCCTGCGTCCTCTCTTCCTGCGCTTGCCGACCCTGAGTCGGACTCTCTTCGCGCTGCCAGTCCTACTGTCACGCGTCTGCTTGCTACTGTCGTCACTGACCCCTCTTTTGAGTCCACTGCTGCGTCTGCTCTAGTCGCTGAGCTCGTTGACTTTGCTGCTCGCTGTCGTCTCGACTACGCTGCTGGTCTTGTTGCTGAGTCTGCGTCTGTCTGTCCTCCGTCCGTTGGGGGTGAGTGTGCTCTTGGCACGGACGTCCTAGAGGACAGACAGGAGGAGTTACAGTGTCTAGCGGCTGCTTCACCTCATCTCGCGTCTGTACTGCTTGCCCCTGAGGGAGACCCGGATGCACTAGACATCCCGACTCCGCGTTCTTACGCGGAGGCCGTAGAGGGTCCCTACTCCTCTCAGTGGCAGGCAGCTATGGATGCACAGATGGCTTCCTGGAAGTCCACAGGCACCTACGTTGACGCAGTTCCCCCTCTTGGGGCGAACATCGTCAGTGGCATGTGGATCTTCAGGGTGAAGCGGCCGCCGGGCTCTCCACCTGTCTTCAAGGCGCGGTACGTTGCTCGTGGCTTCAGTCAGCGGCAGGGAGTTGACTACTTTCAGACCTTCTCTCCCACCCCGAAGATGACCACTCTTCGGGTGCTGCTGCACATAGCCGCTCAGCGCGACTACGAGCTTCACTCTCTCGACTTCAGCACTGCGTTCCTGCAGGGTAGCCTGCACGAGGAGATCTGGCTGCGCCGTCCACCTGGCTTCACTGGGACTTTCCTTCCTGGCACCCAGTGGAGCCTCCGACGGCCAGTCTACG